ACGTTTAATGCTGCCGATTTATATTAGGAAAGTCTAGTAAAATATATACCAAACTATCAATATTAATTAGATTCTAATAATAAAGACTGTCGTTATATTTCTAAGGTCAATATTCTCTAAAACCTTTATATTCCTACCTACCACTTCCTTCGAAGGTTTCAATTTTTTAAAGAGTATATCCTACTATTAAAGTTTAAGTTCGATAACTATTAATGGAGATTAGAATTCTAAGCTCGAAGTACTAGCCATACCTATAGTATATACTAGGTAAATAATATCGATATACCTAATTTGGCCGATCCAAAAATCCGACGATAATTTATTAAAATATAGAATTTATATATTATAATATAGAATCCAATACTTGAGGGTATTAAGTAACCAAAGCCTAATTTGGGGAGGGTAAGGATCTAGAAGGTCTATCTCCTAATATTTAGAATCTTAATAGTTAAAATAATAACTAGCCAATCCCGATCTCCCGTCTTCCTAAATACTCTGAACGCAACGATATCTTAAATAGAAGGATAGATAAGGTTAAACCTACCTTTTAAGAGCTTACAGCTATGATTAACCGGATGTAAAGATACACTTACAACGATATTTATTACCTTCGAGCCCGCCGTTAAATCCGAGCCCTTCCTGGCGAGCGACAAATCCCGGACTTCGAACTTCCAGTACCCAAACAGAAGGTCTACCGCTTTCAATTTGCCAGGAAACTATATAAATACCCCCTCCTTATAACCTGTATCAACCCTAGATTCTAACTTTTCGATAGTAAATGAAATAATAATATTCTCAATCAATATAATCCTCTCATTATAATAGGTTGGATAGCCAATACAAATATATAGTTATATACTAATATAAATACTATACTCAATTACGTCGCTAAGTACGTCTCTAAGGCTAAAAAGAGGACAAAATTTTATAATAAAATTACCAACGAATTAATACTTTAAATTATAGCTAGGAATCTAATTAAATAATTTACAACCAAATTCATAAATAAACTTATTACTAAACGTAACTAGTCTACTCAAGAAGTCTATTATCTATTATTAAACCTTCCTTTATAAGAAAGCACTCGTATAATTATTATAGTAGACTATCGTTATCGAAATAACCGAGGTACTATTATCCCTAATCCCGAAACAAATCTCTAAGTTACTGATCGAAGAGCCGCCCTTACTACTACTAGTAGTAGTAATAATAATAATAATAATAATACTAAAATTATTTATATCAATGCAACCAACGAAGCCAAACAAACCCGTTCAATCTACTAGAAATATATAAATTATAATAAATATTATTCTCACTTTTCTTAGTTCAAATATATTACTAAATTCAATCATACTAAGTTACGCCCTACCCCTCTAACGGATCTTACCAAAAAGAGGGTTATTAACTACTTCCCCATCTATAAACAAGATAACGAAAGGAACCAGCGGAATTTTAAACGTATTAAATTAATACTATACCACCCTTATTGAAAGCCTAATAACCTTTATATTATCAATAATATTCAATATAATAACCTCGATAATATTTACGCAATATATTATAAAATTCATATTAACGAACTAATATACCCCGAAGACTACTACAACAAGCTTCCACCTCCTAAATTTAAAGAGGAATTTAAAGTAAATTCAAATGTTATAGGGCTAGAGCCTAGGGGTTAAGCTTAGCTATTACCAAGCTATATCCTATCTTATTAATAAGAATACGAGCCTTCTAGTTGGCTAGACCTATATACTTGCCTAGCCCGTGCAATCTTAGCACTGGTTATACAAAACCTTCTTTCAACTATACCCTTTTAATACAATCTTTCCTTTCTGACTTCTTCTATTAAATATAGCATTTCAACTATATGATTATACGCTATACCTTTCTCGTATAGACCTATTATATTATATTTAACCCTCTTTTTAAATTAATACTATTACCCTTCTCTTATAAGTACGCTAAAGAGTTCTTCCCACCCTATCTACAATATTTTAATAATAATAGTTCCTTCAAATCGTTTAGTCTACAAATTTTTTAAAACGCTAACGATAATTTATCTCCTCGATTAAATAATTAATTTTCGAAATTTCGAACCTTCGCGCCGCCTAATAGGCTATAGCCTCCCCCCCTTTCAATTCTTTCGACCTAATAACCCCGTTAAGAAAGCCGGTGCTTCCGCACCTCGAAAATTTTTTAAAGAGTAAAAAAAATTTAAAACCTAAGTTTTAAGCATATAAGCTAAACTCTATATAACTAGGCCCGCTATTAGCGATTTAGAAATATAATTTTACTATTTATTCACCTATTTATCGCTTGCTATTAAAAAACCGTTCGTCGTATTCGCCGCCACTCTTCGATCTCCTTATAAATTTATTAATAAGCTTAAATTCATATACGGGGACCCTAATACCGTTAAACGAATTAATTAAGAATTTTATTAACTATGCTAAAAGTCCGGCTTTAAAGAATCTATAGCGGCCTTCTTCGCTCGCTTTAAGAAAATACTTTACTACGCTTATACGGATTCGTAATTAAAAGCCGCCAAAGTTAGTCAATTGACGGCCTCCCTAAATTATAAGTAGAAGCAACGCCTCTCTAACCGAACCGATATACTTAAATAGTATTTTCAATTGTTTAAATACCTTCGCCGTTTTAATAATAATTCTTTCGTTTTAAGTATTTTATTTTACTTTTCCTAGAAATACAGCGGTAGTCCAATTAATAACAATAACGTTAATAATCCTATAAATACCTCTATTAATACTTTAATAACTGAATTCTCCGCTTTATTACCATTTTAGAAATAGAAGAATAAATAGAAGAAGGAGGGCAAATATATAAATTATAGGAGTGGCTCCTACTAATTTAAATAGTATAAAAAGACGAGGATAAATAACGTTCGAATATAATCCGGTAAGGGTTTAAACGGTTACGACGATAATAGTTAAGAGGAGGAGTTTTTAAATTAAGTAGTACCCTATTAAGGGCAGCCCTAATAATATTAGGCGTAAAAGAGTACTATATATTTAAAAGGAGGGACTTCTACGGCTTACTAAGTATATTATCGATTAATTAAATAGGTAGTAAGATTACTATATAATACCCTTCGCCGCCTAATTATATTATTAATGATATTTATTATAAAACGCAACCGTAGGAGGATAATAAATATAATATTTCGTAAGCATAAGAATTACTAAAGCTATTCCCTAGCAAGGGAATAAGAAGGTAGCTAAATATTAGTAGGCGAAATGGAATAATACGAAGCATTAGGTAATAGCTTTAATTCTAATTATCTCCGTTATAAATTATTAATATCATACGGTAAAAGAGGACCCCGAATTTAGGTAAGGTTTAGAAATATCCCCTAATTTAATTTTAGTGCCAAGCTATAGCGCAATTCTATAAGGGTAAGTAATAGGCGTATTATTACCGATTCGGGTAGGAGGTAAGTAGTTTTGTAATGTTTATTTAGGGGCTTAGTATAAATATTTTTCTTAATATTATTAATTTCTTCCCCATTTAAATAAGTATTTAGTTAGGTGCGGTTATATTAGATTTTAATCATTTCCGTAGATTTAATTACGATGAATTCTGTACGGTAGGACTGCGCTCCCTAAGGGGGAGTAGGAGGGTAATGTTATAAGGTTAGAGCCTAGGGGTTAAGTTTGGTTATTACTAAGCTGTATCCTATCTTATTAATAAGGATGCGAGCTTTCTAGTTAGCCAGACCTATATACTTGCCTAGCCCGTACGGTCTTAGCACTGGTTACACAAAACCTTCTTTCGACTACACTCTTCTAATATAGTCTTTCCTCTCTTATTTCCTCAATTAAATATAGTATTTTAATTATACGATTGTACGCTGTGCTTTTCTCGTGCAGACCTGTTATACTAAAAAAGGAACTAAATAAACCTAATTAGGAAAATATTACTAAAGACAACCCCAATCGTCGTATAAATAATAACGATTTCGAAGGCAAAATTTTAGGTCGTTGTAATATTAATATCGACTACGACTAGCATCAACACTATACCAGGTTCCAAGAATTCCTTCCTTTAACTGCAAATTACTGGGGGTCTCGAAATAATAGCTTTAATTTTCCTAATACAAAGCTCATTATACAACGTATATATAATACCTTCAATATTAAATAACGTATAGTATTTAACTAATTTATCAATTATTATTAAGCTATACTCGATAACCAAAGTCCAAAATAGTTACTTATCTAAATTGATAGTAGAAGTAATATCGGCAAATTCTATCTTATTTGACTACTATCTTACAAGTTTAAGGAAATAGTTACCAACTATCGCCTTTTAAACCCCATTATTCGTACTACTCCTACTAGTATAACTACTAATAATATAGAAAGTTATACCCCTATTCCTTTCTATAGCTTCCTTTTAGGGCTAAAGGTTTAACTAATTTACAAGGTAACAATCTTACCTACTTGGAAAATAAATTTAAACCTTTTAAATACTTTATCATTAACGAGAAATCTATATTGGGCATAAGGAATATATATTTTATTAATAACCGTCTTCGCCAAGCCTTTATTAAAGACTAGGGTAAACGGTTTGGCGGTATTAACATTCTTCTTTTTAGAGATTTCTTCTAGTTACTACCTATTGGGCAAAAGCCCCTATTTTACTAAGAACCTTTTAAATTTGCCAATAATCCTAATACCCCTCTTAAAATACTTAATAACGACGATAATACAAATAAGCTTCCTAATAAAACAAATGAGTAAAGAAAGAAAGGGCTAGCAAGTAAACTAGATTTAGTACAACGTAATAGTCGAGCCTATTACTTCGATTTCGATTAGAATATTGAATTAAAATAAATTTTCCGTTAATAAGGCAATACTTAAGCTACATTCCGTAAAGCCTTAAATAGATTACAAACCAACAACCCTACTATTAACAACTAGAAATTATTATCTACTCGTATCAAATTCAAACTACTAGTACCAAAGTAAAAGACTTTCGATAACGCCTTACGAATTTACCCAACCAATACTATAGTTAACGAACATAACCTTCATCATTTAGAAGAGTTGCAATCTCCAATCTTCATCATCAAATTTACCAATATCCTTCCTAACGCCAAAAACGTCAAATATACTAATACTAGCAACCTACATACCAAGTTCACTTATATTAAGGGTAATAGAATTATACTTACGGAGAATCTCTAGACTGAAGCTAGCTTAATTAATAGTTCGATTAGTACTATTATTAATATTGTATAGGATAGTAATTAATTGTATAATATTTAATAAATTATATATCCAATCTTTAATACCCAGTTTATTAATTCTTTTACAATCCAAAAGCCGGCGACCCCCCTTTCGTTATATTCGTCTATTTCCCTAGTTATAAAGAATCTAACTACTTTGAAAACTTAAATTACCCTAATATTAAAAACCCCCAATATATTATACTGATATTCTAATTTATTCGAAGGTTTATAAAGGGAACTTTTTTTTACAAAAGAATCTAATTCCCTTTAACGATTACATATACCATTACAATCTACAAACTATAAGGCTAAATATTAAATAAAGCGGTTATCGATATCTCAAAGAAGGACTTTATAATTGGTCTATTATACGTAGCTATTTCTCGTATTCGTACCCTCGATAGTATTATATTCAACGAGAGCTTCGAGATAAATGCCTTGTAGTTTAAAAATACTAAGATTTATACCTACTGAACTATAGATATAATTAAACGTATACCTCAATAATTCCAACCAAACTAACCCCTACTGCTATATTATATCCGTAACCTGGGCAATCCTCCGGTTTCTAATTAGGTATACTAATTCCCGCCCAATTCCGATAATATTAACAATAATAATAATAATAATATCGATAGTAGCTAATCGGGCTGGGGAAGGGGAGTATAGGATAGAGCTCGTAGTAAACCCCGTAGTAGACCTTCAAATACTTCCAAATCTAGTAATCGTCGTAGAAGACTGCCCAGTAGTAGAGCTGGTAGTACTCTAGGCAAAGCAAGTAATATAATTAGTACTAGTATAAGAAGGTTTCACGGAAGACCCCGTAAGAATACTAATATTAATAGACCGTTGTAATTAAGGGGAGAATAAATCGAGGGGAATAATTAATATAATTTATTTATATAGTTTTTATATGGTTCTTATATATTATTCACAAGATTTCTATTATAATATATATATAAAATAGTAAAAAAGAATTCAAGACTTATAGTACAAACCCTACCCTAAATTTCTAGAGAACGAGTCTCCTAAGCCTATTCTGAAGGATAGCCCGTAACTTACCTATACCTTAATTTCTTTACCTTATACTAATATTATAGGACTTTTGTAAGTAGATTCCCTAATTCGGTCTCTCTAGTTCGGTCTCCTCCGACGGATAAGTTGATATAGATTTGAGAGAGGTTAGCGCAGACGGAACAAAGCGTTTTAATAGTCACATTATAGAAGAAAGAGGAAGAAAGAGTATTATAGATAGGATTCGAATTTGTAGTCTACTTATACTAGTAGCGGTACTTTGGGCGTCCCTGTATACCATTATACTATGGGGCCCTTATGGCACCCCCTTTCGGGGGCTGGCGATAGTAGATAAGAGAAGTAGAGATTATAAAGACGATTAGAGTATTATTTAAGTTATTTGGAGTTGTTTGGGATAATAATAAAAATCTGAGCGAGAGAGTGAGTTTTGGTAATGTCTAGTAATATCTGGTGATGTTTTTCTTGGTGTTTTGGTTCTGGTGAGTATGTGGATCCAGCTTTTCACAGCTTAAGATGTGGATTCATAGGCGCTTCACTGTCTCCCTCGGGCATATCCGGCTCCGCCCAAGGGAAGACTATTTTAATATATAAAGAGGCTATAAAAAAAGGAGTCGTTTAAGGCATATAAATAATTATTTAGGGGTTTATAATTTTAATAGAGGTTTTTTTTTTTTACATAAGAAGTAAAGAGATACGAAATTAATTATAAAATTTAAATAGAAGGCTACGTCGTTAAAACGAAGTTTTTAAGTCTTTTCATTTTTTTTATAATAATATTTACATTACTATATCTTTTAATAGGAATACGAGAATTCCTAATTTAGAGCTTATTATTATATGAAGTATAATAAAGGTTAAGAAAGTAAGAAATTTCGTTAAATATATAGAGAGAGCTCCTAAAGTCAAAAATCGTATTATTTTTAAGAAAGTAAATATTTAAACCTTCCTTTATATAAAGAGTAACTTCATTAATATTGAAGGTTATTTTATATAAATTGCGCTCGTTAGAAAATTAATTATTTTTATTATCGAAATTAGGGAGAGGTTAAGCGTACTATTTTACTATTTGGGGAGATAGCTCAATTGGGAAGATCTAGGCTTGGTTTACCTTGTAGTTGTTTCCGTGAGGTCGTAAGTTCGAATCCCGCTCCCCTCTCTTCCATCCGATCTTTTCATATTCAGCATTGGAATTTCTTCTCCCACTCTAAACACGTAATTAAATTTATAGGGCTTTCCCTAGTCTAAAACCTTAGGTACTCCGCCGAAAAATAAATTCGGGTCGATTCTCCCTACTTCGAAAAGTAATCACCCCATATAGTAATACAATAGCTATCCGCCTAATTAGCGAACAATCCCCTAAGTAAATAGGATAATACTTGCCTTCGCCTCTGAAATTAGGGCTTTCGGGCCGAAAGAAGACTTTAAGAACGCCGATCGAAATTCGTAAGTCCCCTCTTCCCTCCCCCTCCCTCGGTCTCCGCCCTAATAATAAGACGTATTTGGGCAGCGAAAAGAGACCTTAGGGTAGGGGTGGAGGGGCTGACTATAGGAGGAAAAATCGAAGGAAGGTTTAGATTGAAAGAAGGGCCACATTAAAATGTAAAGACGCGGGAGGTTTTTATCTGGTATCTCAACGAATATACGGTTTTTCCGCCCGGCTTTGAATAACGAAGGACCGCATGCCTAAATAAAGCGACTAGATTAGAATAGTTAAAGCGTGAATAAGATCATTATTATTATTATTTTACTATTTCCCGTTTATAAATTTCGACCTCTCTGTTTAATTTTGCATTATTTTTAAAATTCTTTATAATTTTATTTTGAATTTTCTTATTGGGTTCCTATTACGGATTTGCAGCCGTAACTAGAATAGCGAATATATATTAACATTATTTAGTAATATATATATCTTCTTTATATATTTTATAGCAAAGGGAATAATTTTTAATTTTTTTATTACGTTTCCTCTTATTAATTATAAATTGTATTAAGTCGAACGTTTTCGTTTTTAATATTGCTATCTTACGAACCGTTAAAGGTAATACTTACTTTAAATATTCCCCTATACCCCTTAGCCTTAGCCGCGGTAATTAAAGGTCGTTTATATAAGCCCTTACAACGAAAGTCCCCAGATATAATACGAAAATTAAAGGTATTAACTATAATTTCTTTACTAAAGAATTTCGAAATTCCGGATACTTAATTAGGGTATACGGGTTTTAAATAATTTAATAGATTTTTAAATTAAATAACGGCTATTTTAACCGTTAAAATTTTATATTATATAGCGTTAATTATTATTAAATCCTAATTATTAATTTATTTACTTATTCTATTAAAACTCTTATTAAATTCGTTCGATAAAGGTTTAATATAATTATAGTATCGTTAGCGTACTTCGATTATAGTATTTTCTTTACAATAGTTATAAATATTATAGACCCGGGTATACTATACAATAATAGATTCTAAGGGGGTAAAGAAATTAATTTTATAATTTAGGTATATAGTTTCTTATATTTACTTTCGAAGGTTAATATTATTAGTTTTAAAAGATTTATAAATCTTTTAGTGGGTATTATATATAGTATTATTATATTCGTATTCCGTAATAATTAGAAGGGTAAGGTCGGCTAATTGGATAATAATTTCGGCTAACTAATCTTCCTTAGGGCGGTTGGTAATTTTGGCATTTTCGGCCTTATTTTCGTTAATAACTATAGTAATAGCATTAAAGGTTACTAGAGCCTAGTAAATTAAGCGCCCGGCCTTAAAACGTTGGAGGGATTTTCGAATTCTTTTAATACGGCGGGTAACTATAGCCTTAAAGGTATAATTAGAGTAACGAGGCTCCTAAAACTTAGTAATAATTAGCTTGAAACCTAGTAGATAATTAGTAAGGTTTAAACCTTTAATATATTTTAAGAATTCGTTACTCTATTTACGGAATTTTAAAGGGGCGTCAAAGTAAGGTCGGTTAGATTTAGAAGTAGATTCCTTAAATAGGGATATAGTTTCGGTTATATATAAGGTTATATAGATAGATTTTATACTTTTAAATATACTTATATAGTATAAGGATTGCGAAGTTAGACTATTAATTGTCAGATTATACGGTTATATAAATATAGAGAATATAGGTTAATCGCTATATTAATTGAATATATAGAGTAGAAAGACTGTATATATAGGCTGGGAGATCCTAGAGTATTAGGAAGGTCTATAGCGCTATTAGGGTGGTTGGGAGGCTAGTCCTCTTACAGAACCCTCGTCTTACTGGCTAGATATAGCCCACCAAATTGACAGTTCACACTCCTCCCTCAGACATATCGTTACACAACTGAGACTCTTTGGATTCCTTGAGTGGTAATGACCGGCCTAGGGGCTTTGCAAACACCTCCATTGGAATGAGGATTGCGTTCTGGAAGTCTACAAGTGTAGTAATAAACAAACAAAAAGGGTCTTCAGGTCTCGGTCTTGTCTTGAGCTTAGTTGGATAATTGATACTGTAACATTCGTATATTGCCCGATGTGTCACAAAAGTAACAAGACAACGGGAATTATACACCAAATTCGGTATGCAATCAATTACAACAATTTTCGAGTAGAGTAGAGGTATCATTTCCTACGTCGTGAGGTTACAACGCGAAACGGCTGGGCGCTACTGTATCTTCAGGGCGTTGGAACACAAGGGGTCAAATTAACCGGGCTTCATGGTGATTGTGAATTGAATAGGTAATGGTTAGTTTTGTCATCATCATGGTGAACAATGTTGTGACTGTTCGTGGCTGACTGTCCGGTTGCGCTCAACAATTACAACAACTGCTCACTTCGAGTCACACTTAAACATTTTCACTTCCCGTCACTTCCATTTTTCGCCTCCCAGTTCCGATAGACAGGAACGCAAAGGTCACGCACTCCTCTTCAAAGAGTTGGTTCCTGCTGCCGCCGACGCCGCTAGGGATGTTCCCCGCGGCGATTACTGTAGTGTAGTTTGACAGGAGAGCGATAACGGCGGCGGGCATCCCGTTGCCGGTCACACGGGCTTTGATGAATGGCCAAGCATTTTTGGAGCAGGCCATTTGTCGAATGGTCCCCAAACCTCCTCAAAAAGTGGTGATGAGAAAGAGGGATTCCCATGTCTACCATGGCAAAATGATATCATGTGTCCCCTATAGTTCTTTTTTACCCCTCAAGCAGCGGCCCCTTTCTCATGGCAAGAAGGGCCAATGCCAACTGCGATTGCGATACATGTGCCAATTCGCCCCGGCAATTGCGCCAAATGTCGTCTCAATACCGTTGGGGTCGGTCACGGGATCAGATCTGGATACTGGATTCGCTCATAGCCGTCCCCTCTGTTGAGAGCCTAGACATCATCGTCGGCGTTTATGACAACATCGTCCTTCGCTATCGTCGCCTTCGGCCGTTTCTTTGTTTGAGATGGCCAAGCTGGTCATTGACTGATTGCATCGTTGTTACCTGCCTTTTACCTACACGTGTAAGTGGCTGTAGCCCCGTGCTGTAACTATGCATGTCGTCCGTAGATTAGATAGGATCATACCGGTAGGCCCCATCCTTCATCCGATAGTCTATCGTAGTTTATCGGATGGCATGGCACATCGCGAACGTGTGGGTGTGAAGCAACGTGAAGTTCCACACACCCTCGACACCATGCCGAAGCCCGGGCTTGGCGATGCGAGCACTTCACGAACCTTGAGGTTGCTGGCCACTTCCCTTCCACTTCCTTTGTTTGGAACTGATACGCGATAAGAATCTCCATGTCTCTGAAGCTTATCGCCGGCCACGGCGAGTCGGCGACTGTCTTTCAGGAGGAGCATGATCAACACCCCCTTGTTGATGCGCTATGTAACCAGCAGTGTGTGCACGCCCCCAACTTCATCCGAATGACCTGCATTTTGTGGGGTAAAAGGGACTCTGGTAACTCGTCCAGTCGTCCTGTCACAAAAGAGATCTTTTCAGTGCCGTGTGGCAGTCCTCGACAAATGTTGAGTTGCCATGGCGCAATTGATTGCTCGCTGCTCATAGCGGCAGACGGTACTGTGTGACCATCTTTGAACGGAGATCTTGGGCCCTTGGCGGCGAACGTCGAGACTCGAGAATGCTCTCTCAGAAAGCTGGGGAAGTATATGCGGCTAGCTTGTAAGTTTCATGTTCCATGAGACCGTGACTTTGTTCACACCCCGAAGAGCAATGGCGTGAATTGTCCCATGAACATCGAAAGAGGCAGCGTGGCATCTCTTCTTTCTGAAACAAGAAACGCGTGTGTGTACGTATCGCTCGGGCGGGCGAATTGCCAATCGACAGCGCCTGTTGCTATTTTGGAATCCCGAACAAGAAAGTGAGCAACGATTTTGATTGAAGGAGAGGGCGCCGCTGGAGCGATGTAATCATCAATGAGGATTGCAGGATGGCATGCGGACCGCAGGGTGGATGGATGGGCGCGTGCGTCCGTGCTTTTATTGTCATTGCAGCGCTGCTTGTACCTGTCCTGCCTGCCTGCCGCGTGGAGTGCCGCTCACTCGCTGAAAGAGCAAAAGGAACGAATAAGAATGATCCAGACGCAGCCAAAACAGAGACGCAAGATGTCGTTTTGCTGCCGCCGCTGACCAATGACTGTGGAGCAGCGAGCGCGACGGGAGCGTGTGAACTGAAACAGTTGAGAATGTTGGGAGTTTGGTGGTGGTGTTGTTGATTGACGGGATTGGCAAGATCATCTCAATGATTCAAAAACGGAAACCAGCTAGAAACACGAATACAGTCTGGACAAGTGGCAGCTTCGTGTTGAAGGAAGATTAACAGTGCACAATTGGTGATGACTCCGACGTGATAGCTTTCGGGAATTGAAGCTACCCATGCTCGCCATTGATGACAAGTTTCCATCATCCATCTGCCCTGGGCTTTTGCCTCCCAGCTCCGTTCTCGCTTGTGCCCCTTACATTCGTCCCGCCGTACCGCAGCAGCAAGTGTGCCAGTGCTGCGTACGTCCGTACCCCTAGCTTCCTCCCACGTTTTTCCAGGCCACCCCTCTTCAGTCTCGTTTGGGATTCTGAAGGGTTCAGGTCAGATGTGCAATTCTGACAGCGATTGCCTTTGTCGCGGTTGTCCTGGAATCATGCGATGATGGTCTTCTCGTTCGATGTGACGGCAGTTGATGAATATCAAGTTCGGCTCGTCTCCACTGTCATAGCATTTGACGTTGGAGGCCTTGAAATTTCGAAACGGCAATGTAAATACGGTACGCTAACCCAATACAGCAATATGTCACTAATACGGATGATCAGGCGGGGCATCATCATCACAGAGGTAACTTCGTAATAACGGCCCACGTGCGGCCCTGGCGTATGAAAAGCAATTCCTGCCTCTGCAGCATATCAGTCAGAATGAATGGCTTCCTGTTGCCGCCGACACCTGGCGGCAGTGACAGCAAAGACGGAAGATCTAGGAAAGCTATTCGAGCACGTGGAGATGCAACCATCCTTATCAATGGCCGAGAAACGGACAGATAGTCGGATAGACGGCGGACGCGGGGAAACCTAGATCGGCGGTGTACGGAGTTGAACCTCTACGGCCACGCTAGTCGGCGTCGATACTCGATAGCAAGAAGCCATCCGTTATCCGCGGCCGTCACAGGAGCTGTCAGTCACTCCTTTCGACGTGCGTTGACGCTCACTCAGTTATGCTGTTGCCGGTATGCACTTCCGTCGGTAGGTTTGTCTGGACACGGTGTCAAACATTGACGGATTGCATTGGCACTCCCGCACTTTCACACAACTCATCTCACACAATGGAACGTGGAATTGGGGGCCCCTGAAAATGATGACTGCCTGTCTGGCTTGTTCTTGTGCTGCCAGGTGAAGGAACGGATTGACAGCCAGACGGGAGCTGCCCAACATTACCTTACATGGTGTTTAATACATGGGCGTCAGGGCGTTACGTGTTGTATGTACCTGTGCGCTACTTTAGCCCACTGTGACGGTAAGCAAGGTACCGAGGTACCAGGTCGGTAGTATGATACCAAAGACGGCGGGCTCGTGCAGGGACCCGAGGGCGGTGTGTGTCTTGGTTGGTGTGTTCTGTCTTGGGGTCAGTTCCAGGTCGTTTCCAGTGCGTGGCAGCAAGCGAAGAATGCCATTCGTCGTCATTTGTCGAGATAGCCACCCAGACCGTGTCGCGACAAAAGCCAGACACGTTGAGACTCAATAGTGCGACCAGCCAGCAACCCAGTGCTCGCCCACCATTTCGCGACGCAGCGATCGGCAGACCCTGGCCGTCTCTTTTGCTCGAAGCGGCCTTTTGCTGGGCAGCTGCGAGCGATGGAGTGACAAAGCGAGTGGAAGTCGTGCTTGTCGCTGGCCTGGGATGGCCCGGGGTCACACTGTTCAGCAACGAAGTCGGCCATTCCTGATTCGGCGGGTACATGCTCAGCCCACGCTGGTGTCGACTCCCACTCCCAGTCACTCTGTTAGAACCAGGGCCAGCCAACAACGGCGAGCGTTACCCAGCATGACCTCTGACGCTCGCAGCGGTTCTGTCCCCTTCCACCTCCTGCCTGCTTGTTCCATTTCATGCTTCCCACTGCTTTCCAGTTCTCAGGCTCCTTTTCAATACCCACCACCGCCCATCCACCCCGAATCTCACCCTATTCCACCACCTTTTTCTCTTCTCTCTTCTTCCTGTATAACTCGCCTTGTTCGCCGTCGTTCGTCGCGCTCCATTTGTCGTGCATCGCATTGTCTGTTTTAGCTCGCATCCGCCTCGCAATCAATCAAAGCAATCAATCTGTCAAAACTCGACGCACCTCATCCGACTTCGCATCACCTCGCTCGTCCGATCCGATACCGTCATTGATTGCGGCAGCCTTGCATCGACATCTGGCCCCATACCCAACTTACACATCAGCCTTTGGGTCCCCGACTGCGAACACTGGTTCCTTATTCCGTCTGCTTCCCAAGTCAAGAACACGAAACACCAGCAAGACGAGAACGTTTTGAAGCCTTAAAAAAGCAACATCGAAGAGCATACAGCATCGCGCATTCAGTTGCATCACGCTACCGTCTTCCACACTCCGCCGAGTCTCCAGTCAGTTTACACACACTCGCGGACTACCTAGACCACTGGTTACTTGCTTGGCTCCCCCGGCCTCTTCCATCATCGCCGACCCGCAACTTCCGCTATCGTCCGTTACCAAGTTGCTGCATCCCTGAAGGCCCGGTATCCACTTTTCAGTGTGAATCACATCTCGCGTGCCGAACCAGGGTTGGAAGAGTCATCTCCACAGCCCACCTGTTCCTGAGAGACACTTATACACGACGATCGGTCAACCCTTTTGAGATATCTCCGATACACTTCTTCATCATAGTCAACAACATCAAGCCATCGAGATACGCTGCCAAACCACGCCGTCGTCGCCTTCAAGGCTCCCCCCTTGCCCTTTAGCCCGGCTCACCCGGTGTTTACATTGGTGATCACTTCGACCAAGCTCAAGTCACCTGGACAAGCATCATCAACACCAACATCAACAACTCTCAGAGCAGCTTGAAACGGCCTTCAACTCTCACATTCAGCCTGATCTCGATTCGATGTTACTATAACAACAACAGCTTCTTTCTCCCTCCACCTACCACTTTACCGTTTCGACGGCCCCTCTCGATCGACTACTCTACAGTCACATTTCCTTTGTTGATTCTTCACCTTTCTCCCGCTTATGAGCCTCAGACCGTGAACGATTTCGACTTGTTTTTCACTGTTTCAAACCCTGTACATTCTTCCATATCTTTCTTGCTTTTGCGGCGTCTCTTTTCTCATATCTCTTCCGATACCTTGAGAGAGATACCTGTCTCGACTACACCGGACACAAACAAAACTCAAAACCTATACCCTAATCTTTCCCCCAAAGGTCAACCCCCCAGCATTCGCCATGGACTTCTGCCTTCGGAACAAGTTCCAATCTGGAGTTCTCCTCGCTGGCCGATACCAAACGATCTCCCCCCTCAACCATGGATCTTTTGGCATGGTCTTCATGGCTCGCGACCTCAAGACTGGTCAGAAGGTTGCCATCAAGTGTCTGACAAAGAAGGGAGCTGCAAGCGAAGCCGGCTTCGACTTTGCGGTTGACGAGAAGTCTGAGGAGCTGGTTCTTCACCGACGTCTTGGAGCCCACCCCAACATTGTCAACTTCATCGACACCTTTGAGACCGAAGCCCATACCTACATCGTCCTGGAGTACTGCGAGCGAGGCGATCTCTACGAAGCGATTCGTCTGGACCAGGGTCCTTTGGAAACCGAGCATGTGAGGCGATTCATGCTGGAGCTTGTCGACGCTGTTGCCCACATCCACGCCAAGGGCATCTACCACCGCGACATCAAGCCCGAGAACATCTTCCTTACCCAAACAGGCTCTGCCAAGTTGGGCGACTTCGGGCTTGCCACCACCGAGAAGTGGTCGTACGAGGCTGCGGTTGGAAGCGAGCGTTACATGTCCCCGGAGCAATTCGACTCGGCCGGTGCCGGATACTCGCCGGCTGCGGCAGACATCTGGGCTATTGGCATTTGCTTGCTCAACGTCCTCTACGCCCGCAACCCATTCACCCAACCGACCGAGGCCGACCCGCTTTTCTTGGATTTCTCCCGCGACAAGCAGTCTTTGTTCGACGTATTTCCGTCCATGTCCCAAGACACCTATGAAGTCATTGTTCAGTGTATGAACCTGGATCCTCGCAAGCGCTCTCTTGAGGGTGCTCGCGAAGCTCTCCTCCGCGTCATCAGCTTCACCACCGACGACGAGATCCTCGACGAGTTCTGCACCGCCGATGGCCCTGTGGTTGCCAGCTCCAACCGCGAGCCTCTTCGCACCCCCTCGATCCAGAGCCCTCAGATGGACACTGGCGCATTCCCCTGGGCCAAGGCGCTCCATGCGAAGCCCCAGAGGCAGCTCAGCGACATTCCCGACGACGAGAGCTACACCGAGGACCTCTTCTCCACCTCTACCGCCACCACTTCCGACTGGCTCTCCGCTAGCATCCAGACCCCGCCTTCCGTTTCGTCTGTTATGGACTCGCATCTCGCTGCCTCCATGCAGTCGCTTAACATGGGCTCGGTCGCTCAACCTAGCAAGGACATGTTCGCCAAGATCCCCGTGAGGCCTTCGGTCGCCGCCGGCTCTCTCCCGATCAACATGGCCAAGCAACCTAAGCAGTCAGCTTTGTCACTGGTTTTCGGTCGCAAGGATACTGTCTCTAAGAGCTGGAGTGATTTGTGGGACGAAGAGGAGGAGGAGGAGGAGGAGCAAGCTAAGCAGCTGTCGTTGAAGGAAATGAACTCCAGGACCTGGAGCCAGGAAAGTAAGCACGATGACGAGAACACTCCTCGCATGGGTCTGTCTCCGGCTACCAAGGCGGGCAGCCTTCACATGGAGCACGATATCCCGGCTATCGATATGCATCTCGGTTCCAACATCGACGACGATCTTGCTGCCGATGGCTTCTTCTTCCACGATGCTCCCGCACGGAAGGAACCCACCCAATTCCCCATGAGCCACTCCCCGCCCGCTCGGAAGAGCGCCCTGGACAGGTGGCAGGCTCTGGGTGAACGTCGCAGGGCGACAGGAACCACACCTCCCAAGGGTTCCGAGTCTATCCCGAGAACGCGTCAAATTCCTCATAGCTTTGGCGCCGCCTCTCATGATTTCAACAACACTCATCACAACTCTTATACTATTCACTCGAACAATCACTCATCTCATCATTATGCTGCCAACATCGGAAAGAAGTCTACCCCGGTCAAGCAGTGCCCTTGGAGCAAGGGACGCGATCGGGCATTTGACTGGCGCAAGGAGAAGCGTCATCCTTTCGATGTCGAGTGGGTTGGTGGCTGGACGGGAGCTCCTCTCGTGCCAGTTCATCACTTGTAGTTGGGCTATCACCTTCGCTGTGGCCCTCCATTGATTCACACTGTTTTTGGGTAAAGGGAATATGCTGATACTGGTCGGAGTTTTCGGGCATTTTGGTTGTACTTTGGCTTTTCAGGGGTTTTGTTGCTTGGGGTCAAACGGGCGGGTCTGTCATCTATATTTTCAGGGATTTACAATACTGCATAGCATGGTTTAAACAAACAAACAAAGGGCGAAGCGGCGCGTCATTCAGATACAGAAACTGGACATTCGAATTGGATTGGGTTTTCTCTTCTCTATTACTTCATTTCATTCATAGGATCGAGACATATGGACATGAGCCCGAAGGATCAGCATTTTCCTCTTTTCCGGTTTACAAGACCAAACAAGAACGGTTATATGGGATTGGTGGATGGGCGGAATGGTGACTTGGGTTTCAACTCGCTTTCTGTGTATTAGATATTCTCCGAACATCTCACGTGAAGACCTTCAAAGGTCACAAAAATACCAGAAGTTACCCACTCGAACACTATATCTTTATCCATGCCTTTTGTGAACCGGATGAACTGGATTGGAAAGGACTGACTGATTTCAGTTCTACCTTACGTTGCCAGCTCAAAGAAACACAGTTACGTCATCGACGGAATCGCGCCACGATCCATATAAAGAAAACGCTATGTTCACTCGACCGACGTCAAGACTTCTCAAATCCCATCTCCATAGTATACGAGCGGTTAAACCCAAATCACTAACAACTTCTTAGCTAACGGCCAACGGCGACGGCCGGCCGGCCAGCCAGCCGGCTACTCCGACGGAGGACAGTCATGTGTACTATTTGGCGCGTGTGTGTGACGACAACGAAAGACAAAGACGACTGACAAACAAACAAAACACGCACATACGTACTTACGTACGAGGTTGTACCGTTTCTCCTCTCCCGTGTCTCCAGGCTTCCGAGCCTCCAAGCCTCTGAGTCTGCGTAGGTGCACACCCGGGGATGCCCAGGGTTGAATGTGATTTACATGAGGTATATTCAACATCAGATAAAGTAAGTATCGCTTTACGCGACAAGCAGAATCGCCATATTACCACAGCAGCACGTATTTTGAGGTCTGATATGAGGCACCGAAAGACCTGCCAAAACCATCAAGATATTTAATTATGAGGAAAAAAAGAGAAAGCTAGGTAGGCTACATCGGATGGAAGGAATGAGTTTCTCAGACGGGATGCAATGACAGATGGATGGGATGGAAGACCAAAGACCGGATGGAAGAAGACCAAAGATCTAACAGGTGCTGCTGACATGTGCCATCACACGTATCTCATAAGAATAAGTCCATTCCATGAAAGTCGTTGAGGCGGGTGGGTGGATATCGCTCAAGCGCGGACTATAGGCGACAGACATGTCTATGCTGTGTTTGTAGGTACTTGGGCACACAGGCTGCGTGAGGTAGGTAATTGATAGATATGATCCCCATGACCGATAACTAGTAGATAGTAAAAGCGCTTCATAGTTATTTCTCTCTAACCGAGCTACCCAGGTGTCTGTCGCTAATCTAGGTGGGCAAAAAACCTTTTAAACCTAGCAAGATGTACATTCACTTTTCTGTATATGTCTCTCGCTGTCATGACTTGCACGACCGACTCTGGTTTAGTTCATGAAGACCGTCGGCCATCCGTGCCTTACAAGTATGCCCTCCTCCGTCTGTTAGTTCGTTAAGCTTAGTTAGTTTGGTCCTTTGCTTCTTCTCGCTGAGTGTTGTGCCTGACGGCTGGAGGGAAATTGACTTCAAGCCGTTATTGGGAAGTTGATAAAATCTACTTGTATGAATGTGGCACATGTACATACATACATCATTAGGCAAAAGGGTCGCACAGGGTAGTTACCGTGAGAAGACGCCATATGATCAGTTATAAACAAACATGGTAGGTATATATATATACGTAAATCATAACTTATCTGGCCCGATATGCTCGAAGGTATCACAAAACATCTCATCTCGCCCCTTCACTCCCTCCGTTCGTATGTTTGTTTTCCGCTCATCAACACAAAAGCTTCATGACTGTTTATATATAAAGTCGTGTCGTGGACATCTGTTTCGTCATATCATCCATCATCCATCCATCATAAAGCCCGACCGACCGACCCAGCCCGACCCAGCCCGACCCAGCTCTCCTAACTAACATCAAATCAACTCTTGGCAACATTCCACGTCCTAGCCGTGCTCATCGTCCTCATCCTCATCTCCGCCATGATCTTCTGCTCCATCTTATCGATCCCCTTCTCGATATCCTTATCCTCCTGCGCGTACTCGGCCTCCCGCTTCTTGTCCCACAGTAACCAGGTCACGACGATGATCAAGGTAAGCGGGATCGTGATGGCGAAGTAGACCCATATCGAGGGGGAAACTGTTCTTGTTACACTACCACCGTCACTTCCCCCGGAAGAACTGGAGGAAGAGTTGTCACCGGCGGGAGAAAAATCCGAGTTTTGGTCTTGGAAGTTGAAAAATGTCATGGAAAAAACGGATGCGAGTAGTGTGGCGGGTAGGAATATCGCGCCCAAAAGGGAAATGGATTTCATGGAGGTGGCATCCCGTTTGGCGGCGTGGGCTAGCTTGCGCTGGTCGACGGCCATTTGTAGGCCGAGTTTGGATTCCTTTTGGGCGATGATGTTGTAGAGCGCCGCGCGCTGGATGGATAGTCGTTCGAGCGTGATGTGCGCGTAGTTTTCTATGCCTTTTAACTTGGCGTTGAAGAAATCGAGGCGGGAGACGAAGCTGTTGTGAAGCTTTTCGGCGTCTTTGCCGTAGGTTTCCGGCCGGTCTTTGGCGAGGGACCAGAACTGTTCGAGGGCGATGCCGAAGGAGCGGACGGTTTCCTGGTAGGCTTGGGGGCGTTTCCAGAGTACCTGGCTATGGCACTCAACCAAGTCGCGGTTGATTTGATCCAAATTGATCATGGTCTCTTTAATATAGTTGCTCTCTTCCTCCCGGATTTCTTGTCGCATGCTGACGGCATGCTCGAGCTGGCGCAGCCACTCGCGCGCCTCGCGCTGCTTCATGTCCGTCTTGATGGAGATGTCATGACTCAAGACGATGATGGGGAGCAAAAAGGGGTGCATGGCTTGCGAGGCGCAAGCCAAAAGAGTCTTGATGGAAACGTCGATGTCGGAGGATGGCGTGCCCTTGACGAAACCCGAGGTGAGGCCGGTGTTAAAGGAGTGCGAGAGCATTAGTTCCCAGCCGCGGGTTTTGCCCTTTTTGCGGACGTCGGATTTGCGAAAGATGATTTCTGTTGTGTGAAGGGGTGGTTAGAAGGGGGGTGTTTGGTGAATTGACAATAGCAATGACCTACGCATGTGAGGATCTTCTTCATCGTGGTCCAGAGCTGCCCAGAAAAAAGGACCGACGACACTGGTTCCTTCTATGGCTCGATAGGGTAACCGCATGATCTCGACCATACTTGAATAGTCCTCGGGTTTTAGGGAAACGTGTAGAGGTGCAAAGGTTTCATCTTGTTGTGCATCCTTCTGTACTCTGAACAGTGTGTTAGTCCTGTCTCGCTGCGTCTATGTTACTGCCTTGGCCATAGTACTCACATTAGGCGAATTCCGTTCAAAAGTCGTACCCCTTCCTTGAGCTTCTTAGGAGCAAAGACGCCCTAGAAAACGAAACTGTCAGCTCAGTGCTACCAAAATAATTAGGAAGCCTGATCGTCTCTTACTCGTCGGTGTAAGAAGTTGTGAAATTCGACTCGTCGCTCATCAGGTCCGAATCGGTGTTCATCAATGGTGTTGAGACTTTCATCCTATTCGAATCCACGAGATCAGATCATGCCTTCACACTGGTAACCTCTCCAATTCCCATCCCTCAGTCTTACAAACTCAACCCTTAAGTCAACCACATCTTTGCTCCCACGGAAATAAATTTGTTGCCGGGTGCAAAGCAAGCTGACAACCCACTCAACTTCACCAACCCAACAACCTCCCCAACCCTTTTTCTCTTTTCACTCATGTTTCAATACTTGTCACTGGGACGCTCTCCCACTCACACAAACATCCACCCTCTGCCTCTCCCTCCCCATCATGTTACACCAAACCGCTGCCTCGTCCCTTCCCCCCATATCCCCCTTTCCCCCCCACCTCCACCACCACGCTCCCGTCCAAGTGGCATCTTTGTTCCTTTACTTACCGAGTAATTCAGAATCTCTATCCACGAAGTGGTCTCCTCCACGAATTTGCACTGGTCGAGGTGCGTCCGGAACAGGTACTGATCCATGGCTGGTTGCTGTTCCCGTTACTCTTTCCGCCTCTCTCCTCGATAGCTTAGCTGAGTGGTTGGTATTATTGATATCCTTTTCTTTCGTGTTTATATGTCGTCGGTGTCATGAAGAAGCGCGAGGCCCGAGGATGTCGATGTCAAGAGCAAAGGGATCCGATGGTTGAGGGTTGATGATGAGAATCTTGCTAGATCCAGATTCGGTTATGAGCCACTGTGTGAGCTGAATGGGTGCCGCAGCCGGTATACGTCTTGTGTTAATGAAGCTGATTTAATTTGGATGAAACTGGGAGCGTATGTATGTCTGCTTTGTCTTGTGCGTGTATGTGTGTGTCTTCTCGAGTCGTGCCGTGCCGGTGTCATATACTCTTCTGTCTCAGTTCAAATCATCCAGTGTCGTAGGCTCATAGGCTCGTAGGCTCGTGGGCTCTTTCTTCGTCAGCCTCGTAGTCGTCGTGATGAATGGTGATATTCGATGCAGATCCCGTCTATAACTTTCGCAATGTATAAATTTCCGAAGTCGACTGCGTAAGCTTCGTCGAAAAACAACCTGGGGCGGGATATATGTTCTCAAGCCGAGACAAAGAGTCCAAAGAGGCTATAACGACCGTCCCAGAAAATGAAATTGCAAAAAGAGGAAAGTTCTTGAAGTGGGAAAGAAAAGGTTGACAGAAAGCAACAAAGCTAAGGACAAAAAAAGAGGTAGCCAAAAAGAACGTAGGTAAGAAAAGGCTGCGGTGCTGCTCGGGTGAGGAACCCACACCCCCTGCGCTGAACCCCCAGCCTGTCCAATCCTTCGACAGCAAAACGTTCGAAACTTTTCTTTTCCTCTACTTTCGCTACCGAATACCGACCCCCGATTTTCGATGGATGCTACTTAGCTGCAACGGTATCTCCACCGGTTTCCTGTGCTACAGCAGCATGTCAGCAGGAGCCGTTGCGGTGTAGCGTACTGGCCAGGGAGGTAGTATGAAGCGGAGAAAGGTAAGCAAAAAGCACATGAAAGACCCATCTCTCAAAAACCCCCTCTCTATCAAACTATACATACATATATCGAGAAATCGGCACCGATACGGGTGGGCGTCGACGCCGGGCGGGGCTGGGCTGGGCTGGGCGAGCCCGCAGCATTCGTTCGATCTTGTGCCCTCTCCTCCGTCCAGTCCCCTTCGTATGTTTTTTGGTGGTGGCTGGGAGGCCCCCAGAACAAAAGACCCCTGTCGGCGGACATGCATTCAAGCTTTCCTCAAGTGGGGTGCCACGTCTTGTTTTGTGCCTCTTTCTTTTGCGGTTGTTGAGCCGAACGAGCTTGTGGGATGATCTTCCTCAATCCAACTCGGCTGGAATGCGGAGGTTTTTCAAGTTGTTGTATTGCACATCGTAACCATCGTGCTTCCATGGCTTCAAGATTCGCGGTTCGGAAATATATGTGAAAAGGCTAACACTCGGGACTGGGTTTCTTGAGAAATCCACAGCCATCCTCAGGTCCTTGACCATACGGTGCCATCCCTTTTATCTCTCTGTCTATAACGCCCGTAAACTCCATTTTATGGTACCTAGCTGCTTCGCACGACACCCATCCATATTTCCTGCACCCAGAAAAAAATAAAGCGAAATGTATACATGTTCTATCCAGCCCTATCCCAAACCACAAAGAACCTGACGGCAGATACCGATCAATACTGCCACAGCGCCTTGTGGTAGATGACCCTGGACCCCAACATCTTATACTCATAGTTTGTAATCCATGAATCGTTGGTCGACAGCTTCGCAAAGACGCTCGCTCCCTTCCAAACAACGACCTGCTCGTCCATCTCCCTCGCGCTCCTGCTCACCAAGATCCGCTCCGACAGGTCCGGCCGGCGTGCCTTGAGCTTCTCCTCAAGGTAGGGTGCAAAGTGCGGGATCTTGGCACCACCACCAATAACCATGATGCTTCCCATCAGCTCCCTGACCTTCTTCTCATCACCCTTAGCGGCGTTCTGAATGCTGGTCATGATAGCGATGTCCAGAGGCACTACTGGCAGCACGGCGTCACGCTCTGCGGCCATCGACTTGGGAGTGCGCTGGGCGGCCTCAGCTGGCATGCCAGGGACGGCTAATGTGTTGTTGCCAGCGCCAGTGCCGTTGGGGGCCGCAGGTGCCCCGTTGGTGAGTACTGGGGTAGTGCCATTCCGTCCACTGGGGGCGGGACTACCGCCGCCTGCTCCGAAGACGAACGGCGGTGGAACAGGAGTGCTGGCGCCCTCCCCAGGAGCGGGCGATGGCGCCTTCGATGTGCCGGGTGTGCCGGCGGCGGTGTCGGCGCGCGCCAAGAAATTGAATGGTAGCGGTTTCTCCTTGCCGGGCGTAGCAAGATCATTCAACGCTCCCGCAAGAGTATGCGCGTTAAGGCTTGGGGCGATATGGCTCAGGACGGCGAACTGTGCAGCCGATGTAGGATCATCTGGGACTTCCACATCGTAGGCATTGTACGACCTTTCGATGAGCTTCCTCCTGCCTCTAAGCTTGGTGCTGTTGTCGAAGATAGAAGGGTCATAAAAGCCCATAGGGGCCAGGATAACCTCGTCGTAGAATTTGAACTGGTATTTGCGAGTGGGCTGGTTAGGAGCGCGCACGTGGAAATCGGAGTTCTGAACAGATATGTTGGCCTGTGATAGCGTGCAGTACTTGATCTTCAGCTCTTCGGCCAACAAGAAATCGTATCTTCGTCGTAGATTGATTTCTTGGTATGGGAAGTTGTCGTAAAGCATCATCTTGATAAATGTTTCGGTAACATCGTAGCCGCCAAATTTAAGGTTGATGCGGGAGTCCTCGATGCAGAGTCCATCCTCAACACAGGTGATGGAAGTCTTTTGTGCGCCGACGTCTACAACACAGGCCTGTGTGTAGCCGGCACCAAACGAGGCCGCCATACTCTCTTGTATGAACGAGATCTTGCTGAACTCGAACCACTCCACGCAGAGGTGCAATATTTGCTCCACATACTTCTTGTCGTACAGATCTGGGATGACGAAGACGCAGCTATACTGCTTCCATTCGGTACTTCGCTTGAGACCCAAATCATAGCGTAAGGCGCGGTCAAGTAAGGTCTCGATATCGTTGAATAGGTGGGCTTTTGTCGGATAGTCGTCTTCATTCATCCAGCCATGCTGTATCGGCCACCATAGCTTGAATTTGGGGTTGGAATCGTCCGGAATGCGTAGCGCCTGTTGTCCAATAAACACGGACGCGTTCGAATCCGGGTCTTCCAGAGTCTTGACATCGGTCCAGTCTACTTGAAGGGGATCATTGTGGGTAGAGATGACTTCGGCCTCTGTTCGGCGGTTGAAGTTGAGAACCAGATCTTTTGAGTTGGGGAGAACCTTGCGCCTGTTTGCGCGCATGTCCGTCTTAAGGTCGTTGCACATCTTTTGGTACTTCTTGGACCAATCTTCGCCGTATTGCTGCTCGGTTGTCCTAGCCTCGAACTGCCTCCTCGGTAGCGCTTCGTACATGTCCGACTCTGTCTGTGGGTACTTTGTCGCGAGAACCATGGGGATGGTTTTTGGAAGCGCATCGCTCGCAAACCCAATTCTCAGGTTTTGACTTCCCGGGTGGATGACGATGACCTTGGATGGGTCGGCATAGGCTGTGGCTGTCGGTCCATCATCGCCCTGTAGCTCGTCGAGAGGGAGAGGTACTTCGCCATTGGTGTAGTTGAGGGCGCGATCGCGGTCTTTGGCGCTTTGTACAAGCCGGTCTCTATTCAGTTCGCTTTGTAGTCTGAGGGAAAGGATCTGATCATCCCGCTTCATATAATCACTGTACACCCATTGTCAGCGTGCTGGACTTGATCGTTGGCGAGGAATAGGACTTGTGGGGTGATTCGCACGTGTAATAGTTCTTCTGGTTGATGGGAACGACGTCGGGCCAACTTGTCTGCTTCATGCCATTGTCGGTACGCTCCAACCCTGAGAGTAGCTATTAGCGCTTGATCATGAGTGTCATAGACTGAAGAGTGATAGCACATACCTTCCCGAAGGAGGACGCGTTCGCTGACTTTCCCGACCATCTTCAAGAGATATGCCAATCGAGTGGTCTGAGATGCGCGGTAAATCTTCTATTCGAGGGATAACGCGCTTCGTTGACCTATAAACGAGGTGGCGGTCACGGTGGAGCGGGACCTTTTCTGCAAATGCGCGCCAGCTGGAGGTGGTGATATTTTGTGACGCTGTCGATGTAGCGGATACCGTGTTTTGGTGTTGAGGCAAGGTGGAGGAGTTGCGGCGGTGCGGTCGGCCGGTTGGGAATGTTGATGGCGGACGTGGGCCTCGTCTGTGTTCTCTTGGTTCGCCTTGATTCGACCGGTTCAGTCCGATAAATTTGGGTTGATTGAGTTTGGCGGCCGGTGCACTGCACGATAGACAAAACGTTTGGCAACCATCCACAACGTTACTCGGCTGGACAGACATGCACTCCCCAGAATAGGTACCCCGTTGTACCTGGTCCGTCGTGGAGTTTTTCTATCGCGCTAAAGCCGTCCCAGGTTTAGCTTCTTGGAAGGGCTGAACAGGGGGGTTCCAATGGAGCCATTCGTGCCATTCCGGGCTGCGACAGCGGACGTTCACCTCGACGGCGCCGACTTTTGCGACTGCATTCACACTTTCACTTTCACTTCACTCCATTCGCTCACACAGTCTGCTTACATCTCCGAACGTAGATCACGACAAGTATCAACTTCAGGACCCAAACCGAGGCTGACCACCACATGTTGATTGTCCAACAAGCAGTGCATCAAGGCCGCATAGAGACTGATACTGAATCATGTTGCTTGGAGGCTTTCGAACGAACAAAGAACAGCAAACACTGCAGTTGTTGGCCGTTCAATGTTAAGAAATGAAGGCCAGCTGCACCCTTGCCTTGCAGTTGCTCTGCCATCCAACAGTTCGCGGCCGGCAACCTGCCCTGCCACCTGACAATGACGTCGTTCCTGATCGGCGTTGCTCAGCTTCAACGACCGTTCGCGAATTGCGAGGCAGTCGCGACTCATCCCCTTGCAAGTGATCAATGACCAGTCAGCAGGCAACGACACGATAATAAAGAGCACTGCAGAGGCAACTACATTTCAGAACGGCCACGTTACACATTCGGCGTTTACTCATCTTGTTGACCGACACAGGATCTCACATAACATCTTCAACTGATTCGACTTTACTCAATCCAGTGACCCAGCACTTCTCGTTTAGTTTCGTCGTCTTGTTGACCACACCTCCAGTTCACATCTTCGCCATCTATCAATCCACTTGCAAACATGCCTCCGATAAACCTTCACACCCATAGCCCCATCAACGCAGCAAAGGCATTTGATGCGAAGGACCCCCCCAAGACCGCAACCCCAGAGGGTCAGTCTCAATCGGGAACAGTTCCCAACGCCAACCCCGATCCCCAACCCACCGGGACCGCCACGCTCAACCAGGCTACACCCACCTACCTCACCTCCGACCGAACTCCTCCACCTCCCCAGCCCGGAGCAGTCCCAAGTCTACCCGCCCAAACAGGGACCGGGACGAGCCAGGGGCAAGACGTCAAGTACCCCCATCTCCCACCCCAGCCTTCATCTCAGTACTACCCAGGAAGCCCGGCAGCACCAGCACCAAGCGGCCCAATAACCAGTCCACCGCACCAAATGTCCATCCCGCCACCCACCGCTTCCTACAACTACTCCCAACGCGGAACGTCTACCAACACAGTCCCACCACCTCCCACGAGAACCCTACCGACCTATCTCCCTGGCGCCTCCCCGGCTGAGCTTGGACTTCGACCCCGACCCGGAGCTGGATCTGGATTTGGATGCGGAGGAGGCGGTGACCTCTCCCACCCTCCCGGGTACCAACAAGACGCCATGGCGTCGGATATGAACCAGGCTCAGCGCGCGGCGCACGAGTATGCTGCTTCTCATGGGGGTCATGGTCACGGTCACGGTGGTGGTTATGGTGGTGGTGGTGGTGGTGATGACGACGAAGGGGTCTGGAACTCGGCCAAGAAGTGGATTCAGGATGCGGGGGCGAAGGTGGCGGAGGCGGAGAGTGAGGTGTGGAAGAGGATCAATAGTCAGAAGTAGTCGAAGATGGGCAGCCTATTACGCAGTATGCCGGGGGGTTCCTTCCATTGTAGTGTCAGTGAGAAGGAAGGAGGGCGAAGGTGTATGTTTCGTATTCGTTGAGAGCGTGTGTGGCGTCAGAAAGTGTTGGGATTGATATGGTATGTCTGACTTCGCCGGTCCATGTTGTCTCATGAAAGACCCGTGATGGAATTCATTCTCTATTCGGTTGGAAATGGGAAATAGTATTCGATATCCCAATCTAACTTCTGCTTTTTTACATATGGCATGAATTTCTGAATGTGATGAGGGAAAATGGCTAAGAGGGACACTCCGTTCTATACCATTATGAGCACTCTACATAACGACTGCAAGTTACGGCGTGACCTCTTCATGTCAAGTATTATCAACAAGACTAACTGAAAAAAAAAAACTGAAAAAAAAAATTTGGTAATTGTTGAACAACATTGGGCCAGAAACTTACCTCCATGTACTCATATCCAAAGCCCTTTTTTATAAACACATCAGAATGTTTCTTTTCAACCTTCATTTAGCTTGAGGACAATGTATACATAAAAACAGCAATCAGAAGAAAAGTGCAAAAAGAAAAAAAAAAGTGTGGACAAGGCTGGATCGAACGTGCAGCGTGTTCGGGAGAAGGAAGGAGGGGCAGAAGAGAGGAAAGTAAAGGAGCGGGCGACAACCACGACCGCTACGACATCCGACCAGCTTGCCACGGAAATGATGACGCGGGAAGTGATACATATACCCTCCTGCAGGCGCTAGGTTGCGGGATACCCTTATGTCCTTCGGGGCCACAGGCGCAGTTGGGATGGAATACGGCGGGCGGGCAGGAGGGAAGCAAGTATGTCAAACATCCTTTGCGTTGAGAAATTTCCAATGGGACTACCTATGGCGGGCAGTGTCCGTTTATCCAGGCCGTCGAGAGCTTTGTGTCTACTTACATAGTAATCACTTTGAAGCTGGTCAACTGCACTGGAATCGAATCGTAAAGGGAGGACATCACATCAAGGTAAGCATGGGATTCAGCTTTCCTTAATTCAAATTCGTGTTTTCAGTCTTCAAAGCTCGAAAAGTTATCTTGAGTCTCCCTTCTTCCGTGAGCTCTTTGACGCAAACACCAAGAAACATCATAGATAGACGGAAGCTACCTATATTATGACTTAGATGTTGGCAAACCACCCGAACGAAGTACGTGTGCGCTAACAGAGGCTCGAGATGGCTTGTAATATGTGAGATAGTTTACGATTACATACATCTCTTGCTTATCTGACTGAATCAGCTTCCTTTTCCAGTGTAGTCACATTTGGTTGGAATCCATTGTGTGCGACTCTCAACTAAAAAGGAACGAGTCAGTATATGTTCGAGGAAATGTCTTCAACCTCAGAGAACAAGAGGATGGGACAGGATGTTGTCTCGGCGTCCTGCTCGGTCTATTGACACTTTAGCTGATATTTTGCCTCCTGGTTTGAGGGAAAAAAAAACATACAACACCAGGGATTCGCTGGTCGTCACCGACCCAACTACTAGTCTGGCCCTCACTGGCTTATCTATGGGAGAGCGGACGGGATCCCGAGTTTTCCAGTGGGTATGGTCGTATGTGCTTGTTATGCTGCGAAATGGAGAGCTATAAACTGAGAGACTGAGAGGAAGCAATTGAGTCTCACGTACGTCAGAGTGAGTTCCGCAGTCCCGCAGTTGGAGGACTGGGAGCGTTCGAGGAGTGGAAGGGGGATGGCACTACCAGTGAATGACCTTTATATGAGGGCATAAGATAAGGTGTCCTTGGTGGAAATACTGGAGGGTATGAGGCTCGAGCTTGAGAGCTTGAGATCTGGGAGAGCTTTGAGTTATGGAAAGGGGCTAGGCCACTAGTGAAAGGGAAGATGAGGGTCTGAGACTGAGAAGCTGGGAAGCTGTCGGGGTTGCAATTCTGAGTATATTGTAGGTAGTTTTTCTTAACCTTATTCGACGATCGTTAATGAGTGTTCACAGAGAGCTTCCCTTAATGGCCAGTCGATGATAATTTTGTTATGCACCGGGCATAACACGCAAAGTCACCGTTGTGCTGTTCAGTGATCAGATAGGAGGTATTACTCACTATGACAGTGGGATTGTAACATGTCATGAGGAAGAAATAATTCATTTTGGTCTGTTTCGTGAAATTAAAGGAGAAGTTATGGTATTAATCGTGGACACATGGAATTATACGATACTTACTTGTTGTTTTCGGCTCCATGTTTCCAGCGTTACTGATACCTGTAACGGTAACGTGTGTACTAGTAACTCACGCTCTGCCCCTTTCTATGGACTAGTTGAACCTCCAAGGCAGAAGACCCTAGCGTCACATGAGCTCGGTGGAGGCATGAACATTCATGGTGGTATCAGCCGGCGGCCTCCCTGGGGTCTCAACAAGATCCAGTGTTGAAGTCTCTTTCTGGACGACGGGATCCTAGCTCGGTCGTATCCATGTCCGGGCCTTTGCGCTCGAGCATCAGCTCCCGTTCTAGACGGATCTGATAAGATGAAGTACTTGTTTCCAAGGATGAAAAGGGTAAAAGTCAGGGGCATGGGATATGCTCGCCGTTTTTGGTTCATGAGTTGAAGGCAACCACAGATACCTGACTGTATTGGACTGCCGTTTCAACCGATTTGTCGATTGCTCGCGAATCAATTTGCCTTTCAGGAAACTGTTTACATGGTTGCAATGTTTCTCGTACCGGAAACACCGAGTGTCGGGTCATCGTTGGACGATGATTTTACGCTTGCCTCGGCGTGGCCAATTGGAACCAAGGTATTTCAGCGTGAGTAAGAGCCATGGAACACTCGAGAATGAGTCATCCGAGAACCGTGTTCTTGATTTTCGAAGCGACCTCTGCGTACTAGTCATGTATAAGGTAAGCGGAATATACGTCTGTTTGCGTTGATGGTCCGAGGCTCTGGCTTGAGAATCTCTACACTCCTTGACCATGGACTTGCGTTTTCACCACTAACGACTATAGAGGCCCGTATATCATAATTGCTATGACGTGAGCCACGACAACACCATGGCATCTTGCCGGAAGTGGTCCTCGTCCTGGTTGTCTCGGTAAACCCGCGAGACGCGTACCATGATCCCTGGCGGTGAGCACTTGCCCTACGAGAACACTCGTCGATACCTGGGCCCTGGATGGGAGGAGAGACAGAAGGATGCCGTCATGCGTGAAATATTGTCCGCCATGATTTACATAAAACCCGAGCTATAGGCAGCGAGTTCCCTACGGCTAAACAGCGAACAATTTCCCAAAAGGGCACTCATTGTTATGCGTGGTGCGCCCAAGCGGAAGAACAGCTGCACTTGTGTTGGAGCGGATTTTCCGGGAAGCTCCACTGAACAAGGACGTGGAATGTCTCTAGAAGAAACACTAGCGTCTGAGCGGCAGAAAGGGTGGGAAGCAATTGGTGATCAAGCGGGGTGATGAAGTCGTAGCCTTGAAGCCTTGATCCTCAGACTTTGAGGATTGGGAAACTCGAGGCTATTCTTGGAAATTGCTTGTGATGCGTAGGCAACGCACAGACGGACTGCTTTAAACATAGTGTAGATCTAAGCCGTGGTAGAAGAATTCAAAGCGAAACAGATTGGGGTAGTATTCCCACTGCGGTGAGGAAATTGACGGGGCATGCGTGGTGAGAAGCGCGCCAGAGGAACACACCATGAGCGGCTATCATTCTGTGGTCCCGATGCGGTCCAATTGACGATCCTGGGGTGATTATTCATCTCTGACATGACTCGCAAACAGTTTCTCTGGTTTGTTTTTGACGGGAGTGGTCATTCGGACCGCCAATTCTTGTCGAGTCCTTCCACTTCTCTGGAGCCAGAATCGGCTGATGGCGGACCATTCGCAAGGTGAGACCTGGGAATACGAACTCGAGAGATCATGATGGATGGATACAGTATCACTAACTGTAGCATACGCATGTTGGAGGACACCAAATGGAGAATCAGGAATGTGGACGGATGATCGCAAAAGAGCGCCTTGAGGTTCTTCACCTGCTTACACAATGAAGGTGTAGGAACTTGGAAGGCAAGAGGTCTGGAGGTGGTTGAGGTGAAGTCTTCTGGTGCGTGCCAAGAAAGGTACCAATGGTGACATCGGGGCATGCGGGGCTAGGAGTGCTGCAGGTGGTGTGCGACTGCCTCCTGCGACAGATCTGAGACGTTCCTGCCCCGCGAGCCCCGGTTCCTCTCCCCCGGCCCACTCCTTCCTTACATGTCCATGGTGTCAATACCTAGCCTGAGTTGCCCTTGTGGCTGTACGCTCTTCCCCCCATCCGCTCGTCCAATGGGTCAATTTCCAACTCACACACAATCTCTTTGTTCCCTTTCTCTCAATTGTCTCTCTCCTTCAACAACGTCGGCTTGTGGCTCAACACCACCAGCCCTGTCAACGAATCGCGGTCGTCTCCGAATCCCCGCATCCGCAATCTGCAGTCGGCAAGACGGGATTCCCCCTGCAGGTCCCAAGAGTCCTCCAAGTTCCTCAATTGAACTTGGCAAGAACAAAACCCACCAAACCCCTTGAAAGATCGGAATCGAAACCGTACTCCCTGCCCTGCCTCGAGCCCTGGACTGCCGACGAATCAGGAAACCCAAGGAGGATCAAGACACGGGTGTCGCGAATCATCCTCCACTTGATTGGAACTTGCTATTTTTGCCATCCTGCCCTGCTTCCCCTCACCCCGTTTCTAGAAACTTGTTGCCCGCTCTCGAGTTGATGACATGGGATTGAACCAAAAGAGGCTTACGCTACCTCCTCGTTCCGACCGCAATGAGACTGCTAACCCGCTCTCAACACTAGTGTAATCCTCACTCCGCCTCAAGTCTTCTTCAATCCCGGCCCTCAGGCTTCAGCCAGTCCCGAGCTGACTCGCCCCGAGCAACCTCAGCCTCTAGCGCCGATCTGACGAATCCGCTATGGCTTGTATCAAGTTTCCGAGTAGCGAAACCTTAGATCCACGAACTTGGGAAGAGTTTCCGATCACGTAACCTTCATACGCGTCACCATGCCCGTCTTGGTTTTGCACTTCCGATGCTGAGAGACCGGCGCTTGCTTTGCTGGGTTAGGTCTCAACCTACAAGTCCGATGCTGTTGTCTCGCAGAACAACAACAGTCAATGAAGTTGGATGGGCAGTCAGGTTGACTGTTGAACCCGGACCTCGAGGCAAAGTGCAGGCTTGTGAACCATTACTACCAGCTTCTTTCGAGCATCACTCCCGCCTATCGAGATTTTGTCCCCTTCCTCTATGGCCGGCCTGGCTTGATGCCTCAGGGTAGCTGTCTAATCGCTTTCAGGACGGCCGATAACCGCAGTCAATCTGCTTACTTTCAATCTGACGGGCGCCAGAGGGACGGGAACGACAGAATAGTGTGGTCCTCTATGACCTCCTACACCATCGCTTTGCCGCGAGGCGTCCTCTTCGTCATCCAGTCCATCAGCTTAGACCACTATCGGCCTGGAATCCGGATCGTCCAAGACACGGAAAACTAGGCCTGGTTGCCACCTATTACCGACAAGAAGGCATGGATCTGAAACGAGCCACCCACCATCGGTACCTTTTCGCGCCTTACACAGACAGTTCTGGGTACATGGACGATGACCCCCCCATCTCATCTTCGCTTTGCTAAACATACACACTCCTGACCAAAAGGGGTTTAGAGGCCTTCTCAGACAGCCCCTTGCCCTGCGCTGCCCCGAATGGGTGGCTCTTCCTGGTAGGGGGAGTCCCGGTCAAGCCCCTGGCTAGTATTTGGGCTAGTAGGCACTCGGGCTCAGTCAACCGAAGCACGATGCTTCCTCACTACTTTCTAACCAAATTGCTTTTCGGGCCATCAAGACTTTCACTTTGGGAATCTAACTTGCCAACGTTTTAGCCTCATCATCTATGGCCAAAAAGATCATTTGATCCACAGGCTACTTAGCCCCCTGGTCCCTGCTTGCGACATCATACATGGCTCCTTCTGTCCCGTCTTCGATGGGCAGATTCAACCCTGTTCGTCTCTACCCTTGTCGTCTGTCTTCTTCCCAACGGAACAGGCCATAGACATCTCGTGCACCACCTGTTCTCCACGTTCATAGACGCAGGGCAAGCCTGTACCATGTATCAGAGACCCGGCTTAGCTGCTACCGATGTTCCCAACCTGGCCTCACTGGACCATTGACCGTCCAGGGGTGCTGTGTCTTGGTCTGTGATAGATTCTTTTATACCTACGGCATGTCAGTGCCCACTCACTGGCCTCTTCCTTTTGCACCCTTCCCGTCCTTTCATTCTTGATTTCTCACTGGCTACCCGACCCTCCTTCACTACCACCAGTCCTTACTATCGATTGCTGGCTTATAATACACCAAGAGCTGGCTCTCTTCCTCTTGGACACCAGTGTGTGGGTGATAGTCTAACGGGTTGGCCTCGTACAACTCATTCCACTCCTTTCCTTCCAGCACTTCGGAGCCACCGACATTCCTTTCACTTTGGGTAGCCGCAATTTCGCAATTTTCCTCTCTGTCCTTTCTGGTCATTTTATTATTCCTCAAAGCCGAGGTTCTACAATCCTTAACAACATTTGTTATACACGGACCGCTCGTGCCACCAATCAACCAGCCATCAACGCTTTCATTTACCACCAACCACTTCACCTACTCAGAAAGGCTCGCAGTGCTACCTGTATCCTCTTTCAGTCAAGACATCTTCTCATCTCGAGCTAACCACAACGCCGTCATACATCGCGTAAGTTCAACCATGACCCCTGGACGTATGTTCATGCTAACATCCACAGCCGTGCCCGTGACTTCCGGTCAACAACCAGTGGACCCGAGTGATCTTTTTGGACCTATCGGGTAGTCATGGACGCAAGCCAGGAGCAATCCCGCAGACGGTTGCCCTTCTCCTTTGGGTTCTCAAAGAGACAAGAAGTGCCTTTCCATCAGCAAAATACCATGTCTACTATGCCTGGGAATCAGTTGACGACCGAGATGGAGGCGATGGCGCCTACTCATGGAATGTGGACAAACCCTACCTCTCAAGGTATAAAGCCACGACCGGCTACTATCCATGAAGGATTCGCATATAGTATGGGTGGTGGCTTTGGAACGTTACCCGCGTGGACTCAACCCTCATTGAGCATCCCGCAAGCACAACACACCCCAAGCGACGCCATGTTCCCGCCGACCTCGATGCCTCACGAGTTCTACCCGCAAACGACAGGTGAGACGACTGAAACGACTAGGAAACAAGATGATGTAGAGGAGCTAACGGTTCCATCAGATGCATGGGGGCAGAGACATTGCGGAGAACACGTTGATATACCACCTTTGGACGACGATCTTGCAATTGGGCAGGCATTTACTAGTGACGAGGTCGTTCCCATGGACCTTCAGTATCAGGGACATCAGCAGTTGGAAGGCGATCAGATGAACTTCGACGGCGGATTGAATCAGCGCAGAATGTCTGGATCGTCGTTCAGCTTGTCGACTTCCGGTGCCTTCTCCGACATGCCTTCGTACGACGAATTTTCTGCCTCGCTCTCTGATGCGCAGTCAATTTCCGATTACCGGCCGACCTCGAACAGGAACTCCTACATGTCTTCAACACACCTCTCACCCGTCGCTTCTCCACGTATGACTCCTCAAACACGGTCGGATCTCGTACGGACACAGAGCAGAGGCCGCGCCTCGCCTTCTCCCCGGCCCGGATCGCGCGCTGCCCCATACAGCGTGGATGGTGGCAGGAGTAAGAGATGGTCAACGGGATCTTACGGCACAGCTGCTAGCAGAAGACCTTCGCCTTTTGTCTACCATCACGGATCGCAAGAACCCTTCTACTCTCAGCCCCGGATGCCGTCCCATCACTCCTCCCCCACGGTTGCTCAACCTCAACTACCGCTCAGCTTTGGGAACCTACAGGCAGTACAGCAGAACCCCTATCTGCTTGGGAGCAATGGTCCAGTACTTCAGCATAGCGGCATGCTTCTTCCGTCGCAATTGCCATCCCATGGGTTCCACCCAGTGCAGCACCACTTTGAGCAGCCGCCTCCGCTGCTTTCTCATGGATTCTTCCGTATGCTTTCGAGCAATGCGGACCCGAGCTCTCTGCATCACCACTACGCAGACCTTTCGGATCCGCCTGATCTCTTTGCTGCCCTTCAGGAGGAACAACTCGATCCTCCGCCCGAAGATATGAATCCCGACGATCCCGAAATGGTCCCCCATGAGCAGGAACTTAGGTTCGACGGTGACCTTTACACCCCCAAATGGGTACGCGGACACGGAAACAAGAGGGAAGGATGGTGCGGAATCTGCAAGCCAGGACGTTGGCTAGTGCTCAAGAATTCAGCGTACTGGTACGACAAGAGCTTTACACACGGCATTAGCGCACCGACAGGATGTCGTTTCCAGGAACCACAAAAGATCAGGCGCATGGAAGGAAACCCGGAAGTATGGGAAGGCTTTTGTGGCACCTGCCGTGACTGGGTCGCGCTGGTGAGCAACAAGAAGAAGGGCACCACCTGGTTCAGACACGCATACAAGGTATGTCAAGAATTCTCTCTTTCATATTGAGTGCATATCGCTAATAGTTATTCTGGAACAGTGTCATACGCATACCAAGATCAAAGACACACCAAAGCGGCGAAGGGGGAGCAGTCACACGCGACCATCAAGCATGATCAAAGCCAAAGCTGAACCGCAGATCTCTAGCCCGCTGGGAGGTCAAATGCAGGACAGCTCGATCGCGGAAACACCTTCCTTATCCCAGACGTCGGGGGAGAGCCAATTCGAGCAAGCACAAGAGGATCAATGTTCATCATTGTCGCCGCCATCGATTCAGCCTCTTACACCGCAGCCACCCACCGAGCAACAATCGGAGCTATGCCAACCTCCCGAGTTGAGTTCACACGTTGATAAACTGCAACCGCCGCCAATTCCTCTACGCGATGGGCGTCGCCATAATATTCATGCCCAGATCACATCTGCCCCTCGTTCCTGGCCTGCCCCCTTCACTGCTGAAGTGGCCAACTACCAGTGACCGTCCACAACGGTTGATTAGTTGAGAAATTCTGATTGGAATGGGTATTACTACGTCCAATCCACACCATTTCTTATTTTATTTCCCCATTTCCGTTTTTTTCAGCTTCATGAACATAGTTTGCTCACTGAACCATGTGGTGTTCCTAAGGTGCCAACAAACCATGGTCTGTTCTTTCCTCACCCCCAAACTCGCTTGTTTAATCCCCAACCTTTTTACGGAAGCTGGCTACCATGAGATGTCGTTATGATCACACACGGAAATCAGAAAAGCGGAAAGCAAGTACACACAAACAACTCCTCGGGAATGGAGTATGATCTCTTAGAATTGGGGCTCAGGGCGATTTATTAGATACTTACCTAGACTGGCACACGTTTTTATGATGTCTCTTTCTCTCTATATGTCGACCTGATCTATTCAACGCGGGCGTCGTGAATACGATTCAGTGCGCGGCGGTGATGTGGTGGAGGATACCCAATTTCCTTATTTCCGTCTTCCTGTCTCTCGTTTTCTTGGCTTCTAATTGACCATTCGAAATTCATAACTTTCTATACTCTCCTTCGTCCCCTTTATACACAGGACTTTTCCCGCACACTCTCCCCTCTCTGATGCTTCTTGTCGTAGGTTCATGTTACTCTTCTCAGCAGCTCTAGATGAGCGAAATGATACCCAAATACGAGCTGATGACCACCATATCCATGCAAATTGTCAAGCTACATAACTGCGAGACGTGCGTTACGGACCCCTAGATTTTCGGCTTGACAGGGGCCACATGTGCACGGTTGCCGGTGCGACCGGGTGGAGGTAAACAAATAAACAAACGAATAAAGTGACGTATGCGCAAGAATTGTTCCACCTGGAAACAAATTTCTTTTCACATTTCCTCTTACGATTCATTGAAAGCCCCTCCCGAATTATTACTGTACATTTCGTAACCCGACATACCAAGTATTATATCGGCCAATTCTGTACGTAGCAGGGTCACAAAAACGAAGTCTTGCGCATTTGTTTACCGGTACGTAAAATGTATTCTAATTTTGTACAAACGCTTGTCGGCCCTGCGGACCCTAACGGCCTCTGGTGCCACCTGGCTGGCAGGGGTTTAAAGTGCTTGCATGACAGTTCAACAGACGACAGCTGGGATGGGATGATGGCCTGGGCGCACCTGTGCAATGGAAAGTCAGATGATGGCATTGCATCAGATTTGTGACCAGCAAATGCCTCTAGGATATCCATTAAAACCGACACTTGTTGAAAGGCTTTTACATTCACAGTCTGCAAAATCTGGAGCTATGTACGTATATAGGGCCATGACAGACAAAACGATAGCAAGGGAGCGAAAAGGCTCCGAGGCCGACGGAAGGAAGGAAAGTGCAACACATGCCGCCAGGCACGGCTAGTGTCTGATTGGCACGCTGCACGCTATAGAGAGGGGCTATAACGTGATAACACCTTCCTATTGAGCAACAGCTTCTTCACCGCCCGCGCAGTCCTCAGTCACGATGTTTTGAAAAAAAAGGCATGGATTTGAGAAAACATTGCCTGCCACTCAGTGACGGCCGTGCGTTTCGGAGTGGTTCTATGGCATCCACATTGAAAATCGGCAACCACCGGCGGTGCTCGGAGACGGGGAGGGGGACGAGCGAGACTCCACTGGCTTCCGGGTCAGGTTCATCCCGAAGTTTACAACAATGAACGTTCGGCCGAGCAATGCTCACGCAAAGTGGTCCTACATATAAGGCGGGGCAAGCTGTAAGGCAATCGAGACAACGGCGTGAATACTTGAAAGCACAGCGGGAAGAACTGACTGCATCCCAACCGTTTGATGCGTCGTCCGAGCTTTTTTATCTTGACTCACATCGTCCCTTGGAAAGATAACGACAGGATGGGCAGCATTCCTGCTGAGGACAGTACTTGCCAGGGATAGAATGATATAATACCATCCGGGCAAAGTGAAGGGTGCCAGAAAAGGACGAGATCATCGTCGGTTGGCGTCGCCCTGGAACCCGGACCGTTCCTGACTTGTCCCCAACCCGGCAACGGGTGCAAGACATGCAGACGACGGCTGGCTGGCTCTGTCCCCTTGTGCCTTGTGCAGGAGATGGCAGGTGTCATCTTGACTGAACACCTAGGTACCTCTAAACACAGCTCAAGTAATTCTTTGCATCTTTGACCCATCTCCCCATTTTCTTGATCTTAACATTGAATGCCGTGATTGTATTTGCCGGCGGAATAATATCGTCTGTTCCTGTAAAATGGCATGTTGTAGCACAGGGAAGTCCCTGATGAGCGGAGAGGGACAGCGGGGGTCGAGACCTGTGCCACCACCGAGGGCGCTTGCAAAGCACCTGTCTTTTAGCACAGACCTCAGGCGGTAATACCTGCATGCAGGAGGTACCGTAAGGTATGGAAACGCAAAAGCAACGGGGACACGCATTCAGGTTACACACATACACGATACATTGGTACGGAATACAGTAACTTTTTTTGCTTTCCGAATTTCTCGCAAGACGTCGTCCAGCCTGATGTTTTTCAGCCCCAAGAATACGGGAACTTTTCTACCTTTTCCTTCCTACACAATCATGACCAGGCATTCCATCCCCATCTTGTCCCGAGTCCTGCTACATACCGGATCGACTTTCGTCTTCTAGCGAATCTCATGTCTTTTATTTCCTTGATCTTCTTCTTCTTCTCCCTGTGTTATTAGGTGAGCCCGCTGTTTACTAGCTCCCTCCAGCTGACGCCCCTCCTGAATTCGCATCCATCCCTCATTTTCCGCTAGGACGACGTGCACTAACCAGAGGACTATCATCCGCTCCCCGTTCCCTATAGGGTCCAAAAACGTTCATAACGATTGTCACGGCTACGATCGGCGAGGGAATTCCACCAGCCCCAAGTTCGAGTAATCATTGAGAAAGAAAACGTCCAAAAGTTCGAAAGTCAGCAAAGAAACAACCGTTACCACTCTCCAGCCTCTTCAGCTTGCCAGCAGCTCCATAATCCATCCTCGGTCCCTTCCCATCCGAACTATACCCGAAGCAAACGACTGAAGGATCTCTTTTCACCGTTTACACACCAACCCACTCATCAGCAGATTTCAACCTCGACCTCAGATTGGCATTGGAATATATGTATGGCACAAGACAGAAACTGATATGAGCGGGGATCAGCTGGCTTGCAGGTTAGCCAGTTCATACCACCATCTTGTTACCCCGGATTGTCCTCCTTGAGAGACCGGCAACCCATCCCTCCCTTCATGTTGCTCCTCTCTTTACTGACCCTCTCAACTTCATAGCAGCTTTGGTGACCAAACCGCTCAGCCGCCTACACCTACCCGAACCCCGATCTCCAACACCTCCTCGAGCCCACTCTTACACACGCCCAAGGCCAACAGGAACTACGCTGAAGAAACGGCGGGCTGGACTCCTGGGTTTGCCAAGGAGTATTCCCTCTTCATCAACACACCAGGATACCCCAGAGAAGAAGAAGGTCCATCTGAAGAGTTTGGCTCGAAGAAACCGGCCATCTCATCGTCTGGCCAGAAGGGGTCGCTGTCAGCGGACCGAGTTGCTGCGGGACTGACTGCTTCTGCGAACCCCTCCTCCTCATATCCAGCACAGCTACTGCCTCCGGTAGAGCCATTGGTTGGTTTAAGCCTGCCCCGAGAGCCATTGGTCGCATCGAGCTTCAACAGTCTGGCGTTCTTGAACCAACTGCCTCACCCTGCGCAAACCAGCTCGGCCCAAAAGATCTTGCTCGATACCGTTGATCCAGACCGAGTCCAGACCGTAACACCTCCACCTTCACGTCACAAAGGCGAGCGTAAGCTTGCCACTCGGCTTGACGTCAGCGTTATGCAAAATGATCAGGACTTTGTCCAGCAGGGGTTTTTGGAGACATCCCATCAGCCAGACATGGACAGTTATGTGACAAACCAAGGCGATATGTTTAACTTCCAGCTCACCGGAACCACGACAGGCGATTTCGCTAACCAGCAACCCTTCTGGGAGACGGATCCTAGCTTGGAGGGGATGGATATCGACTTCAATGGTGCGAGCAGCAGCTTGTTTCGACAGGAGCCGCACCCACCATCCAGGCCCATGAACTCACTGAACTGGGAAACTTCAACCCCCAACCACTTTATTCCGGAGAATGTGCTGGTCAATGGCGGTCGGGTTGTGTCAGGTGGTGGAAGTGAACATGTCATGGTGTCTCAAGCGCCCATGCAGGCCCTGATGGCCTCATCAGCGGATCAATCCATGTATACTGATACATATGCTACTGCTATCGATAACTCCTTTGGGATAATCAACACCGGCGTGGACCCGGGCCTGCTCTTCAGTCGGCCGTCATCTGCTAGTATGGATGCCTCCCTTGACGCCGTGGCACAAGGGTCGTCGCGTGGCTCGTCACGTCAGATTTCTCAGGCCGCCCAGTCGGGAAGCCAAGGTGCGTCAGTTGCAAAGGTGCCTTCGCGCAGTGAGCTACGTCGCTCAGCCAGTGAAAGGGAGATGGAGCCCCGAAAAAAGGACAAAGTACGAGCTACCTCTCCTGTCAAGCCCATCGGCCGTCCCGGGCTTGGGAGGAGTCTCAGTGAGAATAGAGGCAAGAGGCCAGGAAGTCGAGCCATCTTGCCGGCTTTAGCACCGGCTCCACGTCCACAGTCTCAGTTGTCCAACGGTGCTGGTTTGGGCATTAGCCGCCCTGTTTTCTCACAGCCCAGTAGGTCAAGTGGCAGGTTATCGCCGTTAAAGAGCAGCCATCAACGGCTGCCCAGCCTCACATCCATTCCCGAGACGGCGGGCCCGCGAACAAGGACCCAGGCAAAGTTCACCATCGACGAGAACGGTCGGGCTCGTGTAGAGACGACGCTGGTCGTTGAACGCGACAACCCTCTGGCCGTCCGTAAGCGGACTAGTTCGCAGTCAGTAGGTGGCTGTCGCCGCTGGTGTTCGGAAGATGACGACGAGTCGTCAACAGACGATGAGCCGATCATCATCCCCAGCAGAAACACTTCGTTTTCTATGCCGGACCCCCGCAAATCGAGGACCGCTGTTAATTCATTCAGCCACTCGCAGCCAAACTTCAGTTTTAGTGCGCAAAGCACTACGTCGTTAGGTTCTTTCCGGTCTGGCGGTGGGTTCCAGGGTCTGGACGACGAAAGCGATGAAGAGATTCTCTTGAACGAGGTCACTCCGACCAGCAAGATGTCAGGCGATGCCGTCAATGAGCTCCTCAAGCTGCGAGAAAATCGGATGAGGCAGAAGCCTTCTCCTTCGAAGATGAGACGGCTTACGTCTAGCAGCCACAGCAATAGCACCGGGACGATTGCGAGCATGAACTTTGCCAGTCGGTTCACAGCCTCGCCCACAGCACTGACTGAGACGAGTCTGCCCACGCCCTCGTCGTCCGATGCAACTGCTAGCATCAGCAAGATGCGCGCCGTGCGTTGTGTTTGCAAAAGGCCTGGACTCGACCCAGGGAATGCCTTTATGGTTCAATGGTATGTATATCTTCCTTTCTTCTCCTGCGTGGCCGTAAAATATGAGTAAAGCAAAGCTAACAGGATGGGTTGTCAACTACACAGCGAATCATGTGAGATGTGGCTACACGGAAAATGCGTGAAGATTGCCTCGCAGCGGACAATGCCGTCCATTTATATCTGCGCATATTGTGCCAACTTGAAGACGACGACACCCCGCGTACAACGCAGTGGCGGCGGCAATGGGGTTTATAGTAGCTCGTCACGGACTGTGAGACAATCCGCAGTCGTTGGGAAGGGGACACCAGGAGAAGGGACAACAATAAGACCTGCTTCAGGGTCGTCGTTGGGGTCACCGCTGGCACACAAATCTTCTTTCAAGTCATTTCGTTGAAGAAACTGTCTCAAGTATGTGGCACTGCGGAAGAGGAAACGGCACGACGTGCACGAAAACCGGGAAACAAAACCAAAAACCCTTGGTGGAAGTGATGGGAATAGGAAAGGAGCGAAAACATTTGACTTTTTGATTTTGAGGGCAGGTAATGCGACAGACAGCTAGCCATTCCGGAGGAGAACGGAACGAGCACGGAGCAGAAGTGCACAATGATACCCGAATTACCTGGAGCTGTGTAGAGGAACAGGATGCAGCTTGATGATGGCCATGTATCCCGAATTTTGATGTTGGGATAATATTGAGACTGCGTACAGGCAGGTGTCTCCATGACAGTTTGTTTGTTTTTGTTGATCCAAAAAGGGGGTGACCGAGCTCATGGGATCGGCAGTCCGAAGTCGTGTGCAAACGGAGATGTTTGCGGAGATCATGTCGGGATCCGGCTTTGGCTCCACAACTCGGGCTCCGGCTTCGCCCTCGAGAGCCGTATCCGGGCTTGGACGGAGGGACCCGACTAGGGGCAGGATTGACAGCAATTAGTCTCCGGACAACCGGTCCTTGGTGAATCTCTTGGTAGAGGAAGCCTTTGGGTCTGGCTGCGGTGTCGGCAGTAGCTCCGGGCCGTTCATAGGCTAGACATCGTGACTCCACAGTGCATCACCCCCTACAACGTATTACATGTAATTTTATGCCTAGAACTCGAATAACATCGAAAATAAGCTAATTTTGTAGGGATTTCAACCGTTTAAAATATTTATTTACTGATCCTAATATTCATAAATAGTCTACAGTATTAATTCGAATACTCTCTCTACTGCCTACACTAGGTTTACTGTCATCATTGTCTTGGCAATCTTCCTTCGTTTGGGGGCCTCTTTTAAGGTATTACGAGCTTCCAGAATATCCTTTATACGTGCAAATTTATTATGACCCCCTTTTTTAACCTTCCTTTTACTTTTGGACTTTTAGGAAGTTAATTGAGTTTATAGATATTGAATTTAGTGATTCTTAGTAGCGAATTTAGCGTTTTTAATATCGAAGGCCTTAATTACTTTAGTATAAATAGTCTTAATATTACAATCGATAGCAGATAATTTATTATAAATGCCTCCTAATATATCCCTGGACTTTTAGGGAGTTTGAAAGTATAATTGTCCTTTAATATATTGCTTTTTAGTAGTATTCTGGGTAGTAATGGTTGGGCGGGCAAGGTATCGTTATTTGGAATAGCCTTAGGATCGTTGATAACAACAAATCTATTTATTAGCTATATTCTTATTTTTTTGAACTCTAATTTGAAGTTTCTAGAGCTTACGCCCCTTCGTAAGGCTTCTTAATAATATTAGAGAAACCGTTATTTATTTATTAGCGTAAATACTGGAAAAGAAGCGAAGTCTCTTGTTAAATCTTTGAAATACAATTTAATAGTTGAAAAGATAGAGCGGTCAAATAGTTAGGTTTTATACAAAGTATAGGAAGGTAGAAAGAAGAATTAGACCTTATAATAGAAGTATTCTACTAAGAAATTGTTTATTAGGTAATTAGAATATTTATTAAGGATTAGAAGGCGCTAATTATTATTATTTAGCTTAATTTTAAGTAAATAAATTTCTTTTAGCTATTGTAAAGCTACTTAGGTATTATTCTAGCCAGTAAGGGAGCTATTATACTTTTAAACCTTAAATTCGTCGTTTATATCAGAGAATTATTACCCTTAGAGGGAGGTACTAGTAAATATTACGACGGGAGTTAACCGCTTACCTTCAATAATCTTATATTCAATTATAAATACTTAGGTCATTATATCAGTTGTTATTAAATATACTTTCTTTATTAGGGCAGTCCCAAGTACTTTATTATTCGCTAATTCCAATTCCTAAAGTCTATATTCGTCTATATTAGCAATATTGGCAGGAATAATACCCTTATGGTAAATTTAGGCTTCTAAAAGGTCGAAGAAGGCTATAAAGGCTTCCTTAGTAAATTTTCGAATTTTCGCTAATTTGAGGGGGTTTAAAATTTTAGTTTTAATATTAGAATTTCTCTTTAGGAATCGATTTACCTAATAGGTGCCCAGCTTATTATAATTTCCTTCTTTTTTAATATCGAAGTTACGAAGCTATTTAATTAACGATAGTTGGGAGCCCTTCTAGCTTTTTCTTTATTTAATATCCACTTACAGATGAACTCCTCCTATATTAGTAATAGTCGTTGAGTCGAAATTTTCGAGTTACGCGTAGATGTAGTACCCTGTAGGCGCTGGGATAAAGTAGATTGGGCGACGCTATATTACTTTGATGTAGTGCGTTGGGATAGGCTGTTGTGAATAGTTTTAATAGCCTAATCGATTAAGCGGTCCTTTACCAAACTTATCGCGACCGTTTTGAGTGTAATCGAGGTTGATTTGATGAAGTTATAGTTGTTCTTAGATTAAGGGTGTGGTTATTGTTGAGGGGAAAATGCGATGTGGGACGCGATGCACTGTAGGGGGGGATGCATTGTAGGGTCGCGACTTCTAGGCACCGGGAGCTGTCATCCGGAAACCTGGAGTCCAAGGCGCCTGCTAAAAACGGAGCTGGCAACGGGAACGCGGGACCCGATCGGAGTTTGTAGACGGCTCCAATTGCGACTCTACCAGCGGAAAATGGCAAGCCGGTGAGGTGATTGGACCTCGGGCAAAGATTGAAAAGGAGAGAACATGCTGGCACGGATCAGGAGCGCCGACTTCGGAAGGCGGGGTCGGCGTTGTGCGTGGAGCAATGCGATGACTTGACGAGACGGACAGCGCGCCCAGAGCTCAGGGAGTGTGCTGTTTTAAAGATCAGCAGTGCGGCAGACCGGATGGCAGAAAAGCGCGGGGCAGCTGTCAATCAATCCAATTCAACTTTGAGAACCAAAACGTCACTGTATCCTTTTTCTTCCCTTTTCATATTGTTACTTTTACATCATCCGCTGAGCTTTGTGTGATACCCATTTCGACCTTTTTTGGTATGTACTAGCCCACGTTGTTGTCCTTGGTGCTCATTACCCACTGCAGGCGGTTTTCGGCGGCTTGACGAATTGGGTTCCATGTCAAAAGCTATTTGACCTGCTTTGCGCAACCGGGAAGCTTACCGTTTCACACCACAGATCCATTTTCCAATTTTCATACAGCTTTGATAATTCCAGCTTCTCGAAGCTCTCTATTACTACAAAATGGCTACTCATAACATTGTCGTGTTCGGTGGTGACCACTGCGGTCCTGAGGTACGCTTCTGCCCTGTCCTCTCTGCTACTCTAGCTAGCTTCAGCTTCCCAGCCAAAGCATGGGATGCCCGGTTATCGGCCACCGATCTTTGGGCTGGGAATTGGGAAAGCGCAACAAACTCTCGGGGAAGCGCAAATAGCTAACAAGTCTCTGTTGACAATAGGTTGTCGTCGAGGCCATAAAGGTACGTGCTTCCATGCCTTTTACTCGCAAGCATCAACACTGCGCTGCGCCGTTCGGGTACCTTTGCGATCCATGGCCCCACGCGACACAAGAATGACGGACGAGCTTTCCGATCCCGCTCCCCAACCTGAACAGCTCCCCAACCACGAAGGCACCTTGTACCATGCGGCCTTCCAATGATCGCGGGATTCTTTTAGCTGGACCAGAGAGCTTACTTGTATTTTTTGCTTGTCAATAGGTCCTCAAGGCGATCGAGACCAACAGTCCTTCGGCTGGCAAGTTCAACCTCCAGAACCACCTCCTTGGCGGTGTAAGTTTACTTTCAACCCTTTAATAGGCAATTGGCGCCGGACGGTTACTGACACCGCATCTTCACTCGTGCTACAGGCCTCCATTGACAAGCACAATGACCCCCTCACCGATGAGGCCCTCAACGCCGCCAAGGCTGCTGATGCCGTCCTTCTCGGTGCCATCGGCGGTCCCGAATGGGGCACTTCCTCCACCGTCCGCCCCGAGCAAGGTCTCCTGAAGCTCCGCAAGGAGCTCGGCACCTATGGCAACCTCCGCCCCTGCAACTTCGCTTCCGAGTCCCTCGTCGACAGCTCTCCTCTCAAGGCCGAGGTCTGCCGCGGCACCGACTTCATTGTCGTCCGTGAGCTTACCGGTGGTATCTACTTCGGCGACCGCACCGAGGATGACGGCTCCGGCTACGCCTGCGACACCGAGCCCTACAGCCGCGCCGAGATCGAGCGCATCGCCAGACTCGCCGGCTTCCTCGCCCTGGCCAAGAACCCCCCGGCCAAGGTCTGGTCCTTGGACAAGGCCAACGTGCTCGCCACCAGCCGCCTCTGGCGCAAGACCGTGACCGACGTTATCAGCAAGGAGTTCCCCCAGCTCCAGCTCGAGCACCAGCTCATCGACAGCGCCGCCATGCTGCTCGTCAAGAACCCCCGCGCCCTTAACGGCGTCGTCATCACCAGCAACCTCTTCGGCGACATCATCTCTGACGAGGCCTCGGTCATCCCCGGCTCCATCGGCCTGCTCCCCAGCGCCAGCTTGGCCGGCATCCCCGATGGCAGCAAGTGCAACGGCATCTACGAGCCCATCCACGGCTCCGCTCCCGACATCTCGGGCAAGGGTATCGTCAACCCCGTCGGCACCATCCTCTCGGTCGCCATGATGCTCCGCTACTCGCTCAACCTCCCCAAGGAGGCCGACGCTGTCGAGGCCGCTGTCAAGGCTGCCATTGACAACGGCACCAAGACCAAGGACCTCGGCGGTAACGCTACTACTTCGGATATGGGTAACGCTGTTGTTGCTGAGTTGGAGAAGATCCTTAAGGCTTAGATTTTTGTTTAAAATCTGGACTTAGATGGGTGTCGGGAGGGGGTGCGATCCTAGCAATTGCCTTTGCGATGTATTATACCTAGGAGTTTCCGGGAAATATTGGGGATCAAAAAGCTATACATGGAAAAGTTATGCAAGAGAGAAACAAGGCTCAAAAGGGAGTTTACATATATGTTGGAAAAGTTGAGGCGGAGGAGGGCAAGGACTCGGTCCCCTCCTCAAGGATATACAACGAGATACCAAAGCAATTGAGGCTATATTGAGTTCAAAATCACAGATTTCCACATGGCTTGGCTAACTGATGGATGCCCTGATTGTCTGTGTAGCCGCATCGGAGACAGCTATAGCCATCCGGCATCCGGTAGTACATACGAAACCGCTTTTCGCCCAGACCATCTAGAATTCTAGATCTCGTAGCAAACAAGCAGTGGGGTGACGCAGTCATCATTGCGAATCGCGCGATGGGCAAATGGAAATGGTTGGCGCCCGCACGGTAGATCACCTCTTAAGGTTGTTCGGAGTAACTCAACTCAACAGGAACTCGACATGTCACGGTACACTGCCGGAGAGTTCATGCGATCTTCTTGTCTTGTCTTGTCTTGTCTTGTCTTGGGTGTGAACGAAAGAAGAAGAAAGAAAGAAGAAGAAAGAAAGAAGAAGAAAGAAAAAAGAAGAAAGAAAAAAAAAACATACAACACCTGGGATTCGCTGGTCGTCACCGACCCAACTACTAGTCAGGCGATTGGTAGCTTATCTATGGGAGAGCGGACGGGATCCCGAGTTTTCTACCATCTATGGTCGTATGTGCTTATTTCTCTCTTTGAGACTACTTATAATCCTCACTTCTGTATTGACTGTGTGCTCAAATGCATCATCATTGGTCTTGATCGCCTCCATCGCTTCCTTCAGTTCCTGGGCAGGCGGGAGCGCGGGAGCGCGGGAGGGAACACCAATGCATATGTACATACACTTGGAGGTATGTAGGTACCAAGGGGTGATGGGGTGAGGAGTAGGTAGTTTGCGAAAAGAAACTTGATTTTTTGGTTGCTCTGCTTTTATGAACTATTGGAAAACTAAACCCGGGGTTTGGGTTTTACTTTGAGAAGATACTGGATATTGGATGCGCTGAATGGATAACATGAGCGAGACGCTCAAAGCAAGAAGGAAGGAAGAGGCAGGTGAACATGTGAGGTGATGCCTACGCAGCATGCACGAGATGTTACCGACCGCGGTATGATATCTACGCAGTCCGGTCACGGCTTCATCCATCACGATTCACGCCCCCGGTTCAACGATACATACCTAGCTCCGGAGGACTCCTGCCCTTTTCCACAGCCGAAAACACTCGGTATGTACCCTCACACACTAGTTTCATTAGTCATCTGTAGCTAAGGTAGATAACTACCCAGATAACCAAGACTGAAAGAGCCTCTTTTACCCGCGAAAGAAAACATAAGAGCACTGTGTAAAAAGTAGTCTCTCGGTCCGGTTCTTATCTCGATAGCGGGCGCGGCACGCGCAATTCCAATCAATGCAGCGCGCTGACTGGTGATTGGTCAATTTCCCTTTTCACTTCATGGTCGCTATCGTTGAAGCATGCGTGGGAGGAGGGGGTTCGGTTGTGTTGTGTTTGGTAGGGGTGTAACGTTTTGGAGCGAGGTCAAAAAGCAATCCTCCAAAGTGGAAGTCAATGGGTGACGTCGGTTCCTTGTCCCGCCCCCGATCCCCGCCGCCTATACCCGTGTGTGTATGGCCTCGTCCTTTCTACAGGATTCGAAGATTTCGACCACTGCACGCACATGCGATTCTTGTTGTGTTGGAAACACCATGACAGCCCAATGCTCCCTCGTGATTAATCTAGCTTTTTCTCTCTATCCCGCTTTTCAACTTTTAACCCAACAAGCCTTTGAATCAGGTCTCAACTGTCTCCAAAAACACCAACCTAAAACCCCAAAAAGAACCAGGGATCCCTCGATCTTTTTCTTTTCTCCGCTTTGCATGTCCCACAAACAGATCCACAGCCCGTTCCCGTCACACACCTCACCAGCGTCGAGTCCACCAACACTCCAGCTTTTTTAATCCCATCTCCACTTGAGATTCGAGCCTCCAGTTGGAGCCGGCATCACCCCGGCTTGCCGTGTGACGCAGTACGCAGTAGCCCTCGACTTAGCCCATCGTCGAACCGAACGCGTCTACCGGGCCCGGTTCGTTGCAACTTGCGAAGCTAGGGAAATCCGAATCGTGATCTCAAATCAGTCTTGGTCATTGCCGCCACGTCGGGTCTGGAAGTGGAACGGGTAACGGGGGGGTTCACCAGCTGTGTCTTGTGTTTTGTCTAGTATGATCCTCCATCCATCGTCGTCTCTTGTCTCTTCGTGATCGCCTCGCTTTCTTTCCCTCTTTTCCTCTCTCTCTCTCTCTTCTTATCTACTCTTCCTCGCTACAACACCATAGTGGTACAAGAAACGATCTTAGACTATTCCCAAGGTCACACCATCCATGTCGTCAAGAAACCCGACAACCTGGGACCAGTACGAGCGCGGGGGTCGGTCTCCCGGCAGAACTAGCAGCTTCTCCTCGGTGGGAAACAGAAGCGTTCAGTTCGAGAACGAGTCGCTGCTTGGCCGCAGTGCTGATGCTAATGGCTACGGCGAGGATGGGGAATGGCCACAGTTGAGGCGTAGGAGGTGAGCAGACCAACTTTTCTAACTACTCTTCAACAAGACGCACGAGACCGACTGCTAACCACCCACCGGTCGCAGATCTTCCATCACCAACCGTCTTTCCGCCGTGGCCGACATTGGTGGCGTCAACAGTATCCGCTCCTTCACCAGGAGTTGGCAGCGTGCCGCCGGCTTCAGCGAAGTCATCCCCCAACGTCCGTCCTTCGTCTTCGCCCCGGATCAAGCCCCAATAGCAGTACCGCCCTCCGGCGCGACTCCCATTCAGTATGGAAGGAGTGATCTCGAAGCTGGCGAGGCAACGCCCCCCCGGTCATCTCTGTTGCGACAACACTTTGAATCTGCCGCCGGCTCTGCTCCTCAAGGCGAAGTCGCGGAACCTAGCACGACAACAACGACGACGCAACGGCATTCGACCGATTACCGAGAACGCGAGGCGAAGGCGCTCGAAAATGAGCTGGCCCAGGGATTTCGTGTAGGAAGCGCAGGATCGATATTTGCTGTTCCGCCACACCTGGCGACTCCGCCCATCGTGGGCAGCTATGGGACGATTCCTGATTACGGGACGATACGGACCAGGGGTAGCATCAGCAGGCAGTCAATAGACCAGGTCTCGGTTCTGTGGAGGGAACCGCAAGAGGTGCCGGCGAACGTGCCCGATCAGGAGATCCCGCCTATTCTGGTGAAGGAGGTTGAGCAGGACGGGAAGATCGTTCTGGCTGTTGAGGGACAGTCGACTCTCCCGCAGACGGTGTTTAACTCTATCAAGTAAGGCGCTTCTCACACTCTCTTCAACTTCGTCTCATTCTTACTAACACGGGCTTTTTTTCTATAGTGTCCTCATTGGAGTCGGCCTCCTGAGTTTGCCAATGGGCATCAAATACGCCGGTTGGCTCTGCGGCATGATCACTCTCTTTCTATGCGCCGCCGTAACCGTCTACACCGCGAAGCTGTTGGCGAAATGCATGGATTTGGATCCTAGTCTGATCACCTTCTCCGACCTCGCCTTCATCTCGTTCGGCCGAAACGCGCGCATAGCCACCAGTATCCTCTTCACGCTAGAGCTACTAGCTGCCTGCGTCGCCCTCATCGTTCTCTTTGCCGATTCTCTGGATCTGCTGTTCCCAGGCTTCCTGTCGGTCACAGGGTGGAAGATCATCTGTGCGGTCATCATGGTGCCGGTAAACTTTTTGCCGTTGAGGCTTTTGAGCTTTACGAGCATTATTGGCATCTTCTGCTGTTTTTCGAGTAAGTTGCGCTAAAGTGTTCTACTCTCATAAGGTGGTTCCTGTATCTGTTATGGGGCATGGCTAACTAGTTGATGTGCAGTTGTTCTCATCTTGCTTACCGATGGCTTCCTCAAGCCCACAGCGCCTGGTTCCCTTATCGAGCCTGCCAAAACCTACATATTCCCGGAGAATTGGTTGACTTTGCCTCTTTCCTTTGGTCTGCTCATGTCTCCCTGGGGCGGCCATGGCGTATTCCCCAATGTAAGATGAATAGTTCTGGGAAATTCAGGTGTGTCATCATATACTAACTCCTTTACCCAGATCTACCGAGATATGAGACATCCGTACAAGTATACAAAGGCGTTGAAAATAACCTTTTCGTTTACTGTGAGTCGCTTCTCTTCTTTTCTCCCTATTTATACAGCAGCACTTACTAACCGCCGTTGCGTTGCAGTATATTTTAGACGCAACCACAGCAGTCGCGGGTCTCCTCATGTTCGGTGACGACGTCCGCGACGCGATCACATCCAACATCCTGCTCGAGACCAGCTACCCCAAGGTCCTGACCTTTTTCATGTGCGCCTTCGTCGCCATCATCCCGCTCACCAAGATCCCGCTCAACGCACGCCCCATCATCGCCACGCTCGAGGTCCTGTTCGGCCTGCACACGACGACGGTCGCCGATTTGAGCTCCGGGCTCGTGGGCCGCTCCATGTACTTCCGCGGCGTCATGAAGATTGCCATTCGCGCGCTGACCGTCTTCTGTTTCCTGGTTATCTCGATCGTCTTTCCGGCTTTTGATAGTATCATGGCTTTTATGGGGAGTGCGTTGTGTTTCCAGATTTGCGTCATGTAAGTTCCATTTACTCTGCTCTTTTGGTTCACTGGCTGGTATGCATGCGTACGTGGAGACTAACAAGCAACTTTTTGACGACAAACAGTCTACCGATCCTCTTCCACCTCAAGCTCTTCGGAAGCAGCATCTCGCGTAGAGAGAGGATTTTTAATTACTTCTTGCTTGCGATATCGATTACTTTGTCTACCGTGGGCACTGTTTGGGCTTTCCTGCCCAAGACCCTTTTTGTTCCTGAATAGTGGGACCCAGGGCAGGGCGGTGTTGCATATGAACATAGCATGTTGTTGATGTTTATGGGTGTTGGTTTGGTGGGATGAATCATTGTTATACAGCATTGTATCATGGTGGTGTCGCTTTTGCATCTGTTCTGGTCTGGTCTGGTTAGCTCTTTAAATGCTTATGGGGGGATACATTCATTCACATTCAACCTTCTGCTATCAAATGGTTTCCGGCCAAAGCACATACATATGATGTCTATGATAGGTATTCATTCCATTGTCAATTGTCGGCTCCATCTCAACCGTCTACTAGTCTAGTTCCCGTGTGTCTTGCTACTACTCTCTCTGGTAATTTCTCAGTTTGAATAAAGCTGGCTGGCTGTTAGCTCAAGAAACATAGCATCGAGCGAGTGTCCATTCGAGTATAAAAGTCGAAACCGAGTACAGAGTGAAAAGACGTCGACGATATGCGTGATGGCACATGCCAGCACTGACTCGCAGAACCTTGGGTCTTTCATCCCATCCAATGTAGCTTTGCTTTCTCTTCCTCCTCTGAATACACTTGTTGTGACAATACGAAATGAAAGCCACCGCATATATGTTTGCTAAAGGACCTTGACACGAATGTCAGGCATCAGCACCCAGGATATTCGAGCCAATGTCAGCACCTAGGGTCAAGCAAGCTTCAGAGACGTCGTCGAGGTGCGTTAGCTCACAAGACAACAAGATCATTTCCACGTAACAACGAGTTGAAGGAGCTCACCACCATCGAAAGTGACACGAGGTGCCTAACGTTGTATGTCGTTCTTTCATTTTTCCACGATAAGCCAAAAACGGCCAGCCACTACTCCTCACTCCAATGTTGTCTGCCATTCACTCACTGCTTCACTTAGACCATCGCGCCATCAAACCCCATTCCAGGGCGCCATCCGTATGATTTGTTTACACAAAAATAGGGGGAGGGGGACAATAACAACAGCCTGAACGTAGACGTAAACAAAACTGGCCACCCCTTTTGCAACCCCACCCCTATTTCCCCACTGACTCATCCTGAGTTGACTATGCATACCCAAGGCAAGGAGTCCATTTCCTTCTTCGTCTCATAACGCATGCTACACGTATCCACTGCTGCTATACTTCTGGGTTCGAATTTCAGATTTATACAAAAAACAGCCGGGGTTCGAAGCCCGCTGGTTCGGTCGAGGAAAAAACATGTTCCCGTTAGTCATGCCGATTCTCTGGCCTCTGCGTATTTGATCCGCACGGTCGCATTACAGCTGATTGAGGACTGATTATACACCATTCGAATCCACAGCGGTTCGTATCTTCGAAGCTGCTTAGAAGTCCGGGAACAAGTGGCCGAACCTGATATGCGTTAGCATCCACATATTATATGAACCTTCAATACCAATAAACTTACTCATCTGTCCCTCCTTGTCCATACCGCTCAGTCTCCTCAGGGTACCTGTCGAACTGGCTTGCGTCTCCTGCTCCGGCCTTGACCGGCGGAGTATAGGGCGCGTCGATGTCTTTCCTCGCAAGTCGGTCCCAAGTCACCTCGGCAAACCAAGGGTGTCTCTTGACGTCTTGCGGCCCGCCGTACAGGTTTCCAAGGCGCTTGGTCAGGTCTGCCGTGATCAACCGCTCCAACAAGTCCTGGGCGTCGGGGTTGACCCACTGAGGGTATCTGACCTTGCCCTTGAGAATGTTTTCGTAGATCTTCATGGGAGAGCTGCCGTCCCAGAAGGGTGTGTAACCGCAAAGCATTTCGTAAATCAAAATACCCAGGGACCACCTGTGTAGATTTCATATTAGCAATTGAAAGCAATGAAATGTTGCCGAACAGGTAGGTGCCTTACCAATCTACAGACTTGTTGTAACCCTTGTTGGAGACAACCTCTGGTGCCAAGTAGTCTGGAGTACCACATAGTGTCCACGTCTTATCTGGAACCCGCTTGGCGAACCCGAAATCCGTTATTTTCAGGTGGCCGTGGCGGTCAAGAAGAAGGTTCTCAGGCTTCAGATCTCTGTAAATGATATCCCGCGAGTGCAGGTACTCCAGAGCCAAGGTGACTTCTGCAGCGTAGAACTTGGCAACGGGATTAGGGAAGCGCTATAAGGTCCCGTGTCAGCCGCATATACTCCTTGACTAAAAGACCATTTAAACTCACTCCGGACTTCCTCAGCAGCGAGAAGAGCTCGCCACCCTCCACGAAATCCATCACCATGTAGAGATTCTTGGCGTCCTGAAACGTTCCCCATAGCGTGATCAGGAAGGGGTGTTTGACCTCCGCTAGCATTCTTCTTTCGTCATTAGTGTGTTCGACCTGCTTCATCTTGACCACTTGGGCCTTCTTCAGCACCTTAACGGCATAGAAGCGCGAGTTATGCCGAGACTGGACCAGGTGGACTCTGCCGAAGCTACCGGTGCCGAGGGTTCTCAATATCTCGAAGTCGGCGAGCGAATACTTGCCCTTGGTGGCCCTGGGCTGACTGGGCTGAGGCTGTAGTTGCTGTTGCTGCTGCTGCTGCTGCTGCTGCTGCTGTTGGGGTTGTTGCTGCTGCTGCGGCGGCTGCAGTGATGCTTGCTGTGTTTGAGGCATGGAGGGCTGGGGCGTGTGCGGCGCAGGCAGGCCGCCGTTAGCTGGGGATACAGATGGAACGTATCTAGACGACTGTTGATAGGAGCCGGGCTGGTCGTATTGCGGTTGGTGTATGAGGTTGGAGATGGACGGGAGGTTCTGCTGCTCCGCTGCTCCAGGAGAGGGCGTGTGCTGAGGGGGATAGGAATGCTGTTGAACCGGGAGGGAATTCATGTTGACGGGAGTCTCGTGCGGCAAGGTAATGGGCGTATGGGCGGTATCGATGGTGGTGGTGCCGGTCGTGGCTGACTGGGAAGTGGCCTGCGACGCACTCGAGTGCGACGAGGCCTGGGCGATGCTGCTCTGGATGGAGTTGTGGTCGAAGCTCGAGGCCGAGTTAGGGGTGACTGGGCTGGTTGGGTGGCTAGTCGTGCCCTCTTTCGTCCGTTTCTTTTTGAGGAAACCGAGGGTTGGCAAAGGCATCAAATCCTATTTTCGGGTCGACAGCCGAGCGAGACCTGGGCCGTCTAATTGGGGAGCTTGGAGACGGGGGCCGGGACCGAGACGCGGAGGAGAGAATCGAGCAGGAGCAGGAGGAGCAGGAGGAGCAGGAGGAGCAGGAGTGGAGGAGGCGGCGGCGGCTGTCGCGACTGCAGGATGAATGCAAGGCAATCAGTAAACACGAAGCTTCAACGGAGGAAAAGCCAATTGGCACATGCGGCTGCTGCAGCGCATGGGGAAGGAACGACCCGGCTTCTGAGCTTTGATGTTGGGTGACACCGGAAGAAGAAAGAGATAGGGAACGGCAAGCTCGAGGAGGGCAAGCGCAAACGCTCTGATCAAAGCAGTCGCGATGCAACTCGGGCTGCGGTATCGGTGCTATCTCAGCAACTGAACACCTCAGGACCTCATGCATTGACAAGCAGCGTCGCCGCGTTGAAATGGAGTATGTGATAGCGGGAAGGTAGACGGGAGCGGAGGGGTGTAGAGCAATGCAGTGCAGTGACATGTGCTTATTGACATTTGGATATTAGTTGGACACATACCAGACAACTTGCTACCTTTTGACAGGACTACCCAGCGAGCGCTCGTGTGTGTGGCTGAGAGGATGAAAAGACGAAAGAAGCCAGAAAGCTCGAGTAGTTGCGTATATGTTATGGTGAAGCAAAGCGCAAAGGTGCGGCGACGTCAGGAATTGAAGCCGGAGGTGAAGTCACGCAGCGATATATTTCCCCCTCCCTTGCAGGTTGCTTTTTCCTTGTAGGGCGGGATGGGGTAAGGTGTTTTGAACTGGAACCCTGTCAGTGTCGTGAAACAAACTGAGCTGGGAAAGCTGTTGCTGTTGCTGTTACGTGTTGTCGAATGGAGGAGCTGAGGGCTGAGGGCTGAATGAGGAGAAGAGGGATGTCGAGATTGAGGAAACAAGAAGAGGGTTGACAAAGACGGGAACGGTCAGGACGACATGTGCGCTCTTTCTTGGGACTGCTTGTCCTATTTCCATAGGGAGACGTCTCTCTGCCTTTGTACTTGGAGCCACGCACGCCCCAATTGTTTTTTGGTAGCTGACTTCTTTGCTTTCGTTGCCTTTTGCTTTTCTTGTTTGGCTCCATGTGGAGCGCGCCCCTGGTGAAGTCTCAAGTTCCCCTTGCTAGAGACGATCCCTAGAGAGAGCGGTTAGATAGACTTTTTGTACACTTGGCCGAATCCAACCCTCTCCTTTTGAAGACGTCGTGGAATTCCAGTGACATTGGAGGGGCCCGAGGAGCGGCTGGTGGTGTAAAAGGTGGGGTTTCCTTTACCCTTTGGAAGGGATCGTCCCTGTTGGATAGACTTGTCGCTAACCCGCCTCATCGTCATCGCCTTCGGGATCCAATCACGTCACCTTGGACTCGTGTCGAAACTGGGGGTCAGAAAATGGTCCATTACATACCATGTCCTCAACTCCGAGCTCCCAAGTTGGGAATACTGTTATCAACCGACCATTGACACTCGGCGGACACTCGGGGAGGCTACCCGGCCCGTCATTATACCCACCGGCATAGGATCCCGCTTGTCGGCAGTTTGTAAAAGGCTGGAACCCGCGCCTCTTCTACAAGTACAGTCACCTCCAGGATCAGGGCCTATATATCTCGGGAACAGGTAAAGGCAGATAGATAGGAAAAGTCTCATTTTGACCGTCGCAATGAGTAAAGGGCAGTCGTCTCGGAATACCACCTCTTCGACAGAGGGGCAAGCTCAAAGTACACAAACATAAAAGAAAATAGACCGTCCGTGCCACCCGCGCCGATGCAGAAACTATATGTGCGAATCCTCATCCTCTTTTTTTCTCCTCTTCTCGATTGCGTGTCGCGATTCACCACCACCACTCCATTGTAATCACCGCATATCCTATCCCCTAAAAACGATGGCTGCGCTGCTGCTTCGTCCTGTACGCCGTGTATCCGACATAGGCGCCTCCCACGGCAAAGAAGAAGAAGAGAGTCTTCACCAAGAACCAGGTCCAGCTGCCCTCAGTTTGCTGACCCGTCACCTTCTTGCCCTTGCCGCTGCCAGGTGTAGACTTGGTCGGCGGAGCGGTAGTGTAGAGGTTCCTGGCGTTGACCGAGATGATATCGTGGTTGTCGCTAAGCTCGCCCGTCTCGGCCGTGAAACCAAGGTAGGCCACAGGAGGGATCGTGGGCGGCTCGTTGGTCTCGAAGCAGAGAACCCACTCGCCCTCGTTCTTGTACTGCAGCTCGAGCTTCAGGTACTTATCCTGAAAGTGCGACAGCTTGAACTTGGTCGGCACGCTGGCGTGCCTGATACCGCGGGCCGAGCAGCCGGCCAGCTCCTGGTTCTTGCCATCCGTGTCCTTGTCGTACGAGGTCCGGCCGTCGCCCACCATGGCCATGACGTAGGGGAAGACGACGCCGGGCCGGTTGTTCTTGTACGTGTCGAAGAAGATGCCGAGACCCTCGAATCGGTCCTGGTTGCCGAAAACAGGTCCTTCCCTCCCGCGCTCCTTCGTGAGCCACATGGCAAATCCATCGCCGTAGAGCGTGTTCTTTCCGTGGATCTTGAACTCGACCTCGATTTCCCAGTTGGTTGCTGTCAAGGGCACCTTGGACCAAAGGTTGCCCGTCTGCGACTGCCGGTCGGATGTGAGACGGATGTACCTTGGTAAGAAGTACGGTTAGCGACGTCTTCTTTGGCCTCCTATCCGACGTTGAAGAACAACTCACTGGTCTGTGCGAATAATGGTGTCTCCTCCAAAGTCATACCACCGACTTTGCATGTCCGAGTCCAAGTATGGCTGTAGGTTGTGAACAACACCGCGTTAGTCATTGTAAACAAGACGTTGTCGACACAAGGCCCTCGGGATCCGGAGATTGTGCGCGCATACCTGGTTCAAGCTATGCGTCCTGAGCTGTTGGAAGAAAGCGTTAGTACCATGCGCAGAATGGCGCGAGGCAGAGCTTCCGGAACTCACTCCAATGCTCTTCACGTTGCCCTCTGCATCTTGCTGCACAGCACCGTGTGCCGCCGTGGCCAGCCACAAGGCCGACAGTGCCGACGTCAACAACATCATGATGCCCAGAAACCTAACCTAACGATGCGGCGGATCTGCTTTGGGAGGAGGAGAAGGGGGAGGAGTAGTAATGATAGTGTTGTTGTTGTTGTCGTTGTTTCGATAGAAGCCCGCAAGGGGGTTAAATGCAGAAGAATGGGATTGAAGAAAACGAAGGAATAGGAAAAGGGGAGGGGGGAAATGAGCGTGCAGAAGGTATTCAGATAATGTCGTTTCGGAATTTGAGCCGAAGTGGTGTCGCTTCGCGCCGCTGGTTTGGTGGTTCTTGATGCGGTTGTTGAACCAACCACGAACTGTTAAACCTCAGGTTAGCTGGCCTTTCCGCACGGGCAGGCCGAGAACGAGGGGGTCACCGTGAGACCGTGCAGCGCCCGAGAGGCAGAAAATGGAATCTGGGGCAGCTTGGCAGCGAGCCTGCGACACATCAACGACCTATGCGAGGCTGGTAATTATCAGTGGTGATACCGTACAGTACCTTCCACTCTTGGCCTCTCTGTTAATGCCTCGGCTTATTCACGGTCTAACTCTGTGACACTAACTAACAAATGGTTGAAACAACAATCGTATCTTACAAAGTTTACCATCTTTTACCCACAGAAGCTTTGCTCGACCATTCGGCTTCTACGACAGGGATCCTAGGAGCTTGCAATCAGTGGATGATGATGAGTTGCGGATTCGAAGATTGAAAGGGAAACGCAGTGGAACCAAAGCTGGGCAAGCTCCAGACTCTTGCCTGCCGGGAGGCAGCTATGTGATTTATCGATGAACGATAAGCGATAAGCAGCCCGTGGCTGGTGCAGCGACCCACTTATTCTTCACTCCAAGTGCACTGTAGTCGCCGCCAATTGTTCAAGGACAACGCTCTCTTCCTCAACTGTTTCACTTATTGATCGATCTACCAAAGCTTCATCATGGTGGGCTTCTCCTTTGGACTGAAAAAGGCCGCGGCCTCCTCAAAACCAGCGCCGGCCAAGAGGAAACCCGCGACCTTCGGCGGCGATGACGATGACGAAAACACGACAGCTGGAGATGGCCAGCCCAAGCCCATCGCCGCCATTGAAATCACCGAATTGGACGGTTTCGACGATAACACGAGCACCCCTATAGAGACAGGAGATGAAGACCGCAAATCGAAAAAGAAATCAAAGGGACTACCACAACCACCACCGCCCGTGTCCGCATCAGCATCAACATCATCAGCATCAGCATCCTCAAACAAGAAAGCACCTCCCGTCGCCGCCCAATTCGGCGACCTCTCCTCCGCCCTCGAATCGCGCAAATACGCCCAAGCCGCCGCCGACGCCGACCCCTCCATCTACGACTACGACGCCGTCTACGACTCCTTCAAGGTTCCCCAAAAGAAAGAAAAGGAAGCCGACAACAAGGAAAAGCGGCCCCGGTACTTTGACGCTTTACAAAAAGCGGCCGAGACGCGCGAGCGCGACCGGGCGATCGCCGAAGAGAAGAAACTAAAACGCGAGCGCGAAGCCGAGGGGGACGCGTTTGCCGATAAAGAGAAATTCGTCACGGAGGCGTACAAGCGCCAGCAGGAAGAAAACCGACGGCTGGAAGAAGAAGAGAAGAAGAGGGAGGAGGAAGAGGCGAAGAAGAATAAGAATAAAGGGTTAACGGACTTTTATAAGCAGATGCTGGAGAAGGAGGAGCTGGAGCATGTGGCGAAGATGAAGGCTGTTGAGGAGCGGGTTAAGGCTGGGCCGGAAGCTGCACAGCAGAAGAAAGAGGGGGAGGAAGGGGAAGGGGAAGGGCAAGAAGAAGAGCAGGACGCGGAAAAGAGGGCGGCGGAAAAGGCGAAAGAGATTAATGCCATGGGCGGCAACGTCATTATCAATGATGACGGTGAGGTGGTGGACAAGCGACAACTGCTCAAGGGCGGTTTGAACGTGGCGCCCAAGAAGAAGGTCGAACACCAACAGGAGAAGGCTCGGCAGGCGGCAAAGCCCGCTGCGGCAAGCGGACCGGCTAAGGGCGTGTTCCATGGCGGAAACAAGCAGGCAATGCGGGAAAGACAGACGCGCATGCTGGAGGCTCAGCTTGAGGAGAGGCTTAAACGGGCGAGAGAGGAAGAAGAGGAAGAGAGGAAGAAGGTGGAGCTGGTGGCCAAGAGTAGGAAGACGGAGGCGGATATCTCGAGCGCGAAGGAGCGGTACCTGGCGAGAAAGAGGGCGGCCGAGGAGGCAAAGAAGAAGGGGCTGGAGGAGGGTGCTGCGCCGTAGTGTTGTTTTCTGAACAGCTCGGTTTTGTTATGTTTTTAACTTGTTTAGTTTCCGTTTTTGTTGACATGAGATACCCCCTTCTTTTTGGGAACCTGGCCCAGACCACGCCCAGTCCCCAGTAAAAGCATATGCCAGAAGAAGGAAAATAAATGCTACTTTTCCAAAGGTCTATAAAAAAGCCTTGTGCCCCGTTTTCCTTCCCTTTCTACCTATACCATTTCCCTTGCCCGTAATTGCGCTGATGTTGATACACACGTACGTATACGGTACGGAAAACGATGTCACCTCCCCAACCTAAACAGCCGCTCTTTTTCCCTTCGTTCGTTCGTTCCTTGCTTTTCGCTTCTCTGCTCTAGCCTGCCCTCTTACATTTCCAACCCTCAGCCGTAACCGGACCCTATGCCCAATGCGAAACTCTCCACGCCACCACCATCCACCATTCCTCGTTTATCGTCCAGAGTTTCCATTCAAAACAACAAGTTAAAGGTTGGTCCGGCGGTCGGTTACGGTATTGGCATGGCGTTCAAATAACAATCGTTTCTCCCTCTCCTCTTTGCTCTCGGCTTCGGCCCCGTACTTCCTCAACCCATTCTACTGGTTACCCATCTCCTGCTGTATCCTCTTCAAGTACGTCGTGTTGACCACGTTCCACGCCGCCATGTACTTCTCCGTGCACTGGGCCACGCACGTCTTCTCGGCGCTGGAGAGGGAGGAGCCCGGCTTGGGGACGCACGAGGTGAAGCAGTTTTCGCCGATTTTCTGTTTTTCGTTACAAGAGAGGTTAGTTAAACGATTGGGATTATATATTTCAAAAGTAGCTGGATTGGGGGAGAAAGAGCTGAGGGGTGTATAGTATAGCTTGGGAATGGGGGCTCGGCTGTGAGGGAGAGCTGCGAGAGAACTGAAGGTAGAGAGAGACTGAAAGAAAGAAAGAAAGAAAGAAAGAAAGAGAGGTACGTACCTCCATCAAAGTCCGCGCATTGGCGCTCTGGGACTCGATGAGGACCTGCTTGATGATGGCCTTCTTGACGGTCTCGGAGGTTGAGTCGGACATGGTTGCGGTTATTGTGGATGTTTGGGTTTGGTGGTGGTTGGTTATTAGATACGAATTGATCTTGGCGGGGCTAAGTAAGATCTTGGTGACGGCTTCAACCAAATGATGCAGTGAACTTCGAAGCTCCGGATGCAACGCATTGTTTATCGCTACGTTATGGAGGTGTGGCGTTAGTGGTGATTGCCGGTGATAAGGTGAGGCTGGTGCAAAAGCAGTTCTTTCCCGGCAGGCAAAGTGCTGGATAGGCAGGAAAAGGGGGCCCCTTTATGGAGGAAGTTGACAAAACAATTGACAACAACAACACAACAATACCCGTGGGTGTGAGGCTGGCTTATATAAGGGAGGCTGGCCAGACTACACCCACTCAAGACCCACGGGTAATGGAGTTGGTGTAGAAGCCGTATACAAATAGTTTCATCAGTTCCCGACAAGACCAGTTAAATTGACCACTGCTAAAAACATGAATGACATGGCCAAATATTACTACTCAACGCTCCATGCTATGTACGCTCCATGTGCTCTCGACAAACTCAACTCCCTCCTACCTTCACTCCCACAGGCCACAGCGAGACAAACCACCGCACCGCACCGCACCGCACCCACTCACAACCTCAACTTCTTGCTTATCTTCACCAAAACAACCCCATCACTCTCCATCCCCTTCGCATCCAACAAATGCACAAACCGATACCCCTCCCTCAACCGATCCAGCCTCACACACGCCCATGCCGCCAACGAATCCCTTCCAATCTCATCATCCAGCACCAAGAACCTCACAAACGATAGCTCCGGGACCACACCGGGGATATTCTCAAACTTGAGCTGTTGTGTTCCTTTACCACCCTTCCACCAATCCGGATCGCGTCCGTAACCTTTAAGAGATTTCGTCTTGGCCTTGTACTCGCCCTCTTTTTCCTTGCCGTCCTGCGGCAGCTCGTCCGTGCCGTGTCGCTCGCCGGGCTCTTCCACGTGCAGTTCGACTTTGAGGTAAGGGCGGAAGGAGTCGATTTTGGTGTCACCGGGGGGAAGGGGGAGGGATTGGGCGGCGAGAACGTCGATGGTTAGGTCCATGGTGTAGTGCTGGACGGCGTCGGCTTGGGTGTCTGAGGCTTCGGGGGAGGGGTTGCCGCCGGTTAGTTTGCCGCAGCGGTAGCCTAGGGTCTTGTTAGTGTTCTTGTCTGCCTTAAAGAGGGGTGGAATAAGTGGACGTACCAGCAGGCTTGAGAACATAACCCCCAGTCCCAGCAAACATGCCCTCATTCAGCATCATACCCTCATCCCAATTCTGCCAGTTCAGCGCCACAATCTGGATCCCCTTTCTCCAAAACACGGCTGGGTCCAAGTTCGACGACAAGATACGCATACCAGATGGGTACGCCCGCATCAGGTAGCGCTTGTTATGGTCGAACAGCGCCTTCCGACTCTCCTTGTGAAGCTCCATCACGCCACCCTCCGACACAGAGAAGATGTGCGTCGGCATGTTGGCCTCGGGCTGCATCAGGCTCTTGAACGTGACGCCGCGCGTGTAGATGCCCATCTTGCTCAAAGCCCAGATGATCTTCGATGGCTTCTTCGCCCGCTGCTTCGGTTGGCCTGCTTCTTCTGGTAGCCCCGAAGCCGCGGAGACTGTGCTGTCTAGGTCCTCGGGGGTCGTCGAGCCCCCATCGTTGTTAGGCGGAGCGTACTTGACTTTGACGAGGATCTTGCCGCGCAGCTCTTCGGGGGTGGGAAGACACTTGGCATCCTCCTCCGGCTCGGGAAGCAGCAGGTCCCCCCAGGTCTGCCGCATAATGTCGACCATCCTCTCCTGTTGCTCAGCACTGCAGTGCACCTCGAGGCTGACGATCAGGGGCAGGTCGGTTGTGACAAAGCCGTAGTCCTTGATAGCTTCGCACACGTCCCGGAAGGTGATGTCTTTGGTTAGCGTGTACCCGTGCAGGACTCGCGGCTCCTTGGTGCTCTTCCTACTGAGTGTTTGGAATAAGGAAGCAGAGCCACCGCTCTTGCTCTTTTCTAGGGGGTTCGTTTCCGCTGACAATCCTGCCGGGGCGGTCTCGTTGGTTGTTGCTGCCGGCGCCACTACCGGTGCCGCTGGTACCGCCGCCGCCGCCGTCTTTGTTGTGGTGGGCTGCGGAGATTTCTTGTCCTTGGACTTCTTCCTTCCACCGAGAAAGCTAGGCAGCTTACTCTTGGCTTTCCTCTTCATCTTGCTCGCCGTCTCCTCCTCGCCGCTGCCATAGGCATCAGAGCTGGAGCTAGAACTGCTTGAAGTCACCGACTCGGCATCGTCGTCATCACCATCCTCCGACTCGGAATCCGAGCCATCCCAGACGTCCACCTCGATGCAGCGGCACCCGCGCAACAGCACGTTCTTGTACGCACCGGCGCTCGACTCGCTGGAGAGCTGGTTGCCCGTCAGATACGTGTTGTGGCTGGAACTGATGAAGTAGCTCGAGAGCGGGTAGCTGAGGTCATGGGAGTGCGGAGGCGCAATCGAGTTGGCGGCTGAAGAAGTGATATACCGAACAAAACTCTCATAGTCCCAGTCCTGGTGAAGCGGGAAGTCCCGAGCCAGCTCGGCTTCGTCGTCGCCTTGACAGCACCTGAGCCAGACAGAAACATCTTCCTGGCGCCAGGCCTTGGTCACGGTATCGGCGTGTGCGCTGTAGATGCGTTGTAAATGAGCCGCAATGCCTGGACTGAATGTCTTGACCTTCTGCTCGGCGCCAGATAAGCCACCGCCTCCTTGGTGAGCTCCATCGGGGAGAGACATATTTGACTTGAGACGATGCATAAAATGGGAGCACTAGACAACGACCGAGGGGAAAAAAGGCGTGAATCCAATGTCTGTACGATGACAGAAGGTGAGAATGGGTTGTACAAGGAGGCAGCCAAAGAGCCAACAGACAGGCCAGACCGGGCCCAGACCTAGCTCACGATTCAGGGGACCCCGCGACCCCGCTTGAAGCTGTTGATGGTTGGTTGGTAAGGTTGACCTGGCGTTTGATGGTGTTTGACTTCTTCAAAGGTTGTGAACTTGGAGACCGGCGGGAAAGAGGAGGGAAAAATATAGAGGTGGAATGAGGTGATGATTGGGTATAAATGATGCTGAACAGCTCTTCAGGCTCCGGTTCATCACGACCTATCCATCTCCAACATTGCCGTTGCCGTGGAAGCTCTTGGACCCCACAGGACCCCTCCCGTGTCATTGACCAGTGGGGGCATCCCCTAGCCATCAGATCGAACAGCGAGATTGGCGCGGATTGGCGGCCGTTAGTGGTCCAGGTCAGGGGTGCTAAGACCGGACTGCTGTTTCGTCTCAACTTGGCGTGGAAAGTTCCAGGTTGGGTTGGGGACGGTGATAGCTTCAGCCTCAACTAACAAAAATGGGGCCTGTAGACATACAAAATAGTGTAACAATGTCTGTTGAAACCACCAAGTAACGCCAAGTGCTATAAATGTTTACTTTCCCTTTTAGGACCTCCAGGTTCCCGTCCGTTTCTGTGTGCTTTACAGTAGTCTAGATCTAGGTATATCTATCAGACATCATATGATACCGACACAATTGAGATTATCGTCCATTGGACCCTTAGTCTTACAAGTCCCATCTTTGATGTTGTACACCGGCCTTTTTAAACAAGGGCCTGGCCCATAAACATGCTCTCCTTAACCTCAGCAACGACATCCCTCCTATCATCCTTGCCCACCAGCACGATACCCCTACCACGACGGTTCATGCGACCAGCGCGGCCCAGCCTGTGGATGAAGTCGATAGTCGTATGCGGCACATCATACAACACGACAAAGCGCACAGCAAGGGTATCGATACCTCTAGACGCCAGATCCGTCGCCACAATGACCTTGGTATTAGGCAGATGCCTCCTGGTAGGGGAGCTGCTCACGGCACCACCGGCCTTGCCTCCTTCAGCAGCAGCAGCAGCAACATCCTCAGCAGGCTTGCTGATCTTCATCGGCTCGTTCGACGTGAAAGAAGCCAGCATCTCCGACTTGCGGTGCTCCTCCGTGTCACGGTGAAGAGCGATGGCGTCGATGCCCTTGGACACCAGGTAATCGGCCACCTGCTGGGTGGTCTCGCGCTCGTTGACGAAGACCATGATGCGCTTGACGTCGATCTCGTCCCTGGGGCCCTCGTGCTTGGCGGCCTCCTTGCCGATGGACCAGATGGCGTCGGCGCAGGCGAGCATCTTGTTGTTGCGGTACGGGTCCTTGGACACGTCGATCACGCCGAGCTGGACACGGCGGGGGATGGCGTGCAGGTTGGGAGTGGTGATGCGGTTGATGTAGGGGAATTGCTCCTCCATGTAGGTGTCCAGACGGCGCGGGATGGTGGCCGAGCAGAGGATGAGCTGCTTCAGTGAGGGCATGGCGCGGTCAACGATGCTGGTGGTGTCGCCGGAGAAACTGCGGTCGAGCAGGGAGTCGGCCTCATCGATGACGAGGTGGCTGACGCGGGACAAAACGTTGGGATCCGACTTGGCGATGGTGGCGAGCAAGTGAGGTGTCGATACGATCATGTCCACGCCGATGGGGCTATACAGGTTGCGCTGGTTCCTGAGCGGGTTGATGCTGGCGGACAGAGGTCGTACCTTGAACTTGGTGTAGTGAGCGAGCTTCTTGGCAACGCTGGTGACCTGGTCGACGAGCTCTGCCGTAGGAACCAGGACAACCACACGAGGCCGGGCCGTGTTGGGATGAGGTTCGAACTTCTCGATCCACTCAGACACCGGCGCACCTCCACGATGTTCCTTCTCGGCAGCTAGACGCTCGTTGTATGAGGCGACCAACTCATCATCAGCATCACCCTTCTTCAAGGCGTTGACAGCGGGAACCAGATATGCCAACGTCTTGCCAGATCCCGTCTCGGCAGCCAAAAGGAACTCTTCCCTGCCATTGTCTGATTTCGGTCGCCTCGGCTTCTTCCCCATCGGCTGCCCTAGCAGAGCCGGGATAGCCAATCTCTGTACGGGCGTGGGCTTGATCTCCGTCATGCCTTTGAGTGCCTCCTGCGCAATAGCCTCCTTCACCACCGGCAGCAGGTCGAACTGGTCGAAAGACTGCATCTCCTGCATCCGTTCCTTGATGCTTGTTCTTTGTCCGTAGCTGATGGTCGCGAGCGCACGTTGCATCTTCAGTGCCTTTTGTCCCTTGGTCTTCTTGTCCCTCTTGTCCCTCCTGTCGTCCTCCTCTACCGGCTTCGGTTTGGGTGCTTTGCGCGGGTCGATATTTGCGACTCGTCGGTTCATGCCCGCCCAAGGGCCATCAGGTTTGTTCCGGGGCTTCTTGTTGCCCTCGCCAGGGCCTCGTACTGGTGGTGGTCGGGCAACACGATCGGACAGCACCATGCGCGAAGGGCGCTGCTCGCGCCGTGTCGAAAACGTTCTCTGGCCGGCCCATGGTTCAAGGCTTGCTCTTGCTGACGTCGATGTGCTTGTCGTTGCGGCCGAACGGCAGATGAGGCACACCGAGTCCCTCGCTGTCTTCCACATTATGTTGAGATTCCCGTGCGCCGACGGCTGTGGTGTCGAGAGATGCTGTCCGTCGTCTTGCTCTTCTTGGCTGATTCCGTCGTCGACAAAATTTTTGGCAGGCGAATTTCGTGATGTGTTTACCCCAACCTTCTCCAAAAGTTTGAAAGAGAGGAGGGGCAAGCGCCAACAAACCAGTGGTGCTTATCGGCAATCTCAGACTGCTGGAATGTTCTGCCACTGTTCACCACCTGTAGGGGTCTCTGCTTAGCGTTGTGTTTCAGGGGTCTCTTCACCACCATGTCCCTGTAAAAGTCCATGTCATTGTACACTAAACTCATGATGGGAATGCCTTCACTTTCGACATGGAATCACATCACAAATTCGTGACAAGGAACTCAAGAGCTGAGTACTACTTATTGTAGGGATATTGACTATAGGGAATAACAAAACTCAACAATGTACTAGGTCGTTCTCTTCCTTCTTTTTTTTTTCGTTCATCAAAACAATCTCAAGAGGCCTTGTCGTGTCTCTGCCAACACAACTTGAACTCCGGGAACCATAGGTAATCGCATACTGTATCCATGTCTCATGTTCTTCATTAACCCATATACACCCATTACACGTCCCTGCATAAAACACATGGCTAATTCAACAATTCACCCGCAGCGCTCCTAGCTGCATTGGCCTTGATCCTCCACCATCCGACCCCCATGGCGACGGCGGCGGTGCCTGCTGCCAACAGCCTAAAGCAACACAGAGTCAATCGATAATCTGAAGAAAGGTTATCGTCTGAGCTCAGTGTATGCCTTACGTCTGTCTTTTGCGGTTGCCCGCAATTCGGCTCAGGATACCGCCGATGAAGTCCACAATAATCAGCTTGCAGAAGGTGGTGAACCATCCGCCGTTCGGGTCCTGCTTGATGACTGGAGCATCGTTGGGCGGCGGCGAGCTGGCCTGTGTTCCCTGTCCGCCTCTCTTTCTGACCGTGTTGGCGTTGTCTGTGTCCGCGCCTGTTGCTGTGACCGATGCCTCGGCCTCGCTACGGACATCAGCACCGGTAGCATCTGAGGCAGCAACGGGCTCATCGGTGCTCTGCTGAGCATCAGGTTGAGATGGCTTCGAGCGTTCGGTGGTTTCCGCAACAACCTCTGGGCTGGGAAGGAGGCCGTTCGTGGGCTTGGAATCCTCAGGTGCTTGCTCTTCCTGAGCGGTAGGTTCAACAGGCGCCTCGACCGAGACAGTGTGTACTGCGACTTCGGGAATATCCTGTGCCTGAGGCTCCAGCGTCTTGGTGGTCAGATCTTCGGTGTGCTTCGTCTTCTTCGGCGAGTCAGGGCTTAGAGAGATTCCTTCATCCTCAACAGCCTCCCTAGGTGTAGTTTCGTTTGACGCTGCGGTCTTGTGGGGAGGCGAAAGCTGAACCGTTGAGGAATCATCTTCCTTGCTGCTGGTCGGCTCCTCGCTCTCCGAAATCGATTGCAGCGACAAGGCCGACGACTGAGCCGAGCTGACGGACATACGAGGTGAATGGGGAACATCTAGCCTCTTCACGGTGCGGGGGATCACGCTTGCTCCGAGAGCGGTGTCGTGGGACACTTCAGATTCCCTCCGTGAATTCGAAGAGCCGATGATAGGTGATGGGGGAGCGTCCTCGATAAGAACCTGGTCCTCCTCGAGACCAGTCTCAAGCTTCCGAACAGTATCGATGATCTCGTCGCGGTTGGATGGGAAGCGTTCTAGGGTGGGATCGTTAATATCGATATTCTCCTCGTCGAGCGGTGATTCCTCTCGGATCTCGTTGTCCTGGTCCACGTCCTCGGATACAATCGTGATCGAAGGTTCTTCGCCGTACATACCGGCGCACTCATGTGAGAACAGAGCTGGATTATGGGGGCCGTCCTCGGCGGGAGTAGCAAGCTCAGATTGATCGGCCTCCGTTGACTGTTTGTAATGTTAGCATACTGTAAATCATTCAAAGCATTACAGAACCATTCTCACCTCGGTGTCCAGGTATTTCGCGCTATCAGCGACTTCCGCGGCAGTGTCCGCAACTTCGGCAACGGGCGCGTCCAGATATTTCGCGCTATCAGCGACCTCCGCGGCAGTTTCCGAAACTTCGGCAATGGGCGTGGCAGACAAGCGACGGAAACCAGTCCTTCCAGCCTCTTCATCGGAGACGCGATCCTCAGGTGTTCCTTCGTTGAGGAGTGCAGCAGAATCAGCGACCTCCGCCGCAGTCCTGGCAAAGATTGGCGTAGCAGCACCTGACTGCGAATCGGTAACAGGTTCCGAGCGGGCAAGAATCTCCTTGGCCGCATTAGCGACAGGCTCGGGCTGCTCAGCAGGCGTGTCGGCCGCCTCCTCCTCAACAGGAGCAGCCTCTTCAGCAGGTGCAGTCTTATCAAGAGTAGTTTCCTCGATAGCCTCAGTCTCCTCAACATGAGCGGGCTCCTCAGCATGGGTCGCCTGGACGGCCTCAGCATAGGTCGCCGGGACGGGTTCGGCCTCCTCGGCAGGAGTTGCCTCCTCAACTGCAGCGGTCTCAACAGGGGCAGCATCAACAGCAGGAGCAGTTTCTTCGGTAGAAGCGGCCTTTTCAGCAGGGAGCTCTTCAGAGACAGGGGCGGCCTCCAGAGGAGCCTCCTCAACAGGAGCATCCTCAGAGGCATGAGTAGACTCCTCAACAGGCGCAGCCTCCTCAACATGGGAAGCCTCAGTGGCAGGAGTAGTCTCCTCGGCAACAGGGGCAGTCTCCTCGGCGGGGGTAGCCTCGGCAGCCTTATCAACTTCAGAATCCTCTGCAACCGGAGCCGCCTCAACCGCCGGAGCAGCCTCCTCGACAGGAGCATCCTCAGAGGCATGAGTAGACTCCTCAACAGGCACAGCCTCCTCAACATGGGAAGCCTCCTCAACAGGCGTAGCCTCCTCAACAGGCGCAGCCTCCTCAACATGGGAAGCCTCCTCAACAGGCGCAGCCTCCTCAACATGGGAAGCCTCCTCAACAGGCGCAGCCTCCTCAACATGGGAAGCCTCAGTGGCAGGGGCAGTCTCCTCGGCGGGGGTAGCCTCGGCAGCAAGAGCGGCTTCCTCAGAGACATCAGCAGGTGTCTCAGAAGGAGCAGCTTCTTCAGCAGAGTTGGTCTCAGCGACGGGAGCAGTCTCCTCAGACACAGAGGTGGCCTTCTCAACCGGAGCGTCGTCCTCAACTGGGGTGGCCTTCTCAACAGGAGCAACATCAACAGCAGGAGAAGTCTCTTCAGCAGGAGCAGCTTCGGTCGCCACGTCAGCCTTATCAACTTCAGAATCCTCTGCAACCGGAGCCGCCTCAACCGCCGGAGCAGTCTCCTCGGCCTGAGGAGCCTCTGCTTCCGGAGCAGCCTCAGTAATCTCTGGGGAAGCCTCGGCTTCTAGAGCTTCATGAGCCACAGCTGCGTAGGTCTTGGCGTCAGTTCCCTCCTCATCAGCCTTCTCCGGCGCAACCTCCTCCGAAGTGGCCTCATCGGTTACTGTTGTCTCCTCGGGAGCAGATTCCTTGGTAGGCTGTTCCTCTTGAGCAGTCTCATGGACGGCATGTTCCTCGGCATCCTCCTTCTGAGTGGGCTCCTCCTCGGACACCTCAATTGGATGAGCCTCGTCCTTGAGATCGGTCTTGTGAGGAGTGGTGTCATCCTTCACGTCGACCTCGTCCTTGGTAGCAGCAACTTCAGGGGCATCCTCAGTGACATCCTCTTGGGTCGTCTGCTGGGTGGATTCCTCAGGGGTTGTCTGTTGGGTGATCTCTTCCTGAGTAGTCTGTTGAGTGACCTCATCGTCGGTTTGGGTATCCTGGTGAGCGGTTTCCTCCCGAGTGGCCTTGTCCTTGGTATCGTCCTCGTGGGCAGGCTCTTCCGAAGTCTCCTTGATCGCGTTCTCTTCGGTGGCCTTTTCCGGACTGGCCTCTTCGCGGGCAGTCTCCTCCTCAGCAGGCTTCTCCTCAGAAGGCTGTTCCTCAGTGGTCTTCAAGGTGTCCTCCTGAACCTTATCTTCATGAATGGGCGCAGAGTCCTCCTTCTCAGTTTCCGCCAGAGGGGTCTCTTCGTCCTTGGAAACAGACTCCGGGGCAGTCGTCTCGTGGGTAATGTCCTCGCTGTGGTTGACCTCCTCCTTAGACTCGGTGGTCTCTTGCAAGTCGGACTCCGTAGCAGGAGTTTCCTCCTTCAGGGTTGTCTCGGTCTCGGGGGTGGTCTCGGCCTCTGGAGCAGCGGAAACAGTCTCCTCAGCTGGAGTGGCTTCCTCTTGTGCCTCGACTTGCGAGGTGCTCTCCTCCTGAACATCAGCCTTCTCAACGGGTGATTCCGCGTCGACCTCAGCTTCCTTCTTGTGCTCAGCGTCTAAAACGGTGGTCTCCTCGGGCTTAGACTCTTCCGTTTCAATGGTAGGCTCGGCAGAGGTTTCCTCCTCTGTAGAAAGGGACTCCTTGGGCGCCGACTCGGCCTCTGGAGCAGTCTCGTGGGCGAGGACTTCCTCCTTCGGGGCCGCCTCGTGCTGTTGAGAGTCCTCGGGCTTCGAGCTGGTCTCCTCAACATCGGTTGCTGTCTCGACCTTGGTCTCCTCTGGGGTGGCCTCCTCTGGGGTGGCCTCCTCCTCCTTGGAAGGTGTCTCAGCGGATGAAGGAGCCTCGACTGATGTTGAGACCTCAACGGGCGCAACGTTGCTCTCTGTGGAATCCTTTGTCTTGGTCTTATCCTCTTCCTCCGAGAGAGCTTCATCCTTCAAGGTAGCCTCAGTAGTCGAAGGGGCTTCAGCCTTGGTTTCAGTGTGAGCCTCCAAGGTAGTGTCGTCCTTTGCCGCAGCGTCGTCCTTGGCAACAGCATCATCGTTGGAGGTAGTATCATCTGCGCCAGGAGCCTCGGTAGTGGAGACATCTTCAGCCTTGAGGACAACATCGTGCTCCGGGGTGTCTTTTGTCTCTGAGACCGCGGTGATTTCTGTAGCAGTGTCCTTTTCTTGGGGAGCCTCAACCTCGGGAGCAGTATCTCCATTTGTTTGAGGCGCATTCTCCTCTGGGGTTGCCTCGTCGTTGGGAAGGTCGGGCTTGGGTTCCTCCCTAGATACGGTGTACAGGTCAGTAGTTGGTACCGACGACAAGAACAAGGCAGTCTTCCACTTACTTTGGCGGGTGTTGGAACTCCAACTCGTTGTTTCTGAACCCAGAACTGTCTGTGACGGTAGGCGCGCCCTCGTCAAGGACCCACCAATCGCCCAAGCCGATACGGAACTTGTAGACTGCCTTGGATCCGACTTCACCCCAGATTTCCTTGGTGAAGACGTGTTCTCCGTCAGCACCGGTGGTGCAGTCCATCTCCTGGGGTTGCCATTCTGGCTCGGAGAAAGAGCCAGCAATAAAAAGTGGCGGCTGAGTGCCGGATGACCGGAATGTAATGGTCGTAGACACCTTGGTGGAAGCCATGGTTTGGGCTTTGAGGGTTTCGATAGATGGAAAGTGTGGGGAGTTGAAGTGTAATTTGAGACTATTGGGTCATTGGCCCGGATGCCCAAATGCTGTGCACCGATAAAATAAAGTGATAGCTCCTGAAAGAGCGCTCTAGGGTAGCTTTGTAGGTTGGCGGTGATTCGACGTTAGCTGCTGGTTCGTAGCTGGAGTCGCACAGGCCTTGTTGACGGGATCAACCAGCTGCTCGAATCATGGAGATTAGTATGTTGACAAGCGATATCATGGAGTGGATCTTGAACAGTGGAGAGGCGACGGGAGTTGGAAGCGAAGGTGCGCAACACAGAAGAACAGAAGCTCGAAACTCGTTTCTCGAAGCTCTCTCCATGTTGCTTGGGTGGGCTGATGACTGACGGGATGTGCTTGTGCTGGAGTGAGGTGCGGGGTTTGGGAGTTTTGGGTACCTTGTCTCTCTTCAGAGTGTCTATCGTAAGCTCAGCCTCGACCAGATGGTGACGTCTAAGATAGAAGCGCTACGCGACGGCAAGAGGATGACAGCGTCGAACACTGGTTTGCAGAAGATGTGGGATGGATGTTCCAAGGCTGCCAGCGAAATGTGCAGGTCGAGCAGCTGCTGGTTGGGAAAATGGAGGGGGAGAAGGAATCGGACGGACAACTCACCACTGGAGCCGATCTCGAGGCAGTCGGGGTTATTTAGGCAGGCAGACCAGTTCCGAGATAAGGGCCTGAATTTGTTGGGTGGTATTGACTGTGGATACCTCTAAGGGATATGGATACTGTGTGTGCTGTGCTCGACTGTGAGGTGCGGTGCGTGCTTGGGTGCAAGTGGGTGGTGCAGTCCTTGGTGTGTTCGGGGAGAGGTGCAGTGCTGGATGAAGCCCCTCACTGGCAGGTCTGACGCGCGGGGAATCAGAAATGGACGAGGCAGGTGCAGACCAGAGAAGTGGAAATTCCCCTCTTCAGTCTGTTTACCTCATATGAGTCCGGGATATGGCTGATCGATGTTTATCCTAGGAATTGTCGCAGTGCAACCTATCACGCAATTCGTCTACGGAAATGGCAGCATCTCGTTCGATGGCTGTTATCAACTTATCATGATCAGAATGGACGTTGTTCCTTGACCGGTGCGGACAAGGGAAGGCGGCTAGGTAGGTGGTTGTTTTCTTCAGCTTCCAGGTTTTCTTCATTCTCCCTGGATCTGCAGTTCGGCACAATTGTACGGCGCTAGCAGTGCAGTGCAGTGTAGTGATCTGAAGCTTGCTGTGCTGACCTACGCCTACCTTGCCGTGCTTGCCTACCTACAGCCACCCGACACTCGTCTTTTTTTTGTTTTTGACGGTTCGTCGTTCTTCCTCAAACATACATACCTCTACTGGTACCTCACTGCATCAATGTAATCAAGACCGCAACCGTCCCGACATGGATGTGTGCCCTGCTTCGGCTGCCTTGCATACATAGGTACCCTTGCTTGTGAACGCTGCACAAAGATAAACGAACTGGAAAGCGCGGAGCTGCAGCATTTGTGTACATGAGCACACCTTCCCGTCCCTCTCTTGCGGTCCAAGGTCAGACCGAGTGGCAAGTGGTGGTGCCACTGCACCAAATTTACGCGAACGAGGACGAGCAAGGCCAGAAACACAAATTGCAGTGGGTTCCCGTCAGTTTGCACCCTTTGCACGTCGGGCGCGATTGATAGGCTGATGGATTCTTGTTGAGAAGAACACCAGGGCACACCGCAAGAATAGTTTTGAAAATCTCTTCAACAACCTCAAATTTAGCTGCACTCGAGCCGTTTGCCGATTGGTGATGCAGAAATGCAAAAAGACGCTACAAAAAGTCCAGATGCTCAACTGACAAAGCAAAAGAGCTTGGCTTCGTTGTCGCCATGTACCGATGGCGCTAAACGCACGGGCTCTCGAGGTGCAGATCCCCCGCATTGAAGGTGGACATTTGCCAGGTTGGCGACATGGATCTTACCATAGTAAGTGGTCAAGTGGGCAATATTGGGCGGTGAAAATCGGCACAGAGCTTCATGCCTTCAACGACCGCCTTTGTTCTGACGCCTCCATTCACATGCCACCCTTGTTGTGAACTATTCTGACATGCAAGGTTATGGTTGTCTCAGATCCATCTCAAAACTTTAAACACTCGGCATCAGGGCCCATCATTATTTTCCAATTGAACATTCACGTACAAGTGAATTTGCCTTTTCCCAACCTTTTCATCCCTGCGGCAAGTATAGATTTTTCTGACAAATCAACAACCCCGCGACGAACATTCCGAAAATATCTACCCACGAATTCAATAAAACGAATCGCTCACCAATTCCGAGAACCAGCAACAAATCACTTGCCCGAGACCACCTACCGGATCCGATACCTTGCCGTGGTCTATCCGCAACGGGATCGGCGCCGCACTCAACAATCAACATCCAACCGTAAACCACTGCATCAATTGACGTGTAACCACGCCTTTGGTCGACATGTCGGTTTTCCTGCCCCCCGAGACCATCACGGTCAAGCGGCGCAAGCGTGGCGCAGAAGACGCGCCTGTCGACTTCCTGAGTTAGTTATCTCCAACAAGTTTCTGTCAATTCCTAGTTGCAATGCTAACTACTGGACTCAAGGGGTCGAGGGAAGCAAGCGTTCTCGAAATGGAGAAGGCAGCTGGGTGTATCGGCTCAAACAAGCAACAGACATCATAGCCCCGCAGCCAACCATACCGACCATTCAGACCACGAAAGAAGGCGATGAGAAGAGACGCATCATCAAGCCTCTACCCCGTCCGAGATCGCAGAGGATTACACCCCAGCCCGACGTTACGCCATCCACCGAGCCGACATCTACGTCCCAGACGGCCAAGGAACCCACTCTTCGACGATTCCACCTGTCCAAAACCATTGTATCGCAAGCCGCAACATCAGGACCCGTCTCCAAGAAGCGCGCCAACACCGCCATCTTCGTCGAGCGGAGTTCCAAGCGAAAGTCACTTCACGAGAACCAAGCTCTCGAGCAGTCGAAACCCACGAGCGTTCAAAATGGTCCGGCCGCCCTTCAGCCCAAGCCCTCGACCGGCTACACCTACCAGGAGCCTCCTCCAGCCGATCCCAACGACACCGGCGTGAAGCGATCATACAAGCGGCCCGGTACGAGGCGCTTCCAACCCCCGGCTGAGTCGTCGAAACCCGGAGCCCACCCTGCTCTTCCCCCATCGCTGGTCAATCGCAATGTCAACGTCGACATGGATCAGCTCGCCCAGGAAATGGACGCCTACACACTCAGCGCTATTACCAGCCATCTGAGCAAGCTGGACGAGGCAAGTGCCAAGGCTGCGGAGAGGAAAGCCAAATTCAAGCCCAAGGCTCCCGCGCTGAGGTACGCGCAACGACACCCGGAGGCTGCGGCTGCGGCTGCTCCTACTAAGGAGGCGGCCCCTCAGGCCACTGCTGCTGCGCCGGTGGATGATGATATGGACATCGATATGATGGACACCTCGGATGATGACGAGTACGTCATTGAGGAATACTACCGCGTGCCCGCCAGCCGGCTCAACGAGGAAGAGGTGGCGGCCACGCAGGTTGGTCTGCTGGTGTTTGATTCCGAGCCCGATAAGACCGAGTTCTTCTTTGGCACGGAGGAGGATGACGAGTATGAGTTCCCGGAGGATGAAGATGATGAGAACCGTATGTGCTTTTTTTTTCCTTCCCTGCTTTCCCCCCTTGCCCTCTATTCGATATACAGCACTAACACCCATCGCCAACAACAAACAGACGAGAACTACTACGCAGCCGACTACCCCGACGAAGACCTCGAATGGGACGACGAGCTCGACCGCAACCCTTACGAATACGTCACGGGCAACGCCTCGGATAGGGAGGAGTTTGACGCCGAATTGGATGACAACGACGACGACGACTTCGTCAAAGCTGACGAGAGATTCATGGATCATGTCTGGCAGACTAGTAATGAGATGGCGGATATGGTTGCTTATGCGAGAGGGTATGATGGAGATAGACCGGAGCCTGCGGTGGCTGGGTTCCCGAGGGGATTCCCTTATGAATAGGATTGATAGGGATGCTTGGCTCTTGGGAGGCTTGGTACGTGGAGGTTAGGTTTATGGGATACCCGAGCGAGAGGAGAGGGGAGGAGGTGGCTGAAGGGAGTATTACCGTCAGTCATTATACTATGATTGCATACTCAAGGTGGATTACTTGCTTATAGGCTATCACATAGTGCGTAGTATGACGGCATACCACAAAGCAGTAAATATATGGACTGCACCGGCGGTAGTTGTTACAACACCACAGCAGAGCGGATAGAGTTAGGATATAGTTAACTTCCTCATAACTCCATTCATATTCGTTCTACAAACTATTTGGTAAGAGATTACCTCCCGTGCTTTTGACTTACAGTGATGCAGCAAAAGTCTGTGTGCATACCCCAGTTTTCCATACAAAATACCATCAAATCACTACTACCATTTAACTTGCTAGAAAAAAACACCACCACAACGCAAAAAGGTTTCTTTAACGAATGTGTCATGGAATCAAAGCCTTTCTCCCAACTTTTGTACTTTTTGTGTTTGTAGAACCTGATGTGCCCCTGAAGTGGCAGTGCGCCTCTCAATCAGTACGTAGAGTTCCAAGACTGGCAGGAAGCCATTGATTGACTGGGGCGTACAGAGAGAGGCACAACTCTTATAAAGCATCATGAACGGAATATATCTCGAGGCACTGAGGACAGGCAAACACATGCATGACACATAAAAATTGAAAGACTGAATAGTGCTTTCTCTCCATACAATCAATGTACAGAAATTCCACTATAGTCAGTCATAACATAGCATAGTCATAGTATAGCCCAAGCCAATGTACCACTCAGTAAAAGTCCAGATAGGTATCTTTTTCAGATGGTAAAACATCCAATGTAAGTAAGCCTAGTAGAAAGTATGTATGTATGTATATAAGAAACGCGCATAGAGACCAACCAGTAAGAACAAGTTCAAGTAGTAGAGGTAAAGTTTGAATTCAGATGTAGTAGCTTCTTCTTCTTCTTCTTCTTATTTTATGAAGAGATCTTGATATACGTACAACAACAACTACACGACTGCTTGCTGTCTATGAACACACTTGAATACGAAATTGACAAAACGTGCTAAAACGGAGGGTTGTAAATGGGCAAAATGACTGACGAAGATGATGATATATAAAACATAGAGAGCGAAGATGAAGAGAAGAAAAGTGTAAATGACGGAATAAATCAAATCAACCCAAACAAACACATGGAAGTTGCTGTAAACCCCCCGTGTGTAGCCTTTATAAGGTCTTTCTTGGTGCCAGCTTCTTCTGTCTCTCTTCTTTCTGCCCCTCCCTCACTCTCCCTCTCCTTCTCTCTTCCTTTCTTACTCTTCTCCTCGCCCCCCTATTGTGTAATTTGGCCCAATTGAACCGGACCAAAAATCTCCTGTAACATTTAAAAACGAACGCCTCAACCATGCATGCCCAAACCTATACCTATACCCACAAAATGCCACAAACATGCGCTTATATAACGAACCCATATCAACATGCCTCTAAAAAGGCCCTGCCTGCCCAGCAACAACAACAAAAGAAACCAAAAAAACACCCTTTATACAACCCCCCAAAATCACATAACAACACAAACAGCAGTCCTAGCCCTCCTCCTCCCCCCCGCTCCCACCCCTTCACCAGCCCCATCTCCCCCGGCTCCTCCCCACACACCCTCACCATCCTCACCATCCTCACCCAGCTGACCACCCAACCCCTCCTCATCAGCATGCACCATCGCCGCCTCCCTCGCTCTCCTCCTCCTCCGTCTGCGGCCCGCACCGTCCCCGCCTGCTCGCTCCTCTTCCTCGGCTTGCATGTACTGCGCCCACTTGGCTTCGAGACGACGAGCGGAGGGGAAGGAACCGCGGAGGACGCGCTTGGTGTGCTCGTCTACGGTCTGTTGCCAGCCGTAGTAGCATTTTAGGGCGATGGTTTCTGTGGGGGGGAGGTTCTGGGTGGTGATGGTTGTGGTTGTGGTTGTGGTTGTGGTGGGAGGGGGGTTGATGGGGGTGACGGTGGTGGTGGTGGTGACGAATTTGTTGTCGGTGTCGAAGATGGAGGTTGTGAGGTCGGATGATGAGGGTGATGATGGTTGCGAGTCGGTGGTGGTGGTAGGGAGGGTGGTGGTGGTGGGAACCGAAATCTTCATGGGTTCGGTGTTTCGGCTAAGGACTTCCCGGATTCCGGTCCAGGTGACGTTGCCGCAGTCGTAGACGGTTAAGTGTAGAGTGACTTTTGGCAAGCCTGAGGGCTGCTGCTGCTGAGCGTTGAGAGAGATGGCTTGACGCTTGGCATCCATCGCGCGCTGACGGACCATGGAGGCTGCTTCGGCCAGGACCAGATCGCTGATACGCGTGTTATCCATGATTACGCTGCACAGCGATGTACAAGCACGGAAGACGGGTAGCATGCCCGTGTCCCCTAGTTTGCCGCAGTAGCCGATGCTGAGGTGTTCGAGCTTGCTCGCGCAGGGCGCTTTGGCTAGATGTTCGGACAGGAGAGAGTTGGTCAGCTCCTCGAGGTCTTCCAGTTCGAGATGAGTGAGGCGGGGAGTAGACGCCAGGATCGGTTCCAATGCAGAGTCGGTCAGGGTCGTGATGCCGGAGAGGATTAGACCTTCGAGCTCTGGAACCAGGTGGCCTAGGGCTTGGACACCCTGGCTGGTGAGTCGATTGCATCGGGAAAGATCGAGGTGACGAAGTTTCCGAGGTGGCACCATGGGGGTGTTTGTGAGAACGTCGATTTCGGGATCCACCCCGTGCATCATGACTTGTAGGGCAGCGTCACTCAGGTCTTCGCACCCTGCCAGGACGAGGCGTTCAAGGTTGTTGGTCGTGAAGATGGATTTTGCGACTTCCAGGTCCTTGAATCCCTTGACCTCACCGACTCGCAGGTCTTTGAGCTTTGGGCATCCTTCTACCACGGTTTGGATGGCCTTAGCATCCATGTGTTTGCACCAGGAGACGTTCAGCATCTCCAACTGCGGGCAGGACTCGGCAATGAGTCTGAGTGTTGTGTTGCAGACGGCTGGCAGGCCGGTAAGGTTGAGATTGACAAGTCTGTTGTTCCTCTTGATCAAATCGTGTAGTGTCTGCCGTTGTAGGTTTCGGCAACCTTCCAGGGTAGCGTTGACGAGATTCCGAGAAGCTTTCACCACCATCTCTGCGCGTCTGTGGTGTTCCAACTGCACACATCCTCGAAGATTGAGATCCCTAATGAACGAGCCCGCTGAAACGATGATTTGGGCTAACGCCTCAGCCGGGATCTGTTGATAGAATTCGGAAGCGTCACATCTGGTCCAAAGCTGCCCGTCATAGCACATGTCGTAGAACTCCTTGCTGACACGCGATGCGCGGACCAGCTCCTTGGGGCTGAGAAATGAGAGGACATGGATTCTGATTTCATGCGGCATGTTGGCCCAAAGGTTGAATGCCGTCAACCTTTTCTTATGATGAGGTAAGACGATCGAAGTCGTCATGTGGATGGGATGGCCGACTTTGCGGACCGCCAGCATAGGATCCGAAACATCGCAACCGGGCGTGTCGAGTCCTGGGGTGGTCGGAGCCGTAGAAGGAACGCTGGAAGAAGCTGAGGACGCTCCGTGGGAGAAGTAGGAAGAGCTAATGCTGGCCTGACCAAACGGAGATGGCGCATTGGGCGTGGCCAGACTAACGCATGACAGACTGGTATGGCCGTGGTAAGGACTGCTCGATGACCTTTGGCGTTGAAAGGGAGCCAAGGCCGGTGATGATGAGATACGTTGGAGACCTCGGAGCAGCTTTTGGCGTCCTTTGCTCTTTCCCCTTATCCCTTCTCCATTCTCAAGTGCGCCATTGCTGGCCGACCTGGGCGTTGACGGCCTGCTTAGTTGTGAATCCATGATAGCAACGAGTGTGGTTGGTTGCCGCGAGTTCTCCGTATAAGTGATCGAAACCGGCTCGATGTACTTAAGGAAAGACTCAAAAAAGACCACTGATACGAGTCGGTGTTTATCTGCCCTTAACTGACTGGGTGTCGACAGACCAAGCAATGTTTCCAGCAGTAGAGATGAGCGAGACGAGCGGTGGCGCTGTCGAGTAGGCACCCAAACTTCAAATAGTGTGCTCGTCTCTCCACGATGATGATGGTGTGTGGGGTCTGGCCAGCCTGGCGGACAGAGCGAGTAAGGGACACTGACAAATGATAACCAATGGATCGCCTGAGCAGACAACAGACGCAAGGTGACCAGGGGCTCGGGACAAACGGAGTTGAACAAAGAACGGAAAGAAGCCCAACGATGAGCGAACGAAGGCACGCCCTCTCCGAGACCACGGGGAGCACGGCTCTGACTATAAACCCATGGAATGTGAGGCGGAGGATCGGCAGCTCGGTGACGGGAAGTGTTCTTCCAAGTGTTCCGGTGCAGGGACCCCAGAAAATATCGCTGGCTTTTGTTCCCAAACTCGCAGAGCTCGACCGTCCGCTCGAGGATCAACAGTGCGGGGAGGGGCAAGAGGGGGGCTTTCAGGGGTATGTCAGTTGGAGTTGGAGACGAGGGGAGAAGGTCGGGATATCGGGACCTGTGAATATTGAGTCCAGCCTTTTGGGATTCCACACTTTTTTTATTTCTCTCTCGTATATAGTTCCGTCGTTGTAGTTGTCGGTAGTTCCGTCGTGAGCTGTGATGATATTCGAACAGCAGCCAGTCAACGTTTGAGTCGTTATTGTTGTACGGCCTCTATAAGTCGTTCCCACTCCGGTTACACGTGTAAGCTAGGAACTGTTTCTTGGGGATGGGTAGGAGGAAAGAAGAGAGAATAGTTCAAGAGGAACGAGGATCGGACGATCTTGAGGATGTAGAGGGCAAGATAAGAGAGGTAAGCTGACAGATGACACCGGGCTACAGTATCATACGCTAGCAAAGGTGAGAGGAAAAAAGACGCGGTTTCCTGTGATATTGGATGGACAGCCGTGAAAGGCAGGGGGGTCTTGCGGTTATTTTCCCGGGTGGCACGACATAGGGTGAGGTCCCTTATCGCATATTGGGCAGCCAGCTGAGCGGATTGGGGATGTGTGAGAGGCAGCACTGGCTGGCCGAGGGGGGGCCGATTGGAGATGGGAAGCCCCAGGTGGTGTGCATGGTGGGGAGAGATACAGCTGGCAACCGGCCTCAAAGGGATCACCGAGACCAGTGCATGGTGTAGAGGTATCCTGTCAGTCTGTCACGCCTGTGCTTGGCACATAGTGTACACAGTATTCTCCCTGCCAGGCCTGTCGAAGGAACAGACTGGAGGAAAGACATGAGGCATTGATCTGACGGGGATGGGCGGGGGCGGGCGGCGAGGGCGGGCTGGGTTCCATTCTCGAAGGCGGGCAGGCGGGCAATGGCTGAATGGCTGATGATCCAGGCCGAATCCATTGTTCCATATCGGACATGCCAGAATCCCATTTGTCTGGGTTCTCCTGGGCGGACCGCATATGATCATGCCGGCGTGCCACCTGGCCGCTTGCTGGTTTTAGGGGTCCAAGGGGTCTTTGCACGCCTCGAGCACGCACAAAGCAGCTGCTGACCTCCCATGTGGCTGGCGGCTAATCACTTTCCGTCCCTCGCTTGGGACATTTGACCGAGCCTTCTGACAACCATCAATTCTTTGCACATTTGGAATCTCTTTGAAGTTGGGCGTGCTTGTGTTGCCTTGTTCCTGTGCGACCCCGTCAAGTTTTTCTTTATGTTGTACTTGTCCCTTGTCCTGTCAAGCCACTCGTGTTAGTTAAACTCGGAGTTTATCAAAGAGCGTTCGTTGCTTTTCATCACAGTGCTGTTCAATGAGATGAAACTCCTGATGATGCTGACATCCGACGACAATGTTGATGTTTGGCAGAAATGGAAAAGAGAAACCGACCATTCAGTTGATCAGCAATGCCCCGCTCCGTCGTGCAGTCCCCACTGTATGCGCTCAGCGTACCCCACTGAGGCGAAAAGCACAGACAAGCCAGGAGCGTCCAGAATCCGGGGACCCTTGACGGTGGCAGTGATAGTGGGGCATTGCCCGTGTTCTTTGACGTTTCTTTTTCTCAAGTTGAGAAGAAACAAACTCGACCACAAGGCCTGTTGACGAACTGTCGACCTGCATTTGGTACACGCATTGTCAACGACCTGCTTGTCTGCAACACCTACGTACGCGGAATAGGTACAGACACGCATTTGCCAGGCACAAAGTATAACCTCAATGCGTGTATCAACAAGCAAGACCTTTAAAAAGCGGCATGCGGCATCACAAAGCTTAAAAGTCATCCTAAGAGATATCTAACACAGACTTCACCTCGACATCTTTTAACACCATGGAACGACTTTGTAAGAGCCGTCAATAGGCTCAAAGGAACCACACCACAAGGAGACCACTACAGTTCTCGAACAAGACGTACCTCTCATCACGGTACAGCCGTAGGGCTGGACTGGTGGATGGCGGGTCAGGTGGAAACTCTCTTGAAGGTTGTCACACGACACTCGGCTCTGCTGACTGTACACCTCTGCATGGATATAACTTGTTAGCGTGGTTTTTGGGGGTGGCAAAGAACTTTAAATTTCACACAAGAAATATCTGGCTTGTCCTTTATTTGGCCCCTGTTTCTCGTAGAATCAACGTACCAAGCTAACAAGTTATATCCATGCAGAGGTGTAGTGTAAACAAAAAAACGACGAAGATAACCAGGGAACGAGCACGGGATTTGAATATCACTTCATCCAAAACCATTCCCTATCCAGCTGACCCTCCTTTTTACGCATGGCAGATCATGTTTCAAAATTGAGTATTTCTGCCTGCCATACGGACCTGGCGAGCCTGGGGTAGTTCTATGTAACGACCATTGATTGATAGTCTGAAGATCACTATACTATATGTACGCTTCATGTCCCATCTCGAATTTTGTCTCGCTAGTTGTATGAAAGGTGCCGGCCCGTCATCCGATTTTTGCGGTCCTTCAACCCCGCCAAGCCGCCGACTTACACGGGCTGTCGGGCTAGCGCAGCAACGTTGGGATGGAATTGGAGTAACGTGGAGGAGCAAAGTGCGGACGACACCAACGGCAAATGTGGGGGTCTGTCATCCGGACTTGGATTCCCGATGAACCGTCCGGCCGGGTGTCAGTTAAATCCCAAGTTGCAGTCCTCCTGTCCGCATCCCGCGCCCCGGCATTCCGGGGCGCCATTGCGCCGATAATGGAGACCCACCGGTCGGAGCTAACCCGACCTGCCAAGTCCCCCGGCCGCTCTCAGTGAGAGAACCGAAGCCATCAACCTCGGCGCTAAGGAGTTGGCGTTCCAAGACTCGCTCATCTTCTCATGTGCTTGGAACAATCGAGGCAAAGAGTCTTAACTGAAGCGTGGGTTGCTGATCATGCCTGTGTATTGCGTGTGCCGTGTTTTGGCTTTGTCGATCAATCTCTTTGAGGCAATGCTGTGATGCACCGTGGTTGTTCCATTGTTGGGTTCCGGTTCCCCTGGAAGCCCGAATGAAGGACACAACTCGGAGCTTCAAGGTGATGGACACTTCAGGGGTACCGCTAATTCTCATTCCCGTCGGATTTATCCTTCCCACATACGGTCTAGTAGATCGGGGAAAGGACCTGCATGCCGGAGCGCCAACGTAGCAGATGGGGCTGACAGACTTAGCGAGGCCACTCAAGACGACTGGCAAGTTCCAGCATGCGGGTGACTCGCAGTGGATGGCAGGACAGCACAACTCCTAAACTTGAGTAGGACTAGTGGGACAGGGGGGATAAATCCGACGGGAGTGAGAAAAAGCGGTATTTGGCTTCTCTGTTATCTCACAGACGAGAAGTCTTGATACCAATCTAGGTCAATGGTCTCATGATGAATACTCACATACAAGATTGAGTGCCCTGTCTTCCAAGTGATGAAAACCAAGAGCATGGAACTTGAGAAAACATGCAGTGAGCTTCAAGATCATGATCTGAGGCGAACACACAGTATGCCTCGGTTGGGTATCGACTGTGCCCAAGTCGCACACAAGAGAACGTTCAATATCTGTTACATATCTTTCCTATGTTTTCCACTCAAGTTGACAAATGAAGTCTTCCCCACTACCACTTAGTTATAAACTCAGAAGCCTCATTTGTCCAAAGGCCAAAAAAAACACCTGTTGTCTGTTGATGCCTGGCAGCCCAAGAATGGGCCCGGCCGTGTTCCATCGCTGCAGCGATAAGGTGAGGGCCGTGTAGACAACACTGTACAGTACTATTCCGTTCCGTTACCGCGTGGGTGGCCATGGATGATGGGTCGGACGGGACCCTCTTGTGTTGAGATTCTTCTCCATCTTTGGGCGTCCAGGTCGTCATGCCTTGCATTGCATGGCCTTCAGATCGTACTGCCGCTAAAAAATAACGGCGGGTTCGGACTGGGAAGCGTGACAGGTCAAAATCTTCCAAGCCCAAAAACGTGCGCAGTGCGACTTTTTAAAGCCTCTCGTTGCGAACAAGAGAAGCATCCGAAGCCAACCGCGACGCTTCGAGTTGGGTCTTATATCTGTCTCCAGACAGTTGCTATCGAGTAAGTCGAAACCCGAAAGGGAGAGAACTGAATCGCCAACTCCAGCTCGTATACACTCGTCGCAGTTGCGCCATCAGTGCAGCCCAAACGGATATAATTCTCTCAAGTCCGGAGCTTCAAGTCAAGACACCAATTATCCCAATTGGTAGGCCGGAAGACGCACCTAAGACGGTCTAGATACTACCTCTACCTACCTCGACAAGCTTGTCCGACCAAGGACTGAAGAGGAAACATTCTGTTAGTTTCCACTTGTGAGATATTACACTACTATACCAGGCTGTTTACGTACGGTTCATAGTTGCGGTGCGCACTAACACCCAAGCTCCGGTCGCTAACTGGCCAGCGCGGTGTCCCTTTTTTCGGCGTGTTTTTGGCGTGTTGACGGGGTCCTCAGTACAACTAGGAATCCCGGATCACCGACGAACTGGTCCCGAGCGTCGTCACTTGTTCGGGTCGGGTTTGGAACTTGGGTCGGTCCCGTTCTTGAAACCCACCGTGACGCCTCCCGCTGCCATCTCCCTTAAACGAACCATTCTACCTAACCTCCGTCCTTTACACTCCCGTCCATCCAAACCTCCAAACCACCAACACTTGGCCAATTCCGAGGGCCGGACACCTCTTCCCGACATTTACGAACCCATACGCCATACGCCATACGCTCCCGTCCAGTTCTCTTGGGGCAGCAACGCCTCCGTCCAGAGGTCACATTGGTCTAGCCCAACGGTCCCGTCCGGCTGCTTCGCTTGCGCATCCGCTCGACTTGCGTATTGTCCATCCGATTATCGCCAACTGTATTTCGATCCAGATCCCCCCCTCTCCAGTCCTTGCTTCGCATCGCAGAACATCGAACTTCCAAAGACGCCCCGACTACGACGCGCAGGCGGAGCACCCCCGACACTCCGACAGAGCTTTTCTCGACTTTCGATCTGCAGCCCCGCCCGCCTGACCTGCGAGTCCTGCGAGACCCCGACCGAACACACATTTGCAACACTCCGAGTTTCCTTTATCCCTCGGGGCCAAACAATCAGCAGGAACGCGACAACTCCTTGCGCCCCGTCGTCTAGCTTGAATTTGGCGTGCCTCCAGTTTGACAAGCGTGTTGCTCAATTATGCTCGGGATATATGGTGGAAACCTGGAGAATGGTGGGTTCTGGCCCTGTCCCCCTTCCCGCGAACTATCTTTCCGTCCCATCATCATCATGCATGCGCCCGTCATCCTTCAGTCTGATCCCGTACGCGGCGTGCCCCTGTTGCCCGGACATTACATTCAGCCAAGCACTGCTTCTACTCTCAAACATGATTCGCAGCGCAGACTGTACTGACACATGCCGTGCCATTGATCCCAGGCGAAGAAAGACAACGACACGATGCGGAGGGGCAAGGCCGGTCAGCCTCGCTGTCAGTGTCGCCCGCCCTGCATCTGCCCAAGAACAAGAGCACCGGGAACCTTTGCGTAACGAGTGACAGCTCCGAAAGGGCGCGCCTTCGCTTCTCCTTCGATGCCGGCCCGGCTGCCGTTGAGTACGATGCCATGACAAGGTTAGCAAATGTTTACATGGTTGCAAGGAGTCAACACAAGGTTCACAGGGCCGCAAGGCTGCTTCGAATCTGGAAGCCCTTCACTTGTCTCACATTCACCGGTTTGCGGATGCACAGTCGCACAATCTGATTCGGGGCCCCCCACCGCCACCGCCCGTCCATATCTCGCACCCTGCCAGCCTGCTTGCTGACTTCCTCTCCCTTCCTTAGAAGTTCTGTCATGACCGACCACGACCACGGTCTTGGTCTCTCCGGTTTGCGACGCATTCGACAGCAACCACCTCCCCTCCGTACCGGCACTCTGCCCTCAGCACCCGGAAGTCGGAAACCTTCCTTCGGGTCGGCCATTACCAGATCTGCCTCCGTCTCAACCATGCTGGATGTGCACAACAACTCGATACCCTTACATTCGGTCCCCAATTCGCCAAGCATAGCCTTCACCGAAGACCTCAGCCGCTTCCCTTCCGAATCCCTCCACTCCTTCTCCTTCGCCCACCAGTCTGAAGACTTGATACACAACCGCCAAAACGTTCTGAAGAGGTCTATCGAGTTTATGAAGGATCGCATGGGGTGGTCAGTGGCGTCCAATACCGCCAATGCGGCTCTTGCTAGTGCGCAAGCACGAGTAACAGGCGACGTCGAGACTCAAAACATGTTGGACTTGTTGGCACGGGCACAGCTGGTGGGAGCTGGGAGCCTCCCCAACGGTGCTGTGACCTTGTCTACGGGGCCTCTTACCGGACCGGCCGAGCTGTCAGGGGAGAACATCTTCGACAAACAGTTTATGGTACCCAGGGTCGCGAGTCCAGAGCCACTCGAGGACGACGACAGCATAGCGCCAGAATCACCGGCCTCTCAGAAGACTATTGGAGCGACAAAACGTCAAAAGGAAATAGACACGTCCCGGCCAGCAAAGTTCAGCCTCGGCAACGACTCCGAACACTCATCCAGGAGTACAACCAACGAGAGCGGTACTACTGCGCAGACATCGCCATCAACCTCTCTGCGTCCAGGCTTCTTGAAGCGAACCATGACCGATACGGAGCATGCGCAGATGCAGCAGAAGCTCATGGATGTCATGGCGACACCTTTTCTTGCCGTCGAATCCGGTCCACAAGACCACCTGTCTTCCCCCGCCCGACAGTCATTCTCGAGCATTTCGAGTCAGCCACCTGCAATCTCATCCGCCGTCCATGGTCACTCGACAAGGTGGGCACCCGCTGCCCAAGCCATCTTTACTACCGAGTCGAAGCCCCCCTGGACGATTCTTGCCGCCAACGATCTTGCGTGCCTTTTGTTTGGAGTCACCAAAGCCGAGGTCAGGAAGATGGGAATTCTAGAAGTCGTGCAGGGGGAAAGGAGGGCGTGGCTGGAGCGAAAGTTACTTCAGGGATCATCCGACGACGCTGGTGACGGATCGGAGAGCGAGATCGTTAAGCCAGTCTCCCCTCCACCCATGTCCAGTATCCTAGGATCCCGTGGCGGAGGAATAACCGCGAAGCTCCTAAGCAAGCCCAACTCCCGAAACCAACCCCCAAAAAGCAACGCCGGTAGAAGAGCAGCGACGATTCACAATGGCGACCCGAAACCACCAAAACCAGGACAAGGTCATCACCCTGCGTCCCAGTCGAGGGGCGTATTGCTTTGCGGCGATGTGGTACCAATTCAGGTAAGTTCTGGCACTTTGCAAAATAATTAAAAGTCTAGCACTAACCAGACGTACAGAAACGCAATGGCGCGACGGGTTCGGCCAGTCTCTGGGTCAAGGAGAAAAAAGTGGGTCTGATTTGGGTTCTTGAAGAGATCCATGAGGACGTTGCGTATTTGACGCTGGATGAGGAGGGCATCGTCCTCAAGCTTTCTGGAGCTCTCGGTCCAATTTGGGGCGATGAGAACTTGAAGCCCGGTATGGATGTGGGCAAACTAATACCTCGCATTCCCCGCCAAGGTTTCGACCCACGCACTGGAGATATTGATTACGCACAGATTGCGAAGCGAAGATATTACACTTGCCGCAACTCTGACAAAATCAACATCCCAGCAACGATTGACCAAGTCAGGGGTCAGTCCGAACTGCGAGTAGCAAGTTTCCCGCATATCGCCGGTATTGTGGTTGTCGATCCTCAGACCTTTACCATCAAGAGCTCGAATTCGGTCTTCTGCGGTGCACTCTTCGGCCACGAAAAGCCCGATGGATTGCCTATCAGTCATCTCGTTCCGGACTTTGCAGGTGTAATACGCATTCTAACGGACGAAGATGGCATCGACCTGGTAGACGGTATCGTTGTACCCGAACACTCCTTCCGAAAAGCTGCAGCGTTCCTTGCATTGAAAGAAGGACGTCCGGATGCTGCAACAAGTCTACTGCGCCCCGAAGGACTTCCTGCAAAGCATCGTGATGGGTCTGAGCTCAAGATCGATATTCAAATGCGGGTTGTAAAGAGCGAAAAGCAAACGCAGATATCGGATCAAGCAATCGTCGAAGAAAGTGAGGATGAAGAGTCAGTGTCCGGCGCGGACATGACGGACAGTTTCACCGTTTCTCAGTCCGAACTTGTTTATGCACTTTGGATTACCTATTCACGGCACCTTCACGCCACCAAAAATAATCTGGGTTCCGCATCGCCCTTGTTATCTGGAACAGCAACTCCACTACATCAACCTTCACCCGGACAAACTCCCGCCCATACCCCTCCGAAAATGGATTCCGACTCGAGCTCGGAATCAGAATCGGAGACTCCAAGCCAGCGAAGGGAATCCGCAACCTCACTCATCACCCGCCAGCTGAAGGAAGTCGCAATGACAGCTGCTGCCAAGCTCACGGGCACACCAAAGGCCGTCGAGCCCAAAAAGGAAGACATTCAGACGCCAAAGCCGGTGGAGCCTCCAACGAAGAAAACAATCGACGACTTTGTGATTCTGGAAGACATGGGTCAGGGTGCCTACGGTCAGGTGAAGCTGGCTCGGTACAAGAACAGCGGCAAGAAGTGCGTGTTGAAGTACGTCACCAAGAAACGCATTCTCGTCGACACCTGGACGCGCGACAGAAGACTCGGCACCGTGCCTCTGGAGATCCACGTTCTCGACTTCCTGCGAAGGGAAGGATTCAAGCACCCCAACATCGTCGAAATGGAAGACTTCTTCGAGGACGACATCAACTACTACATCGAGATGGTCCCCCATGGGCTGCCCGGCATGGATCTTTTCGACTATATTGAGCTTCGCACGAACATGGAGGAGCAAGAGTGTCGTAGCATTTTCGTACAGGTCGTACGCGCCATCCACCATCTGCACACCAAGGCGCTGGTCGTCCACCGCGACATCAAGGACGAGAATGTCATTCTGGACGGAGAGGGACAGGTCAAGTTGATCGATTTTGGAAGCGCGGCGTACATCAAGAGCGGACCCTTTGATGTGTTTGTGGGTACCATTGGTAAGTCTTTTTTTGCTCCTTATCCTCCCCTTCCAACATTTTCCTTCGAGGATTTTTATAGCATACTAACCGAAACAACCTACAGATTACGCCGCCCCTGAGGTCCTCGCCGGCAAGCCCTACGGCGGCAAGGAACAGGACATCTGGGCCCTCGGCATCCTCCTCTACACCATCATCTACAAGGAGAACCCCTTCTACAGTATCGACGAGATCATGGATCGCGACCTGCGCGTCCCTTACGTCATCAGCGACGAGAGTATCGACTTGATACGGAAGATGCTCGATCGCGATGTCTCGAAGCGGTTGACAATCGAGGAGGTCTTGGCGCATCCTTGGTGTAATATGGAGGATGATTAGGGTCCGGATTCTGTTCGCGCGTTAAGTCAAGGGAGAAAAGCGTAGACGGGAGAAGAGGAAGGAAAAGCTGATGTGAATGAATGAAACGGAATTCTGTTACTACGCGTGGAGATGTTGTATGTTCTGAGCGTGTGCTGCCAGCAGGGATAAGAGAGGAGATACCTGGGGCCTGGGGGGGTGGGAACGACGGAGAAAAGTGGTTGGTGGTGGTTGTTCTTTCTTCCTTGTTACCCATGATACCGACATATCCATATTGCATATCATCAACCTAAAAACATCAAGTATTTTTGGTTGTTAGAAAAGAGGCGTTTTTTTTATTTTTATGATTCTCTTGTCATGAGCATATCTTACCTACCTACCTACATTTGCACCTGTTAGCTTTTATCTGGAGATATTTTCTAAAACCATTTCGTTCTTGTGGAATCATGAGATAAACAAGATAGACCACGACCTCATAGCGCAATCAACAATTGTGTTTTTCCATGATGTCTACCTATGAAAGTCATGCTTCTGTACGCTTCACACTCAATAACTTCTTTCGCCTTCAATCATATCCCCGAAGGATCAACATCCTCCGGTCCAAAGCCTCTTCCCAACACAACACACCTTTAAAATGCCACACATCCGTCCATCGATCACGGCAGCCACTCAAAGCCATGTTCAACTTTCGCCCGCTCGCCGCCGGCTGCTTACGGCTGCAGGATCGAGTCACACAGCATATGTCTGTTCTTCCTGATTGCGGAGAGAAATCGAGATGTGTATGTATGTGTCGTTCTGTTGACAGGCCTTTCTTTGAGCTGTCATGATGGAACCCTTCCGCAGCTATAAGGCTTTCTCTTTCTTCCCTTTTGATAATCGAGGCTCGGTCGGTCAATCCCCCCTCTGACGGGATTAATTAGATAATGAATGCACGAGTAGAAGGAACAAAAGGACAACAACACCACGGCAAATTGGAGCGCAGTACAACCCTCGACTGACTGGAGGTACGACGGGAGCTTCGCAGCTAACGTGGACTTTCAGATATGGAACTGGAAACCCTTCCGCAGCTATAAGGCTTTCTCTTCCCTTTTGATAATCGAGGCTCCGTCAGGTCAATCCCCCTCAGTCGGACGGGATTAATTAAATAATGCGCGAGTAGAAGGAACAAAAAAAAGGACAAAACCACGGCAAATTGGAGCGCAGTACGACCCTCGACTGACTGGAGGTACGACGGGAGCTCTCAGCTAACGTGGACTTTCAGATATGTACGTAGCAGGCTTAGTTCTTTCTAGTCACTTGGTGTTGTTGGCGTGTGTGACACTCCCAGTGTCGCTCAACTGTCACAGCACCCAGATGAATGTTAATGAAAAAACTGTGAGGCTGGGATCATAAGTTCAGGAAGAAAAGTGAACGAAGTCATCCCCAGGAGGTGGAAGCGGAATGGGGTTTTGGGAAGAATGGCAGTTATGCGATTTGTAGGTAGGTACCTGCCCTGGTACTGAGCCGTCAGTCTGGCTGTTAGTGAACACCTTCAACCACAACGATCAAACGCTCGTCATTTGCGCAAGTGGGTACTCCAGTATTGGCTAGAAAATTGACGAGGGATGAAGAATGGGACGAGTTGATGTTACTCGTATACAGAAGGGCAGCAATGACATTGTTCTGTCATGGCGACTCAGTCTTCTTCTGATGGTATTTCAGGCCAGCTGAGGTTGTGATTGTGTGGTACCTTTGATGGGCGAGAACGACGCAAACAGGACAACACCTACCGGCAGCCGGCGACAGGTACAAGGCACCTCCCAGATACTTTGCCCACCTGCCCTTGCCGTCAGAAGCAGCCACTGAGAGCGGAGCAAGCGTAGCACAGGGCGGGAACCCCACTCGGTGAATGAAGTCACTATCAAGTGTCAACAACTTGAGCCGTGGACGCCCTTGTCTTCATGGCATGCCATTCTAGATGCCTTCTGGTTTGCTTCCTCTGATGGAGAAACAAGTGATACAATAATTAACGACATCAACAGCTTCATGAAACAACCTCGATATCTTCAAAAGAGGGCAAAGTTCGTTGACGTGCTGGGCCATTACCTTGTTGTGGTAGGCAATGGTAGTGGTACCAACCCCAGGCTGTTTCCAACCGTACCTTGCGTAGGCGTGTCTAGGGGAGAGCTCCTGAGCTTCCCTGCACCATGGGGCTGCCACCACTCCCCTACCCGTCTGCTGTCGACCCCTCTTCCTCTTTTTGCTGGATTCGTCTTTCCATCCACCTGCAAGTTCGTTCTCCAAATTTGCTGGTGTGAAATTTAACCGTCTTCCATCACCCCTCCCGTCCACTTTTTCCACCTTACCTCTCTCTACCTTCTCTGTTTCTCTACCTCTTCCCCTTCTACACTTTCCCACCTCAACCTTCCACGCCTCTCTCGTGTCCGCTCCGAATCCCTTCCTCTTTACCTCTCTCTCTACCTCTACTCCATCCGCCCCTCCTCACCTCCTCGTCTCCGGACCTCTTCTTATCTCCTCCTCCCCTCCTCGGCACTTTGATCTACTGTGAGTCTTCCCCCGTCGTTCCAACGCAAAGCATCGCCTCCCCGGTTGCCCTTGACCTCCCTCGCTACCTTGCGCCTGGGGGAGGAAACCGGCAGCATTCCGACTGCGGACTGTATTCACCACACGCTCTCGAGCTCTAGTCTCTGATAGGACTCGAGGTAACCTCGACTAACACGTTCTATCTGTGCCCAGCTAGACTCTTTGACTATCCCGTCTCTGAGTGCTTGCCTGCCGCTCAAACGCCCAAAAAGGTACGTGCATCCCCCGGACCTGCCTGCCCCGCTACTAGGGAGCCTCCCACTCCACCGTCTGCAGGGACAGCTCTGCAACGGCCCACCATTTCTCCTTCTGTTTTGCTGCGTTCGCGGCCTTCCATCACTTCCAAGTATCTGTTATTTCGAGTTTCTATCAAAGAAAGGGCACCTGTTCTGTTGGTCCTCAAGTTTGTACTGTTGGTTTCCTTCCATCTGTCATTTTACCCTGTGGCTTACCTAAGGCTCTTGCCGTTTTTGGGGTGCAGCAACAAGAGCTTGAGCTTTTCTTTGTCACATTGCCCACTGACTTTGGCCTGACTTCCCCCAACACCCTCGGCCATCAAGTCAAACTATCCCCAACCAGCCCTCCCTCTCAACGTAAACAACTACCTGTCTACAAGCTAGGTGGTTCGTCTACTAATCCCCTCCTCCTCCATCCAGATCGGACTTCTACTCCTCCAACCTCTCAACCCATTCACTTCCCAGCTTCTCGGAAATACATCATGTCTGCCAGCCAAGACTCCATTCCCGCCAACGGTGGCAGCATCGAGGAGAACCTCGATCACCTCAAGCTCGATGACAATGAACCCCGCCTGGGCCCCGATGGCGAGCCCGCCCCCAGAACCGACGAAGAATACGCACAGACTACCCTTACTCTGAGAGCCATCGTGTCTTCCAAGGAAGCTGGTGTGATCATTGGCAAGGGCGGCCAGAACGTTGCCAACCTCCGTGACGAAACTGGCGTCAAGGCCGGTGTTAGCAAGGTTGTCCAGGGTGTTCATGACCGCGTCCTGACCATTACCGGTGGCTGCGATGCTGTCTCCAAGGCGTACGCTGTTGTCGCTCGCTCCCTTCTCGAAGGCGCCCCGTCTGTTGGCATGGGTGGCGTCATCTCTGCCAACGGCACTCATCGTACGATTGAACCCACTGAAATGCTTTGAGCACCGCTAACCTTCTGTGTAGCCATCAAGTTGCTCATCTCCCATAACCAGATGGGCACAGTCATCGGCCGCCAAGGTCTCAAGATCAAGCACATCCAGGATGTCTCGGGCGTTCGCATGGTTGCGCAGAAGGAGATGCTGCCGCAATCAACCGAACGCGTAGTTGAGGTGCAGGGTACTCCCGAGGGCATTCAGCGCGCTGTCTGGGAGATTTGCAAGTGCCTGGTCGATGACTGGCAGCGGGGCACCGGCACCGTTTTGTACAACCCTGTTGTCCGTGGCGGTGGCCAACCTCTCGGCGGCGAGCGCAACTATCCCCAGGAAAGATCGTACGGTAGCTCTCGTGTCACACGGACTGGCAATGGTGCCGATTTCAGCAGCAACAGTGGTGGACGCCCTTACAACAACCGTCGTTCTGATTCCGACGCCGCCTCTCGTGGCCCTCCTACCCATGATGAGAACGGAGAGGAAATCCAGACCCAGAACATCAGCATCCCCGCTGATATGGTTGGCTGCATCATTGGACGTGCAGGCTCCAAGATTAGCGAGATCCGCAAGGCCTCTGGTGCGCGCATCTCGATTGCCAAGGTGAGTGATGAGCCTTTAATATGTTCAAGGTGAAACGGTTATTAACACGACTGATAGGGTCCTCATGACGAATCTGGCGAGCGCATGTTCACCATTATGGGCTCTGCCAAGGCCAACGAGACCGCTCTGTACCTCCTCTACGAGAACCTGGAGGCGGAGAAGACGCGCCGCTCTTCCCAGGCTCTTGAGCCTTCCGAGTAGAGTGCGGAGGAATCTTATGGCCCGAGGCTGTAGCCAACGAGACTCTCCTCTTTGCTGAAAGAGTTGATGGCGGCAATATTTCAGTTATTTGACCACATTACCCAGGTTGTTTTACATTAAAGGAGTACGCTCGGCAGCCCCTTGTTACGGGTCGTTCCAAAAATGACAGCCGCAAGGCTCGGAATTGTGGCAGGAAGCACGACAGGACGACAATTTCTTGATCAAAAGCATAGTCGACGGACCACCTTTGGTTCTCCTTTACGAACTGGGTCATTCCTTATTCCGCACTGTATTCGGCAACACCTCCCTTATCTCGCCAGTTCACACATTTTTTGCCTAGATAGGCCGCGCAAGCCGGCCTGGGTGGTGGAAATTTTCGTGTGAGGGCACTCAGACTACAAGCCTTGTCTTTGACTTGGTGTCGTTGTTTGTATCCACGAGCCGATTCCAGCATCGACATGGGATAGTCCAGCGTGTTCGCAGCAGACACCCATGCGATTCCTTACACCGTTCAACATCTTTCCCGCATCTCATCACCCGAGCCTGTTGGCGTGCTTTCTCGGCATTCAGCACTACCGCCGAGGCCTCTCGCATCTCTTACACCGAATCTTTTTTACTGCGCTGATACATACGACAGTCCTGAAATGTCCATCGTCAGGAACTATATCACTGTGCTTGGATCTGGCCAGAACGTTAACCACCTGTTAAGTGGGGGTCAAAACCTGCTTGGTAGTTACTTGGGCGTAGATAGCACAAAAATGAAGGGCAATAAAAGTCGTTTTTTGGTCTAATTCTATTTTGCGTAGTTTTACATCCGTGAACCGTGTTTATGAAGTTGACATGTCTTGCTGAAGATGGGATTTAACGTCCCCGGTTTCGGCACATTTTTGTCGAGGGGAACCTGCCCCTGGAATCTTACGCTAGACCCCGCAAAAAGGGCAGTGAAACTGGCGGCGCTAGCGTAGGCCGACCCCTGGTTCCCACCAAATAAGGTTAGATAGCGCAACGCAGTGGTGATTACGGCGCATGTGCCGGCCAATCTTGACAAGATGACAGGGCTGGCCGCGCGAAATGGGGCATGGAGCTTGATGGAAAAGCCACCCTGTCCGGATGACGGATCTACATACAAGAACCTTTACGGACAGCTTCCTCCGTAATTATTTTTTCCATGGGATTTCCTTGACCAACACTCTCCAATTGATTGACCAGCCAGCTCTTTCCAGACGGCTTTGTCTTTACTCGAGCCAATTCTCAACGGACCTTTGATCATATCCCGTTGTCTCCCTTCCCTCTCTTCCTCCCTCGTCAAGGGCCGTTCGAGTGTAGCATCACACAACCGCGAACCACAACACAACCGGCCCCGAACACTACACATAACCGTCATCATGGCTCGCGCAAAGCAGCCAACGCCCGTACGGCGTGAGGTTTCCTCCGAATATATCAGCAAAGCCGACCGAAAATCGCCAACTGGGGAGGAAGCAGTTGTTGTCTCCGGCGCAGATGGAAGTGTGAAGCCGTCATCATCATCATCATCATCCCTTGCGGTACCAATGAAGAAGGAAGCCGGCGTCGTCACGCTCCTCATTGACGTTGCGGGCATTTACATTTCTTTGTAAGTCGTCGTCGTCCCGGTCCCGGTCCCGGTCTCGGGGAAGAAGAAGCATTGAATCATGAATCAGCAACTAACACAGAACCAAAACCCACGAAACAGTCTAACCTGGGCCTACCTCCAAGAAAAGCTCACAACAACCAACTACGGCGCCTCTTCTTTTTCCAAAGGCGAACGCTTCAAATTTCCCGTCTTCCTCCTAACCATCCAATCCCTCTTCGCCGCCCTCGGCGGCAAACTGTTCACCGTCCTGTCCACCCCCAAAGGCCAGCCAGTCCCCGCCATGATCCCCTCGCGCGCCATCTTACCTCCCTTGCTACTAGTAGCATTCACCAACGCGCTCGCCGCTCCCTTCGGGTACGCTGCGCTCGGTCATATCGATTACATCACGTACATCCTGGCCAAAAGCTGTAAGCTGTTGCCGGTGATGTTTTTGCATATTACTTTGTTCAGAAAAAGGTATCCGCTTTACAAGTATTTAGTCGTGGCGGCGGTGACGGCGGGCGTGGCGGTCTTTACGCTGCATTCTGGCTCCAAAAAGCACAAGACTTCTTCTAGTCATTCAGGCCAGACAAGTTGGGGATTGTTGTTGTTGGGGATCAATCTGTTGTTTGACGGCCTGACCAACAGCACGCAGGATTACATTTTCCAGACGTTTCAGCCTTATACGGGCCCGCAGATGATGATGGCGAATAATCTGTTGTCGTCGGTGATCACGGGCGGGTATTTGGTTTTGTCCCCGTGGCTGGTTAAAACCGGGTTGGGCGAGTGGTTTGGCATGGCTCAGGCTACGGGCAGCGAAGGGGAGCTGGCGGGCGCGTTGGCGTTTTTGGCGAGACATCCCGAGGCTTGGAGGGATGTGCTGGGTTTCGCGGTTTGTGGGTGTGTTGGGCAGGTTTTTATTTGTGAGTTTGTTTTTTTTCTTCTTTTTTTTTTTCTCCCTCCTTCTCTTTTCCCCTTTTTTCTCTCTCCCCTTCTCCCGTTTTGCTTCCCCCTTTTGATTCCCCTATTTTCACTCTTCGACCCGTGACTAACAACCCATCATTTAGTCCATACCCTCTCAACCTTCTCCTCCGTCCTCCTCGTCACCGTCACCGTCACCCGCAAAATGTTCACCATGATCCTCTCCGTCGTGGCTTTCGGCCACCGCTTGTCTCAAATGCAGTGGCTCGGCGTCGGTCTCGTGTTTGGTGGTATCGGTGTCGAGGCCGGGATCGCGAGGCGTGAGAAGCTGGCTAAGGAAGAGGCGAAGAGGAAGGCGAAGGCGCAATGATTTGGGTTTTGCTCAGTTAGTTCCATGTCGGGTAGAAATGAAACTGAAGCAATTATTTCGGTCTATATAGGTAGATGGTATGGTGCGAGATAGAGAGACGGAGAGGTTAGGATGTGATATTGATCGATATCATGCACGTATGCATGTGTGCCGATGTTCAGTTGGTTACTTGGGGCTGGAGGTTTTTATTGTGTACGAATATTGTTTGTTTGTTTGTAGGATGTGACTCGGGAGGTCTAGGCGTATTTCGCATGTACATATATATATATATATCTAGTGTGAAAACACATACTGCTAGTACATAAACAACTCAATCGTGATTATATCCGTTATCGCGAAGGTCTAGAAGGCAGGTAGGTAGGTAGGTATACACACACAAGTGGTATTTGTTGGCAAATGCTGTTCAAGAACATAGTCTCGATTATCATCGGCCCGCGGGTAAATTGATCCTTAGGTAGATCTCGTCTCATTTCTTCCTCCGTCGTGTACTTGTTCTTCTTCACATATGTCCCCGTCCAACTAACTGATCATCCATAAAGAATGAATCATAGGTAAGGTTTGCGATCTCTTAAGAGTTGCGCCTTCTGATCTACTCGTGCCTGTAGTTTTCATGTTTTGTAAAGTAGACAGACAGATAGGCGTACTGTCGTCTACTTACCTACGAACCAGAGTTTTGTATTCCTCCTCCACCTATTTTATGAGGCGGATGGATATCCTTTCCCCAGATAAACCAAGCAGATGTCGAATTTCGTTGAGACCATCAAATCTCCGCAACAACTCTTCCCATTCTCAGATGATCAAGTGTTTGACATTTGCTCATTGTCCATATCATTGTTGGTAATATGCACAAGTAGACACAGCGCAGCGGCGAGGATTCGTAAATGGACCAGTGAATAGTTGTGTGAATTCATTCTTTTCTTTCACCATGTAAATCGGAACACATCCGTTGCCCCTATACCTTCCTCCCACTGTGTGTCTGCCGGGCTGAAACAACCAACCAACAAAAGAACAACCAAGAAGAGGCTTAACAACGCCCAAACAAACATGAAAAAGAACAAAGGGAAAAGAATAAGTAGGCCACCCAATCAAGGGGAAATCGCAGAAACGAAAAGGTCGGGACAAACGTGTATAGCATTTCACACCAGACCCCGAACCTTGACACCTTTTTACCAAACCACACCACCAACCAGCACAAAACAAAAAGAACAAAGTCCGCAACATAACGCCACCTTTCAATGCTTGGCATAGTAATGCTGAACCAATGAGTACAGTAATGATATAGATACAAAGGATGATGATTTCCCTGCAGAGACTGATGACTGTCCAGCGTCCTCATAGCAGTTCATCAATAGACCGAACAATGGGGCTTTCTCCCTTTGTTGGTGGACTCCTAGGGTCTGCCACCTGTTTTGGCCGCCCGAACGGATAGCAAGGATCGCGGGGGAACAGTGTCTCCCGGGGTGAGAACAACCCTTCGCCTGGTGTGGGCGGCACCTCCACGAACTGCATACCGGGAATGCCTGCAAAGGGCTCATGAAGAGGGTTCGCTGTCATTGTCTCGGCACGCGGTGACATGAGTGCGGCATCCTCGAAGTCTCGTACGACGGCTACATGCCTCTCTGGAGGCGTAACGTCCTTGCTCTTTTTGCGCTTGGGCGGTGCTCCCAGTGTTGGCGCTGCTCCTAGTGTCAACGGCACAAACCCGAACCCTGCCTGTGAACCGAACCGATGAGCTGAAAAACCCGGGGATGGTGGCGGCTTGGAGAAGGCTGCCTCGAGAGGTGGACCAAAGCCAGGTGACTTCGGAGGTTCTGCCAACGTGGGAGCAAAAAGTCCACGAGAAGGCTTCAGTTTCAACGGGGGTGATGGGGTGGAAGACCTTCCCCTATCCGGCTCGGGAGACTTGAAGCTGAAGTTGCTGAAGTTAATGTCAAAGCGACCAAATCTTCCAGGATCCTTCTCGTCTTCCTTGATAGCCCATGAAAAGGTCGAAGGAGCGGATGATGGACCTGGCGATATTGGCTCCCCTCTCTTGGGAGTAGAGTGCCCTCGGCCTCGTGTAGGACTAATCTCGGGCGTGGCGAGTTTCGACGCAACATCCTCCCTTGGCAATGGCGCAGTCAATGGCTCTTGTTTCACCGGTAGATCAATGTTATCGACTGACAAAGTCATCCTGTGCTTTGAAGGGACTCTTCCCAGGCGTGGCTTGAAGCTCGAGGTCGTTAGCTTCCTCTTTGAAACCTCCTTCTGAAAATCCTGTAGGCAGTACATCAGCCTCATGTTGGGGCTGATCCACCTGCTTTTGGCCTGTGCGGCATGATAAGCATCGTTGACAGTGAGATCAGGGTTCTGATACATTCCGTAGGCGATGATCAAACTAGCCGATCGACTGGCGCCCTGCTGGCAGTGAATGAGAACCTTCTTCCCTTCCTTGGTCCTCTTATCGATCATCTCGCAAAGTGTCATCAAGTCATTTCCAATATCCGTGTTGTGATCCCATGGGATGTGAATGTACTCTGGCTCCTTGAAAGATTGAGCCTTGGGGGTTGTTGGCGTATCGCTCTCTGGGATGAACTCGAATGCCGTGGCGAAGCTGCAAGTGGTAACCGCGGTATCAGGTACTGGGGAGTCAATATCTGGTCTCTCCTGGGAATCCGAATCCTTTTTGCTTCCCATCCCAACCTTGAACGGGTTCGAGACCTCGCGCGCCACGTTGATGACCACATCGAAACGAGCAGCTTCCTCCGCGGTAGGCTCAAGATACAGGAAAACGTTATCGTTATAGATGCATACTGGCCCATCGGGATAGCCTGGCGACTTCTGGTCCTCGTTATTCTCCACTTCATGGTACGGGTCGACCTCGTATATCGCCTTGTTCGCAACCTGTGCCTTGATTGGCGCCTCTTCTTCCGGAATGGTAGAGCTTAAGCCACTGGGTGCCAAAGGTCTTGATGGCCTGAAGAATTCTGAAAGTCCAGATTCATTGCGCTCCAAGACAGTCGGTATTGTCATTCCCCCTGCTGGACCAAATGTTGCAGACTTCAGACCAGAGAGCATGTGAGGGGTCGAGGTGGAATGCTTTAATGCACGGCGCTGGAGGATAGGAGGGACCGAAGGTGAAGGGGGCACCTCTAATGTTGTGCGATTCATCAAGTCTGAAGTGTTCGTCTTGAGGCTGAGCAAGCTTGGCTTCCGCTTCATGCCAGGAATTGTTGGCTTGATGAAGGATGGAGAGGAAGGCTCGGAAACCAGAGAGGAAGCCAGGGAGCTGAAGGACGGTTGGATGGAAAGCCCTTTCATGTTTTTAGATCTCCGCGGCGCGGGCGAGGTCATGGGGCGTTGTCTAAGGTTGGGGTCCGATACTGAGAGACTGGCCATGCGAGACAAATCGCTTGTGAAGGGTTGTGTCGGCGCCGCCAAGGTAGAAAGAGGTAGTAGGTTTACTGGCGAGTCCGGAGAAGATGATGGAGAGGGATCGGAGAGATCTGAAGAATCCGTACACGACACAGTCGTAGTAGGCGAGGATTCGGCCGACTCGGTTGCTCGGCTTGACGCGCTGTTGTGATGCTTGTGGGCAGCATCCGCATGCATTGCATTTGGTCGTAGTTGGGGTGGCTGTGTATCGCCGGGTAGTTTTCCGGACTCGAGGCACATCACTGACTGCGGGTCGACCACGGTGATGGCACTCTGTTGGTCCATGCCCTCTGGGCCTAGGTCATACACGGACATGAACGAAGGGATCTGATCCTCATACAACCGCCGTGTCGTGGCCGAAGGCATGTTCGATACCCGGTGTGTGAAAACAGGTCACCGTCGCTTGCTGCGGTCGAGTCGCGACCACGGTATCGATATCGCAGGAAAAGGATCCTGTCGGTTAACTTGAAATAAGAACAAAGATGAATGAATGAGTAAGGCCGTGAGTGTTGGTTAACAGCCAAAGTTTGGGCCAGGCGGGACAGCACTGCTGAATCCTTCTTCCTTTCCCAACTGTAATCGACTTGTAATTGTTATCCCACCCGAGGGAAAACAATCAAGCCTTGAGGTAGAAATGAATTATGTGAATGCGCAGATGAAGAGCGCGGGTTGAAGTCGTTGCTGGTCGACAAAAGTCGCAATGAGTCGCCTCGTGGGTATCGAGATCGGACGAAAAGAGAAGGGTTGCGCGAGGACGGGATGGTGATCAAGGAGCCTTGGGCGTCAAGACATTATCATTATCGGGTCTGTCGAGAGGTCGCAGGGTCACAGCCTCCAAGGCGGCATGAGAAGAAGAGCGGTCGTCGGGTTGTGGTCGATTGACAATCGAAGGACTGACAAGAAGGAAGAGGAGGGGAAGAGGTTTCTTTGTCCTGGGCTACCTCCAATCCAGACTGTTCCTTTGGTGCGGTCCAAGCTCTTTAGCGTCTTGACACTTGAAGTCCTCGTCGAGTTCGAAAGCTGAAAAGGTGGAGGAATTGGGGGGTGGAAAGATGTGGAGGAAAAGAGGAGATCAGGAATTGAGGTGGAGGATGTGTGAATTACGAAGGAGGGTGGCCAGAAGGGAAATGGGAATGGCGCAAATTCAACGAATTGGAAGACCGGGTGCGGTGTTGAAGAGAAGGGAAAAGTGGGTGGAATTGTGAGGTTGTGTTGTGAACAAGAGAACAAAATTGGAAGCAGCGTGCAGAAAGCAGACAACACAGGTGCAGAGCCACATTCACTGCAGAGGGAGAGACGCAGAATGGAACGGCACGCTCCAGGCTAGAACGAGCTGGGACGGAGTGCCAAAAGTGCTTCACTGCTGCGCTGCACCCACGCACGCAGGCACCTTCCTAAGGTTGAGAGGTTCCTGCCACACACTCTCTGACACTCTCACACTGTAGGCAGGTACACTGTGGGGCCAGGGCAAGAACCTGTGAACGGGAACAGGGAACGCTGGTCGTCTTTGCACCAGCCTTTTTTTGGTATCGGCCCTGTCACGCTCACCTGCACACTGCACACTGCTTCACCATTGGTCGAAAGCGAACTCGCAGCAGAGGAGGAGAGAGGCTCTCGAAGCAATGAACGCTTCCACGAGTCCGTCCAGACGGGAGCTTGGGGCAAAGTTAGAGCCCTGCTGCCCTCCCTGTGCTACCGCATCTACTCAGTCGTAACGGAAATGCTTTGTGGATAATACAAGGTTTATGAGCCAATCCAGTTGGCAAGATGCTGCATATGCAGCTAAGAGCAAGCTCAAAACGCCCGCATAAGGTGTGGCCTTCCCCGATTGAGGATTTCCGTTACGACTGAAAAAATGCGGTATCTTCAGCCCTTCACATGGATACCTTATTTGCGCCCAAAGCGAACGAATGGTGTCGAGTTCTCTGCTTCTGCTGCTCCCGGCCACTGCTGCTAGGTGCTCCTGGTTGCGTGCAGGCTGTTGGCCGCTAGTGTGGGTCAAGGGGGCACACTTACAACCAATCAGAGAAGCGTCGCAGGTGGCCTCCGCTGCCAGCTACAGCGGCCGGCGGCTAGCTGCCACTCAATGCTAAAAATAGACGCAAATTGTCCTGGTCGATGATTGGCTGTTGCCCTTGGTTTGATTATCATGATTGCTCCAGTCACCCGCGGCTGGCTTGTCTGACCAGACTGAAATGGATGATCACCCAGCTCTCTCTCGCTCTCTTTTGCTCAGCTTTCCCAAGTTGATGTTTTCGGCTCTTTGAGCTCTTCAACTCGGGCAAGGAGCGATGAAGTTGTCTCGAACATCACAGCGCTAAAGTGAGATTATTGACACTCCAATGGTCCTTAAATAGTGTGACATTGAGCTCTTTGCTTCTGGAGCTTTGACTTCTTGCGCTTACGATCTTCACGAGAGGGATTCGTGATGAGTTTAGGCGATGCGGACAGCTGAGAACGACTGGCTCACATTTGCGACTCATCTCGTAATTTATTGCCACCGGCGCTTATATACATATCATGGGAATAGCTGCTACGCCGCAATCTCCTCAATTCGAGGCCCGCGTGGCCCGCTAGACTTGAGGTCCGTCCATAGCCGCCGGTCGGAGATCTGGCCGGAGGGCATTCCCATACCGGAGGTCCGTCCGTCCGCATCCACTTCACGGAGCCGCAGCACTCACACTAACGGAGCTCCTGTCCTTCAGAGAAGCCACAAGCAAGCGGGGTCCCCGCCGTCCTGAGAAAAGCTTGTATCATGATCCTTCTCTTTCCACCCAAAAGTTCAGCTGCCAGTGTAGACCGCAAAGTGTACAATACTCAACGTACAAGACTGAGACATGTCAATTCTCAAGACCCATTCAATCACTTCTCCCTAGTCTCTAGTTTGAATATTATGGTCAAGATATGAGCCATTATTTTTGCTTGCTATGGCTTCAAGTCAGAGGAAGATCACACGTCTCGTAGAATTTGGAATTGGAACCGAGACGGCGCTCCATCTGCACTCAACGCAGCGATGGATCTCCAAGAAGTACTTACAGTGCGCTGTAACATTCCTTCCAACTGTGCCCCCGGCAAAATTTCTCAGTTGGAACTGGTGGAGTATTAACCGCAGCCTTGAAGACCAATCAGACATCGGAGCTGAATCCTGAAACAAGAGCGGGTAGACAAGGCAAGGATGGCCTTTTAGCTGATCGTGGAGTTCTCCTCGCTGTGGAAGCTGGCTCGTGTTGGGGAAGACACTTTGGACCATTTTCACTCGTCGAGAACGGAAAACCATTCCACGCCTTCACCACCATCGCCTCGGTCGCCTCTTCAACATCGACCATGATCGACGAGTTGTGCACGTTGATCTGCCTTTTGCAGCTCCTTTCAAATGTCACGGTCACTCCGATGATCATCACGGGGATGACCTCTGGAAAAATCGGCCATCACGAATTCTCCATGACTGATGTTGTCACAGGAGGAAATCACCGATTCTGTTTGTGATGGCATCGATTTTGTATGAAGCTCTCCTCTTACGTACCTTGCATTACCTTGTTGACGCTGGCTCGATAAATGCAAACATTCCAAACCTGTGAGCTGTGCATGAGACATCTCAGATGCAACTTGTCACTCCCTCACGTTAACAATGGGATATTCCGCCTCGAATAGAAAGGCTACATGGCTAGTGTACACGGCTTCTTGTAAGATGGAATGCGGCATTCGGAAAGCCCGCTCGTTTGACCCGAGGGATGACAGGTTTCGGCGGCCCCGTGTGGATCCGATCTCGGCGACCCTCCGATAAAAATGTCCTTATAACGGTCGGGGCCGGTCTGCTTCTGCGCAGCGTTCTCCGCGACATATGCATCCGAGCAGACGAAACCACTCCGGCAGTTCCATACATCTACCGCACACACACCGGTAACTTCTATTTCACCCATCTCGCCTGGTCCAGTCCTCAGATCCGGGCTCCGGTTCCAGGTTGTAAACCTGGGCGATCGCTCCCAGGACATGGAATCAAAACACCGGTTTCGTTAGCACTGAAACCGCTAGAGACTTCGTCTATGGGCTCCAGTTCATGACCTGGCAGTCACCACTTTTCAGTCCTTGAACTCCACGAGTCCTCAGGCTCGCAGACAACTGATCTCCGCAACCAAGACGAATCCTCCTGGTCCTGTACACTACAGGCCGAACGGATCGCCACATCCGAGAAGAACCGCGGAAGCAGGATGTCGGCCATGCTTTCGGCTATCGACGTTTACGAGAAAACTGGCACGCTTAAAACCCGCAGAGCACCACTCACTTCAAATTACAGTACCCGGCATTTTGCCAGTTGCTGGTCGCTTCGTGCGGATCTTGTAAACGACCCTTCTCTTTCCTCCCCTTCCCCTGTTCGATGCCGGCCCAATTCTACATAGGATCGGAATCACCCCCCATACAAACGGGAGGTTTCGTGCCGTTGTCGTCAGGGTGCATGTGTCAGATTCAAGGGTGGTTTTAGCCATACTATATGGAAGTTTAGTGGCTTTCCCATACATGACTGGTTTTTATAGTAAAGATTTTATTTTAGAGTCTGCTTATGGACAATTTAGTTTTTCAGGGGTAGCTGTATATATCATAGCTACTATTGGTGCAATATTTACAACTTTATACTCAGGTAGGCGATAAAAGTATTCAAGGGGGGAGGACTCGATGCAAGAGTACTTAGACTCGAACTAAGAATTTAAAGGTTGAAGCTTTCTATTTTACCATTAAACTATACTCTTTTAACCGAGGTTAGCGCTCTAGCTATTTGATATTGCCTGATTTCTGGGTATATTTGGGTTACCCTAGTACCTCCTATACCTTCTAGGCGAGTCAATCATATATACTCTTCAATTAATTAATTTTGCACCATTACATTTGATAATTAATAGTCTAATTTGCGTATTTACGTTTAACGCTACGATTATTGATTATAAGTAAGATCCCTACGAAACTAATAACGTTAATTATATTTTTATTAAAGGAATTTACTAATAAGGCTATTACGGTTATTCTTAATACCTTTACCGATTAGCCTAACTAGTATAGAATTTTTAAGAGATTTGTTAGTAGTAATTAGGATTTTAGTAATTAATTGCTTAAAGGAGGACTTATAATTTAGAAGGTTTAACCCCCGAAGCCGGAAGACTTCTTCTTTATTAAGTAAGTAAAGGACTGCCTTTTGGCGGTAAAGAAGGAGTTCGTTAGATTTAATAGAGGAATTTAGGTTAAAAAGGCCGTGATTATAACTGTAATAATTACTATTACTATAGCTACTAATACGAACGGTACTATTATTAAGATTATTATTACTACCTAATTCTAAGAAGAAGCCGCTACCGGCGTTAATGAAGACGATGAAGAAGGGAGTTTAGGAGAAGAAGACGAAAAAGAGGAAGAGGAGGAAAATAAATATTATATTAAATAGGATATTAGAGAAAATATAGTTATTAACCCCTCTACTAATTTGATAATTATTAGGAAAGTAGTATACGATTAAATTAATAATACGTACAACGTTTACTACAAAGATTAAAAAGATTTTAATAATATTAATACCCGAATTTATAATTAGATAAATACCTATATCGCCGCCTATTAT